TCGCAGGAACTGTGTAAGGAGGCTCTTTTGACACATTAGCTCAAGCAGAGACTTGTTAAGAGGATACATTTTTTCTTGATATTTTCATTTTGCATTGCAGAGGTTATATGGCTCCTGAATACGCTATGCGTGGTTATTTGACTGAAAAAGCGGATGTTTATAGCTTCGGTGTCGTTGCACTCGAAATCGTAAGCGGAAAGAGTAACACAAACTTTAGGCCAAGCGAGGAATTCGTTTACCTTCTTGATTGGGTAAAAAATCTCTTCTCTTTCAGTTCTACTTAAGTGTAAACTCAATGATAGAAACAAAACCAAAGTATGTAACTTAATTTTGTTGCATCAAATACATGTAGGCTTACGTTTTGCAAGAGAGAGGATGCTTACTAGAGCTGGTTGATCCAACGCTAGACTCGGATTACTCAGAAGAAGAAGCCATGCTGATGCTGAACGTGGCACTAATGTGCACCAACGCGTCACCGACGCTAAGGCCTACAATGTCTCAAGTGGTGAGTCTCTTAGAAGGAAAGACAGCGATGCAAGAGCTGCTGTCGGATCCGAGCTTCTCAACGGTTAACCCGAAGCTTAAAGCCTTGAGGAACCATTTTTGGCAGAACGAGCTGAGCAGAACGCTTAGCTTCTCCACAAGCGGGCCTTGTACTGCCTCTGTTCATTCACAAGTTGATGCTGAGGAGAAGACTGGCCTTTTGGATTAATTAAGTTCTTATATATAGAATAGAATTTTTAAAAACTCCAAGTGAGTTTCCTAGGAGTGGTGAAATTAGATTGAACACAAAAATCAGATGAAAGACTAATATACAAAAATTGTAGACAAAAGTAATGCTTGGCACTATATCCGTATTCATCTTGTTTTCGCCATTTGCTTTAGAAGAATAAATATTCGTTATGGTCAATGAAGGTAACTGGTATTAACATGATAATTTCAGCAAATTGTAAATATATAAAAGCCGAGTATCAATGGGTTTTTTTGTACAACTTTACCAACTATCCGAGTATCAAGCCCAACACTTGAAGCGTTTTTACAACATGATTCTTCTATTCAGAGATACATGTTGTGCCATGATTCTTTTTCGACATTCGAGATGGACCAAAGACTATACGAATATATTTGGTCAAATCCGATTGTTCGAAACACCGAGTAAATGACTAAATACAAAATTAGACCGAGTCAGGCCATGTTGTGAGAAAATTTCAGAACTCCGAATAATTGAACATATGGATATGAAGAAGACAGAAGTTCTTGAATCTTTACTATATCCATAAACTCTGGCAAATCTCAAAATGGCCACACGACTTAATTAAAGATTTTATCAGTACTTCAGAAGTCTCTATTACTTATGTGTCCCGTTTTTTTTTGTTAACGTCGTCAGTCGTCACGTGTTGGAAACAAAGAAACCGACCTTGTTTGATAAAAGTTTGGATCGTACAAATACAACAAAAAGAGATATATGAATGTCATGTCGAAGAGAAGTAAAACAAAATATAACTAATTTCTTTTAAGAATTTACTACCTTCTCTATAATCTTGGAACACTTAAGCTCTAGTTCGATTTGTTTTTCAAACTGGAATGTGTGTTTATATTTATGTATGGCCTGTTCACGTGTGACGTATTTGTGTGTGTGTGTAATTTACAGGTACAAAGAGAGTAAGGAGTAAGCTTTTTGCACAGATATAAAAAGCTTAAGAGGGGAAAAGCTGAGGGGGGGGGGGGGGGACGGTGCAATTAATTGACAAGGAATCAGATTCCCACACCACTAATGTTCTTTACTTTTGTGATCCTGTCCTTATCATTTATTCCACGTTTTATTTCTACTACCATCAATTTTATTAATTGAATAAATAATCAACGTGAACACATATTACAGCCCTAAAAAGGCTGTAAACTCAGTGATTCAATATTTTTTGTAGTTTAGTTTTGGAGTAGAGCATTTTTCGGAAATCCATCACGAAGAAAATCGAACCCAAGGCCGCACGTAACGAGTTATGCCCGTAGCCTTGGTGGCATTATTGCCACCACGCTTGTTTCCAAAAATACTTACCACTATAATATAGTATAACGACTTTTGTGAAAAGAGTTTATATTTTGCATGTTTAACAAAGAGAAAAGAATCTTTTCTATGGATTTTGGTACTTTGCAATAGGCTTTTGGCGTGAGCGGCATACGTGACTTATTAAAAGGCTCCATAAAAGTGAGAGAAGCGTTCAAAATTAACCCTTTCGTTATAGATTTATGTTAAATTATAAGCAATCATTTCTCGATATTCATGAAGATAGATGAATTTCGCCTATCCCAACAAACAAAATTATATATATACTATTGTTTTCCAAATTCCAAGGCAGTACTCTATCACATTTTAACATTAATACATGTCAACTCTATATGCCACCACTACAAAAACAAACGAGTGATTCGTGATTTTTTTTTTTTTTCATACTTTGTCAGCTTACTTTTGATTATGGGCGTGAACTAAACATTTATGATAAAAAGAAACGACATTGAAGTTTAATTTAAGAGGACATTTTTTTTTTTGAACATTTGTTAAGAGGACATCTAATTGGAAAATCAAAAATTCTTCTAAAAACGATATTTATTATATTGAAATGGATCGAGATATATTTATATGTACCTAGAATTGGCATATTATAATGTTCTCTGTTTTTTTTTTTTTTTTTGGAACCTTTTGTTCTTCCATATACCATATCAGTGTTATCACAAAACTAAGTTTACGTGAAACACAATTTCCGAGGAAAAGCCGGAAAGTAACTTAATCTCAAATGAGCATTTATCCATTATAAAGGGTGAAAGCAGACGAAGAACGATAAGAGTATACATGATGGTTTTGGTATATGGAAAGGTCTTCGTGATTGATTCATGCATGAACGTCCTTTTATTATTTTCCCTTTTTCTGTTTATTAAGTAGACAAATTTAAGATTATTCGCGGTGGCGAGTCTTGCCCCACTCGAAGCATTACGTAGTGTTATAATAATGTTGCAAGTAGGCTATCTTTGGCGGTCCTTTTCTGAAAAAGAGGTTTCGCAATTGCTAAACGAAACGAGTGATGACGTCAAAAACCAAACACAACCAAAAAAAAAAAAAACGAAACGAGTGATCAATGAAGAGATAAGAGAAAGATCAAAAGGAGAAAAAGGAAAAGAGTAGAGAAAATGTAGAGACAAACTGCAAAATGTAAAGCTCTTTTAACAAGTAGTACGTTTTGTTACATAATATTTTGGCCCAATATATAAAAAGTTGTAGTCGCAAACGAGCGACTCTTTTTCACTTTGAAAACCATGTTTCATTACTGTGGTGATGCTTTATTTTCTTCAAGTAATTTAGTCTTGATAAAACAGATTTTTTATCAGAAAAATCCTTAAACGTTTATGAATATTCATCGTTCATTTCATTTTTTTTTGTGTAATGAATGGCTAGTCCTAATATTAACTAATAATTATTTAAGTAAACAAACTAGAAAACAAGAGCAAAAAAAAAACTGCAACTTAGTCAAGTTGAGAACTTGTGATAGGACGTAAAATACATCACAAGAAGTTTTTCACATCTTCTTAAAATAGCTTGCCTCGTGCTCACCGGTCACCTATTTCTCTTGGGTGAAGATCGTTTGTTCAAAGGTAGATTCCAAATTTCCAACTTTATTCATATGTAGTCGTAAAATACCAAATTTGTAAATACAAATATTAAGATACTGATGCAATTATATATATATATATATATATTATGCAAAAAAATTACTCACCATTATGTAATAGACAAGATCCCACCAAAAGTGTAATAGAGAATGACGATGATCTGCTTTAGATATGGCATATGGGGCTTGGCATCCAAATTATAAAAAGATGTCATATATATTATTACTGATTGATTATACCCATACACTTAAAATCCATTTAAAAGATAATAAAAGTGAAGTGATAGCTTCCAGCTAATTTCTTTCTGAAAATAACCTAACAAATTTTAGTTCCAAAAATACCATATCACTTGATAATCTCCGTTTTGTCTAATAGATCTAACTTTAATATTCTTTTTGAGCCTTCATAGATGATATTCATTTTGAAATCTACATTTACTATCCTTTGTATGAACATCTTATTTTTCCGGAAAAAAAGAAGATATCAATTAGTCACAAGAAACAAAGAGAATAGTATAAGAAAATTCAAAAGAAATCCATACTTTTACTATAAAAACTGAATTTTGATATAAAGAAGAGAACGTGAGATAAAGAACAGAGACACTCGGTTAAAGAACAGATATATATTATTTGTCTCCGAAGTGTAACTATTTGATGAAAGCAAAACCATGCTTTTTTATAGATGTATATAAACAGACTTCTATACAACCTTTACGGTTTAGTAATAGATATAGTTATATTAAACACACAACAAAAATTAACTTTACTTTTCAAGTAGTGGGGTAATAGTACTCCGTAATTGTTTTTAAGTTAAACTTGGAACTTCATTTAATTTACAGTACTACATCCGTTTCGTTTTAAGTATTTCTTTTATAGAAACTTTTACACAAATTAACTTTATTTTTTTACGGTACATGTTTTTAATACAATATCGTTTTCCAAGTAACACTATAATTTGGCCTCACAAATTAAATAATTAAACTAGTTGAAAACTTGAATAGTGTTACAATCTTTTCATAGTATTATGGTATAGTTTCAAAACATATCTTCCCCTATATATTCCATAGACGTCTGGGAGAGGAACCTTATAGGCGAAGAAATGTCCCCACTCAAACCCTAAAAAAAGGGAATCACAACTAAAAATTACACAAAGATGAATTATAGACGCGTATACACATGAGGAGATGAGAGTGGGAATTATACAAATATATAGAAATCATAAAAAGAACCAAAACTCCTTTTCTTTTTTCTCGTTAAAAAAGCATTTTATTTCCTTTAATTTGTCTTTGTTCTGCTTCTCTCTTCTCACTTTCCTTTTTGATTTTCTGCTCTCTCGCGTTTCTCTTTGGTCTTGCTTCCTCTCTTTCGTTTTGCCCTTTTTTTTTGATTCCCCCACCAAGTTTTTCCTTGTAGTTCTTTCCCCTAAAGATCCATCAAACTTTATTAAAGAAGGAAGAAGAAAGAGATAATAAAGGGTATAGAAGAACAATGTTTTTCTCATCCAATTGGTCACAGGTTTCACTCCTTTGATCTTTCATTACAAAATGTTCTCTCTGTCTCTCTCTCTTTCTCTCTTTTTGCAATTTTTCTCTTAAATTCGTCATTGATGTTTTGATTCGTTTAGTAATAATTTTGAATCATTTCCAAAAGATATTCCTATTCTCCTCTTCTTTTCTATAACCAGCTTTCTTTAGATTTCCAACATCTATATATATGGTATTTCTTGCTTTAGAAATAAAAAAATTACACTAGTATTGAATTTGGAGTTTCTTGGTTCTTTCATTTATTTTGATTACTTTGGTTGTTTTTTTTTTTCAGCCGACGAACTCGAATCATCAGATTCATCATCAACTTCATGAAAATGGAAGTATAGTTAATGGCGACGGGCTATTCTCTCACCAACTAATTCCACCTAACCCACAAAACCCTAACCCTAACCACCACCATGCTGCTGTCTCCGGTGGTCATCCGGCGAGGCTGGGTGGATCCATGGCGGAGAGAGCGAGGCAGGCCAAAGCTCCTCCGCCTGAGGGAGCCCTAAAGTGTCCTCGGTGTGACTCCATCAACACTAAGTTCTGTTACTACAACAACTACAACCTCACTCAGCCTCGCCACTTCTGCAAGGGTTGCCGCCGCTACTGGACACGTGGCGGCGCCCTGAGGAACGTCCCCGTCGGTGGAGGCTGCCGGAGGAATAGCAAAAAGGGCAAAAATGGTAATTCAAAATCTTCTTCTTCTTCGTCCAAACAGTCTTCTCAAACGGTCAACACTCCAAGTTCTAGCTCAGGACAGCTAAGGACAAATCATCAGTTCCCCTTTTTACCAACACTTCACAATCTCACTCAACTCGGAGGTATTGGTTTGAACTTAGCCGCCACTAATGGCAACAACCAAGCTCCTCACCAGATCGGTTCAAGTTTGATGAACGATCTAGGGTTTCTTCATGTCGGAAATGGACGAAACACTTCAGCTCCGATAACCGGAAACATTCATGACAGCAACAACAACAACAATGAAAACAACCTAATGGCCTCCGCTGGATCGCTGAGTCCATTCGCTCTCTTCGATCCAACGACGGGGCTATACGCTTTCCCTAACGAAGGCAATATAGGAAACAACGTCGGAGTTTCTTTTTCCTCTACTTCCATGGTTGATTCTAGAGCTTACCAGACCGCTCCGGTGAAGATGGAAGAACAACCCAATCTGGTTAACTTGTCTAGACCGGTCTCCGGTTTAACGTCACCGGGAAACCAAACAAATCAGTACTTTTGGAACAATTCGGATTTCTCGGGACCTTCTTCTAACGATCATCATCAGCTCTTGTGAGATTTTGTGTTTTGTGGGATCATTAATGTATGTTATGACGTGGAGGCTGATTTAAATGACTAGGAACGGTCAGGATCAAATGCATGCAGAGTACGTGTGCGGGACTATATATGATCATGGAGACGTAATGAGACAACCGAAAAGGTATCTTGATTAGAGTGTGTGGATTCAACAACTTAAGATCGATACTTATTTACATATAGATATTCAGGTGTGTCATATAATTTGTTTTGTATTGTGTGGTTTCATGGTTATCTGATTCTCAAATTGCTATACCTCGATGAATTTGTGTCGTTTGTCGGTTTGTGTAACAGTCCAACTTATATATTCTTAATTTTAACTAGATCTCATTGAATGTATAATATTTTTCAGCTAGTTCTACTAGTACTCAGTTTTCGTTGAAATTCAATTCGTTATAGGTTTGCCTGACCAAAATCGAGTAGTGAACATTACTAACGATCTATCATTTCTTGATTATTAATAAAAAATTATAATATATAAAAAGCTAAGGATAATTCATAAAGTAAAAATGGGCGTTGCTGACTAAGGAACAGGAACTTGATCATACAAATCCGTGTCTCTCTGGATGTTATGTTTTAAATTTCCCAAAATACTATTTTTTTCTCATATTTTTAGGAACTTCTTTTTCTTTTACAGTCTTCTTGTACGAATCTGTGTGTCAGTCTGTTTTGTGTGGGTGCATGATCCTCTATAAACATTACTAAATCTATGCAAACCTTGTATAAGTATCTATACAGAATAAATAATAATATTTTTTTTGTTGCATGGATTAAATCATACTTACGTTTAGTTTACCCTTTCTTATACACATATTTTCGGCTGAATGTTGAATAAAAGTTTGTAGGATACAATAATCAATCTAAAACCAGCTAGCTAGATAATTTTTAATTATATTAATATTAAGCAAGCTTGTTTTCTTAACTGTAGATTTTGATCAGTTAGTGTATAATACTACCGTACTAGTATAGTCTAATGTGAAAAATTTGGCGTCTGGTTTAGTGTTGATGTTGTTGCATTCTATGTTATTAATTTGCAATGAAAATAACGATTTTACAAGCATAATACGATAGGGAAAATAAAGTGGAGAATATAATGGAGAAAACGTTAAACAAAGATTGACACGGAAAACAATGCGTGCATAGATTAAGTATGTCCTGACCGGGACCCTCCAACTTTTATGATAGTCCCAGATTTAACGGTAGGGTTAAAATCATTTTGAAATGCTTTTTTGACTCAACCCTTTTTTCTTTTTTTCTTTTACTTATGACTGTTTTCCTAAAATTAAACTGTGTAAAAAAATGTGTATGCTACTACATGATATAATACTGTCTTTTTCTCATCTGTAGTATCTTAACCATCTTTTTTAGCAAGTGTTGAGCAAACAAAATTTACATATTGACATCCATAATCCAAAAAGGTTTCAAATACTACAAAACACATTACACATATGATAACATTTCGTAAATCCTTATGCTATTACTCCTAGATTACGTACGTACTCAACTCCTTTTCTGTCAGAATCATTTCCAGCGTTGCTTTCAGCATCAAATTCAGAACTTTAAGCATTATCGTCAGCATACACATGGTGAGATTCAGTCACATATCTTTCTCATGTAAGAAAAAATTTATAACCAGTTATAAAGTGACAAGTATTACAAGAGTACTATCTTATGATTTTTTTGTTTAGGTTCTCACTTCTCAGACGAGAACCAATTTTATCTCTCTATTCAGTTTTCAATTTTCTTATTTACATAAGAGACCACCACGTGTCACACTCTCACTGACGCTTCGTTTCTTCAGTCATAATTCCTCTCCCCCACCACTCGCTCCCTCTCTTACGTCACTGATATAAAATTGACTTTTCTTCTTAAGACCACATAAATCTATCTAATGTCGTACTTAGTTCAATTTGATGAATTTGGCGGCATATTCATTCACTTTGGTTAGGGCAGTTGTGATAATTACTATTCTTAATCACGCCGGGGCAACTAAAGTCTTTTGACATAGTTTTATTTTTACGTTTTGTTTATGATTTTAGTTTCATAGGGACATACTTTTTTTTTTAATCTCAAAGCTGTTATGTATACGCATCGTTTGGTGGCCACTTGCTAGCGAAATGTTCCCAGTCTATTGTTTTGTCAACCAATATTACCAAACATACTAACATTAAGATTTTTTTTGTGGTAAAATTACTAACACTAAGATGTTAAGTATATCTTGTTCGTTTGCTTAGTAAAGTTTTGTTTTTTCCATTTCCCTTTGAATATTTGGTAGTCAGAAGTCTTCTTTTATGCGGGAGCGTGATTAAGGTTTTAATCTTCCAAGTCAACCTTAGCTTTCACGTCAATTTTGGCTTAGCTAACCGTTTAGACGTGCTCATCTGGTAAACTGAAACTCCAATCTAGTTGGACAAAATTATTTATATATAGAGAACATCCTATAATTATTTGGACAAAATAGACATAAAAAAAAGTCTAAGCGGGCAAAAAGATAGCATACTTCCAATAAAATAGTATTTAACAATTTGCCACAAACAGAGGCAGCCTAACAACTACTCATCCTACTTGATTGGTTGGTGAACATACTATACCAGCGCAAGTGGCTTCGGTCTTATTAAAATAATCCAATTCTAGAAACTTTAACTACTTTCAAACTGGTCTTATTTTGATTTTTAAGCTCTGACCAAAACAAATTAATACTTATACAGGTAGTTCTGTAAAATAACTATTTTTGTTTGCATTGAAAAAACAAAATCAAAGTAGTATGAAAAACTTCAATCCATCATAAAAAACAAGACCGATATGAAACAGTGTATATCGAATATTAATATTGAATATCTTACTATTAAAAAATTATAATATTTTCTCTTAAAATAATGAATTTTATAAATGTTATAATATCAATAAAATAATAGCATTCTATTAAAAAAAAAAAAAATAATAGCATTTAATACCTTTTCAAATAATAAATGTGTACTACCAAAATAACGAAAAGGAAAGTAAATGAAACTATATAATAAGAACAAAACTAAGGACAAAAATATTTTTAGTAAATCCGTTACTTAAAAGCTAAAAATTACTAGATATTAAATTTAATGTAAAATGTATTTATTAGGGAAAAAAGAAAACATGTATTCATGATGGCGTGTGAGCGTTATATGTATATATATGAAACAGACATTTGACGATTTTCAACCAGTAGACCGGGCCATCTCTGGCGGGTAAAGTAGAACCACATAGCAGAACGAAAAGTCTCACTTTCTTGTTCAACGTCTTCCTCGTTTTCCATCTTCTTCTTCCAGACACCTTCCGTTGCATCATTCAAGCCCTCTTCGGTTTTGTTGTTGTTCCTTATGTTCTTCGGTTTTTAAATACTCAACCAATAACACCTGGATTTAATAGGCTATTTATTGTGTCGCTGAATCGCTTACTTCTTCTTGATCAGGTCAGCTTCTACCGGATAAACTCTTTTAACATTTTATTCCTCTATCCTTTTCCATTACTTTCAATTCGGGTTTTGATTGTTATTATTATTATTTTTAACAAATTGGTTCAGTAAAATGGATCAAGAAACACATATCGTTTCTTTGATTGATTACCTTTTTTTTTTTTTTTTTTTACGATTTCAGACAAGCTACATAGCCTGGTCTGTCTAATTTTGTGTTTGTTTAGTACGTCCGTGTTGTTGACCTCCTTCTTCACACGTAATCCAATATATATATTTTTCTGCCGATCCAAGGATTCAAAATGGGGAAGCGTTTGAAAAACGAGAATACGAGCCAAAGACATGGCAAATATTATCACAAATCAGGATGGTTAACCGGAATGCTTCATCTGCTTGATTTTCACCATTGGAGAACTAAGAACCGCCCAATCTGTAAGCCCATCTCGTAAACTTTTATACTTATTTTCTTAAAGTAAATTTTTGATTTTAAATAAAATTAGTAAATATTTTGAATGATGGGCTACTCTGTGTTCATAGGTTGGAAGACTCCAAGAACACATTCCTTGGTGCATGAAACTGATGAACAAGAACCGTTTCTTGATTCTGAGAAAGGAGATTCAAATATGCTTAGTGTTGTTGCAGAGAAGCCAACGAGAAAACTGAAGAAGACGATGACAACAAAGCAAGTAACAGAGTACGTTGATTTTCTTGAAATCTTGAGAAAACAAGATGTTTTTGTCAAGATACTGAAAGATCCGAATTCGGAGTTCGGGAAGCAAGTCCATATCAAGTCTAATCCAAGAGTTTTGCCCAAGTCAGGCTCGTTTCCTCTCTCACGCTCTTCACGTCCCGCTAAGATTGAACACAAGCAGAGGGAGAATTGGTATTCCCCAAAACAGAACGGTGCCGTTTTGACTTTGAATGTTCCAAGAGACACTTCTCAGGAACAACAAAAACCAATCTTACCTTCTCATGGCTCACCTGATGATCATGGATTTAATCACGCGGTGTTAAGTGGATTTAGAGAAATCAAGAAGTTACTCAAGAACGCGCTTAAAGACCGAAAGCACAAGAAGAAGAACAAGTATGCTTCTGTCTCAATAGATGATTCTGTGGGTAGATACTCTCATCTCTTGGAGCAGAGTTTTAGAACAAAAGTTGGTGAATTACGTTCCAAGAGCTTAAAACTTTCATATGAAGAGAAAAAGAGTGATTCGAGAGATGATAATAAACCACAATTCTTCAAACGGATTTCGTCATTGTCCAGCCTTGAAGTTCTTAGTTCATTTCTGACCGACCTGCCCCGAGACAGTTCTACTTCCAATCTAGAAGCTAGGAAATCTTTAGATCAAGATACTAACGTTGTGCCCAAGAAATCGTTATTACTATCTGAATCTCCGCCAAAAACAGAGAAGGAAGAAAAAGATGAGGAGCAAGATGAGAGAAACCAAGAAAATCATTTAGACAGCCCAAACAAAAGAGTCCTGCAACAAGATCCAGATTCTGTTCCTAGTACCGGTTCCTCCGACAATACTGCACAAAAGACGGAGACTTTACCCTCACAAGGTAAGCTCTTGAATGAAACAGTTCAGTACTCTTTGATAAGGGAAATATATATATGCAAATCTCATTTCTATATATGCTTGTTCTACAGGTTTAGATCTAAGTTCTTTTAAGATTTACAACCATAAAGAAGAAGAAGAAGATGAAGATGCTTGCTTTTGTTTTGTAAAGAAGGTTCTGGAACTTTCAGGTTTCCTCGAAAACGAACACAACGTAGAAAAATGTCACTCAGAGGAACAACCACTGAACCCATCACTGCTCTACGAACTCGATATACAAGAAGAAGCAGTGAACAGAGAGCTTCTCTTTGATTTGGTAAACGAAGCAATCGCTGAGTCTCACAGCCAATCACACATCTATTTCCCTAAAACATTAGCGTTTGCATTTCCAAATGGGAAACGTTTTCTTGAAGAGGTGTGGGGAAGAGTTGAGTGGAGCCTCTCTGGGTTAGGAGCTGAGAATAGAGATCGTTCATTGGACGATATTGTGGGAAGAGATCTTACGAAGGGTGATGGATGGATGAATCTACGAGCTGAATCTGAATGGCTGACTCTTGAGCTTGAAGATCTGATTTTTGATGACGTTTTAGATGAATTGCTTAGTGAATGTTAGTCTTTTGGAATGTCTCAGTCAGTTTTTTTTTTTAATATGTATACATGTATATAAGTGTTTGATACAAATTCAAGATTTCTAATTTCTGAGAGGAACAGCTGATTGGCAAACATGATTCCATGATTTTGCATGTTTTTTTTCACCACTCACAATTTTTTGCTGAATTAATCAATTTTTTACAATAAACTATATCATGCCAAAAATAAGAATCCCAAGTTTTTAGTAACACTGCTAAATACGTCATGCGCAAAACAAAAAAAATATAACGGGCCTTGCCAAAAAATAAATGTAACGAGTTTTTAGTTCCTCTTTTGGGCCGAGCCCATCACTTTAAACCCTCGACCTCCGTCTTTCTCTTTCTTCACCGACAACCACCACGGCGACAAATCCCCGATCGATCAATTTCCTCGGCGGGATACCATCCTGTGTCTCCTCGTTGCTTATCTCACTGTAACTCTCTTTTTTAGCTCGCCGGAGAACTGTCGGAGATAAGTTGATGTGGCTGAGCCGGGCGGTTCCCGTTCGATATTTGGGATCCTATCGAAGAACTCAAAAACCGCCATGGATGAGATATCCTGTTGTCTTCTACTCAGATTATACGGAGAAGAAAGAAAAAGTCGCGCCTATGCAGGTTCGATTCATCATCTATTCACTTCATCCACAAACACCCAAAACAAAACCCTCTCTGTTGCTCTTTTTTTTTTCCTAAAGAATTTGTGAACTCTAAGTTGTGCAGGAGACTAGAATGAGAGATAGGTTTACGCTGTACGCAAGAGGCGGTGAAGGTGGCAGTGGTTGTTCCAGCGTCCGCCGGAGCCGTACCGATCGCTACGGAAAACCTGATGGTACTATCCCGAATTGATGATACAGAAATGTTATGTACTATAATCCATACTCATGTTCTAGATTTTGTATAGTTAGAACTAGAGTGCTGTTTTAGTGGATGTATCTGACATGGAAAGAATTTTCGAAGGTTGTAAAACATGGATTGTTCGAAGAATGTTGATGTTAATTTAAATTGAAATTAGTTCAGGTGGAAATGGTGGGAGAGGAGGTGATGTGATCTTAGAATGCACACACGCAGTTTGGGATTTCAGCGGATTACAACCCCATGTTGTAAGTTTACGCCTTTTTTTGGTGTGTGGGTCTTTGAAGGAAGATGCAATTCGCGTCGAAACCGATTATATTATCTAACTTTTATGAGTTTTGCAGAAAGGTGGGAAAGCTGGACAAGGAACTTCCAAGAACAGGATTGGAAACAGAGGAGAAGACAAGGTTTTGTTTTCTCTCATTGGCGTTTCTCTGCTTCTTTCTTTTTATCTTGGGGGAACTAAAAACATCATTTCGCATTTTTGTGTCACACCACAGGTCCTGCAAGTGCCTATTGGGACGGTTATTCATCTTCAAGAGGGTGAGATTCCATCTCAGGTTCAAGTTGACTCTCCCAAAGATTTGGATCCATGGGACCTTCCTGGTACACTGGTTGAGGATCCTGCATCCGAGGAGAACCCTGATCTTCATCAAGAAATTACGCAACACTCTGTTCAAGTTGAACCTGAGAAAGAAAGTGTAAAAAGACATGTAGGCACGCCAGAGGAATTTGATTTTGAAGACGATGAAGGAGACATCGATCAAGTCAAGTATAATGTTGCGGAATTAACAGAACAAGGTCAGAGATTAATCATTGCTCGTGGTGGTGAAGGCGGTTTGGGTAGTGTTTCCGCAACACGTTATGTAAGAGGCACCAAGTTCGGTAAAACAGCGATCCGTCAAAACAAGTTGAGGAGCATGGAGGACGAAGCTGATGATGAGGATGATGATGATGATGATAATGAACACTCGAGTATTAAATCTGGTTCCCTCGGTTCCGAGGCTGTCCTGATATTAGAACTCAAGAGCATTGCTGATGTTGGACTTGTCGGGATGCCAAACGCCGGGAAAAGCACGCTTCTTGGTGCGTTATCACGTGCTAAGCCCCGCGTAGGCCATTACGCGTTCACGACGCTTCGTCCCAATTTGGGGAACGTAACCTACGATGACTTCTCCATGACGGTAGCGGATATTCCGGGGCTCATAAAAGGAGCTCATCAGAACCGAGGGCTAGGGCATAACTTTCTCCGCCACATCGAACGTACCAAAGTGTTGGCTTACGTTGTGGATTTAGCATCGGGGCTAGACGGTTGCAAGGGAGTTACACCGTGGCAACAACTGAGAGATTTGGTGATGGAGCTTGAGTTCCATGAAGAAGGGTTATCGGATAGGTCGTCTGTGATCGTGGCGAATAAGATCGATGAGAATGGCGCGGATGAGAGATTGGAACAACTTGAGAGGAGAGTGAAAGGAGTGAGGATATTTCCGGTTTGTGCGGTTCTTGAAGAAGGTGTGGCTGAGCTTAAAGATGGTTTGAAAATGCTTGTAAACGATGATCGTGAGGGATCGGAGAGACTAAAATTGGAGAATATCTGTGTTGACTAGTTGAGTTTTACTTGTTGTCAAGTATCCAATCAAATTTTCAGATTTTAGGTTCTCTTGAAAAATAGGAGAACATTTCTTCACTTTTATTTTATCTTTGCAATATTTATGAAAAAACACAAACTTTTCTGTTAAGTGAATGTACACAAATTCTACTGTCGAAAAATTAACTTGAATCAAAAAAGTAAAAACTCAATGAAAACTGCAATTATTCCAAAAACATTATCCATCAGTCCATCCATGTCTATCAGAATCCGAACAATAAAATTGAAAAGAAATGTCAGTACCACTTTTGAAAATATAGGCCAAATTATTACGTAAACGAGGGGGCACGTAGGAAGTCTAAAAAGAGTTTTGGATTTGTGATGGAAAAAGAGGGCCAATTAAAGTGAATTCACCAATTCAGGACCTTGAAGGGGCAAGAAAAAGCCAACGACCTCACCCTACTTAATGTGTTCCCTATTCCTTTTTATTTTCTTTTAGCCAGAGACTTGACCCAAACAATATTGTGTGGTTCTTGCTTCTTCTTTTTTGGCGCTCCTCAACATCACTAAGGGGAAAAGTTTATACCTATCTTACTTTCGGCATCGGACACAAAAATAGGCCTTGTTCAGAAGTGATTCAAAATACCATATCACAAATCCATAAACTTCGATGCCGATGTGATCCAAAACTGTCTTTGAGAAAGTTTACGTTATTTAGAATTGTCGCTATTAGTAGCAGGGACTGCAACATACTTGATCTGAGGGGAAAAAAACCCCATATATAAGATCATGAGGGAAATACACCATGGTACACACAATTGCTAAAAGAAAGTACACTATATTCAATTTTGCACTAGATATAAGGGGAAAAATACCATGTATAAAATCATGGGTTGCATTTATTTTCAACTGTCAGTTAAATTGAGATTAAATCTTGTGGTTTTTACATGATATCAACGTTCTCTTAATCCAGATGGAAATTTATCCTTTTTTGTTTGTCAACAAACAAATTTTTATCATAATATTGATAAGTAGTAGAAAGAACGTAGACAGTATCTTGGGTTGTCAAATGGCTACATGAGGATTACTAAAAAGAGGATACTAACTATGTACTAATCTCTTGGTAATATAAAATAAATTAACAGAAGATAATATATCTCACTAAATAAGTTTCCAGGACGTATAAGATAACAATAGTTTACGACTTGGATAAAGAAAGGATGTTGTATTATATATATTAAGAGTCTTACCAAAAAAAATATATTAAGAGGAGGAACAACATCCTCGTGATAAAGACATTAGCTATTGTCAAAGACATAATATATATTAAGCTTGAGTTCCTCCTCTTAACGGAGGATAATATATCTCACGAAGTTTGTCTTGACAAAATTATTGATCTAGCAAGTTGCTCCTTGTGATAAAGACATTATATATATATATATATATATATATTGTAATAAAACAAGTATATATTAAGCAGATGAAAGAGGCATGCTTTATGCCTCTTTTTTTGGTCGGCTGCCGTTTACTAATAAAATCGTAACTCTTGTAGCGTGTACGACCTTTTCCTTATTCCATAATAATTTGACGTTCTCCATTTTACACGATACTCTAATTTCTTGCTGAAACTCAAATAAAATGTTAATACATTCTTGAAGCCATTAGAACAATCTAGATAACCGAAAATACTGGGCAAGTGATGTTGTTTACGTAATTAAGAAAAAGTTGATGTTATTCCGAAAATACTGGGCAAGTGATGCTCAGCTGCATTTATAGAAGAAACCGACATATAATTTAATGATTACATCATCTAAAACAAATTTTTATCTCTTTTAGCCACTTCATTTAAACAATTTTTTTTTACACAATAATGTTTTAATTTAAGACAACAGTAATAAGATTCTGTATACAAATTTTAAGGTTTAAATTAAAATAAATAGCAATTTTTTTAATTAACACAAGATGTGATGATCTCTCTGTTGAAAACTTGAAATGCTCTTTGTGGTAACTTCTTCCAAAAGCATTTCTATTGAAATTATCCAAACACGAAATGACACGTGTATGGTGGATAGAAAACCGAATCTTTCTCTCCTCCTATAAATAGTGGTCATTCCCTTTGTTCAAATCACACAGCACATAAAGAAGAACAAGAAGAAAAACAAATTACAAATTCAAATCAAAGAGAAGTAAGAGAAGCAATGGCAGGTTCTAACTGTGGATGTGGCTCCGCTTGCAAATGTGGTGACTCTTGCAGGTAACCCTTTATTCTACCTTCTTTACCTTTACTTGCATATACGCATGTGGTTGCTTTCTCCTTAATTTTTTTTTGGCTTAAATTTCATCTTATTAATTACTGAAATTTCAAATATTTGTTTTTTGTTTTTTTGTTTGGTGAAGTTGCGAGAAGAACTACAACACGGAGTGCGACAACTGCAGCTGTGGATCAAACTGCAGCTGTGGGTCAAACTGTAGCTGTTGAAGGGATTGTGGTGCATATCACATATTTGCAGGAAAACTGGGGGAAAAAATTGTGTTTGATGTTAAGAGATTTGTGTGTGTTTGAATAATGACTTGGCATGGTGTTGCGTAATAACTCTCTTAACCTTGACTTTTTCCTGCTTTGTATTTTTCTATGTGTTGAATGGTGTGATTGTGTAATGTTTTAATTTGTAACCTAAGAACAAAAAAAAAGAATATATATTGACTATTGTGATTATTAAGATTTGTCTATATCTCCTCTCTCCATAGTAGAGTATAGGGTAGGGTTACTCAGCTAAATGACCCATGTAAAGTTGTTTATTTTTAGATAAATGACCAAATGGTAAAGATACTGTAGTTGATTTTTAGCGTTGACATTCAATCCAATTAAACCGGATACTACTAATTACACTACATAAAACCGAACCAAATACAACTCCACCATGTCCTTATCGGGCTTTATAGCTTAAAGTTTTGGACTATAAACACGCTTCGATGTTTACGGGCCAAAAAAGGTCCCTCCCAAAAAAAAAGAAAAAATGAGATCTATTATTGCGGTGATGAGGCAACGAGAATATTTCGTTCAGGCAATTCGTCGAACGACTTGCGTGACATCTTGTCCTGCGGTGGATCAAGCTAATTTCCAAGTCTCGAACTTTCTCACTACCTTAATATCTTCAACGAAATCTCCAGATGAGACATGTAGCGGGTCTGAAGGAGAAGAAGAGACCAACAAGTGTTTGTCTCTGAGAATTGAGAAGCTCCCCAAGGGAGTAACTGTCGGGTCTGCGTTACAAAGCTGGATGGGCGATGGATTTCCAGTTCATGGTGGAGATGTTTATCACGCCATTAATCGATTGAGGAAACTCGGAAGAAACAAACGTGCTCTTGAGGTTCGAATTTCTACTTGAACTCAACATGCCTCCCTCAATCTTTGTTAAGTTAAAAACAAAGAACCAAGATTATGGGTGTGAATAGTTTTGAAAAGTCTTAGAACAGTCATTGGATTTGTGATTTGAACATGATATTGAAAGAAACAAAAGTATAAACTTTATGGTTCAAGAATTGTTGTATCATGTGATTTTGCCTACTGAACTGAGATGAGTACTTTGGGAATGTTACTCAATGGAAATGAGTTCTTGTTGTTAGTAAAGATATTCTTGAATGTGAGCTTAAACGTTTTGGTATGTTTGGTTCAGTTGATGGAGTGGGTAATCAGGGAAAGACCGTACCGTCCTGGGGAGCTAGAATACTCATACTTGCTGGAATTTACAGTCAAGCTTCACGGAATCTCACAAGGCGAAAAGCTGTTTGCCCGTGTCCCTCAAGAGTTTCAGAACGAGCTCCTCTACAACAACCTCGTGATCGCTTGCTTAGGCCAAGGTGTCATAAGGCTTGCCCTCGAGTATATGAAGAAGATGAGAGAACTCGGTCACCGTACATCACATCTGGTCTACAACCGTCTTATAATTCGCAACTCAACTCCTGGAAGAAGAAAGCTCATCGCGAAAGACCTCGCGCTCATGAAAGCCGACAAGGCGATTCCTCATGTCTCAACATATCATATCTTGATGAAGCTCGAGGCTAATGAACATAACATCGACGGGGTGCTAAAGGCATTTGAGGCTATGAAGAAAGCGGAAGTTGAGCCGATGGAGGTTTCTTACTGTATATTGGCTATGGCACATGCTGTTGCGAGACTGTATACAGTTGCTGAGGCCTATACTGAGGAAATCGAGAAATCTATCACAGGGGATAATTGGTCGACCTTAGATATATTGATGATTCTGTACGGGCGTTTGGGAAAAGAAAAGGAGCTAGAAAGAGCGTGGAATGTAATCAAAGGGTTTCATCACGTTAGATCCAAGAGTTACTTGCTGGCAACGGAAGCGTTTGCGCGAGTAGGGAATCTTGATAGAGCCGAAGAGCTCTGGTTAGAGATGAAGAACGTAAGAGGGCTAAAAGAAACAGAGCAATTCAACTCTCTGCTCTCTGTATACTGCAAGTGCGGTTTGGTAGAGAAAGCAATCGGCGTATTCCGCGAGATGACGGAGAATGGGTTTAAGCCTAATTCGATAACATATAGGCATCTCGCTCTCGGATGCGCTAAAGCCAAACTGATGAAGGAAGCTCTAAAAAACATCGAAATGGGTTCGAATCTAACGACGAGCAAAAGTGTAAGAAGCTCAACGCCGTGGCTAGAGACGACACTATCGATCATTGAGTGTTTTGCAGAGAAAGGTGATGTGGAGAACTCAGAGAAACTGTTTGAAGAGCTGAAGAATGCCAAGTATAATAGATATGCGTTTGTGTATAATACTCTGTTCAAGGCTTATGTGAAGGGTAAAGTCTATGATCCTAACCTGTTCAAGAGGATGGTTCTAGGTGGAGCTAGACCTGATGCTGAGTCATACAGCTTGTTGAAACTGGTTGAACAGTATAAGCCCTGACTCAATCAAGTCTGCTGCATTGTCTTTAATTTGTTGGGGTCAATCTTATCTGCTTCCTAATTTAACCTCAAGCGTTTAAAATAGCCTTAAATAATGGATATAGAAACAGATCATCTTCGAGATGAGGATACTTGATCAACAAGTTAACTGTAAAACTTGGATAAATAAAAACAGAATCTTTAGATTAGATTTAGCATGATAATCACACAATCAAATCGAGCTCGTTGAGTTGAGCACGTAAATAAATAATATAAACAGCTGAAAACCACCAATTTCGATTCATCGATCTTCACGGATCGGAATTAAACAACATCAGAAAATGGATATAAGTTGTTGCGGTGGTTCCCCGGTGGCTGAAATGGCGACGGAGAGCGAATCGTTGGCATTGAGGCTTATGTGCATCGTCTCCTTCTTCGGCTCGATTTTATTACCATGTTTCTTCGTTTACCCGAAGCTGCCTAAGGAGGCAGCCGGAGACGAGGAATCCGGCGATACGCTACCGCCGGCGATGATACTCGTGAAGGAATGGGAGAAAGGCGGCGGCGGGATGACGACGGAGGTTTGCGTGATATGTTTGGAGGATTTCCGGGGAAACGACGCCGTTAGGGTACTAGGGAGATGCAGGCACGTGTTTCACGTGCGGTGTATAGATTCTTGGTGTTTGTATAAGTTGGCATGTCTGGTTTGTAGAGCTCCGTTCCGGTTATTCGATGAAATGTTGATTAGTTTAGGGATTAAAGGATAAGATTTGACCTAAAAAAAGTAAAAAAAAAAAGGATAAGAGCTTGTTAACTACTTCCTCAGTCACGGGCTCAAAAGGAGCGAGCCGCTTGAGTTGGATAGTTGGAAGAAAAAAAAAGAAAACAGTGAATCTAGGCGACAACTACGTGGCAGACATGCTTTCAAGTGGACTTTGGACCTTTGTCTTTCTTTGGTCCTACTCTTACCAAAGGGTCGGTCAAACATGCATTAAGTCAATGCGTCTAATATTCGTTCACACGGTCACTTCCAAAAAGACAAAAGGATAATATACTAAATAATCAAGAATACACCAAGGGAATCGATGTGCCATGTTCTCCTCCGTCCATTTAAACTAGAGAATTAACTTGTTCTTTCTCTAAATTATTGAGAGTTTGTAAATTTAATAAATTATTTAAATATTTCTCTCAATATGTTTTAAGAATCTCATTTCGATGAATAGTGAAATATAGGAAACTTTTGTTTGTTGTTTAAAAAAAGGAAACTTTTGTTTTTCTTCTATTTTTTTTTATTAATTTTGTTTTCTTGTTTCTCAAATATATTAAATTTATTACTAATGAAAAAAATAAATCAACAGCGGGCCCCTTACCGACGACCGTGGACTTTACAAAAATTACATGAGTATTTCTTTTCAGATGTAATTTTGATAGATTTTTCTCGCCAAAAGTACCATAAAAAACCACTTGGAAATAATATAATTTGTAAAAGAAAAAAAGTTCACGATTTTAAAGATGAGATGTGAGTCAACATTTTCATGAGTTAAATTTTATAAACTGATGAGTACTAGAGCATATTGGTGAGTTTGAATAAAAAATGATTTACTTTATCTAATTAAAAATAGTTGTATTTTTGTAAACCGTAGATTCAAGGTATTTTTACAAAATTTTGAAATTGTATTGAATATATTTATGTAAGATTTTGGCTCGGTGCACATGCAGCATGTGACATGCCCCATACTTAAAACAAGTGCATCCACCTCTGAGCATTATTCAAACCCATAAACCATTCTGATAAATTACTGGAGATGCGTTAATCAATTTTTGTGTTAAGAGTTTAAGAGAGTAAGTTGTTCAAGGACCAAAAAAGAAGAGTTTAAAAGAATACAATAACCTACTTTAACAAAATAAAAAATACAAGAACCCACAAAAGTTGTATAGTCCAATGAGTCAATGACAACTGCGGTGTCGGTCTTGACTCATAAATCTGGATCCAATATTTAAAATTTATTGTAGGAAACACCTTGAATCATATAAGATGATATGATTATAGAATGGGCACTGGGAGGGTCCTTGATGGATTTAATAGTTTGTATTTTATTCAAATTTCAAGTAACCGTTACATAACGTTGAGGAATGTGGATTACACTGCTTAGAAGCAGGGCCAGGGCCAGATCCAGATCTGGGCCAAGGCTATTGAAACATTTGTTTCAAGTTCCCAAATTTTTTTTGTCTAATTTAGTCAATAATTTTTAAAAAAATTTTTTTTTTTCTTTTTAAAATCAATTAGACCCCATTTCTGTTTTTGTTTCAAGCCTCCAAAATCTCAGTTCTGGCCCTGTTTACAAAGGTAATCAATAAGAAAATCCGGCGTTTTTATTAGTCTGAGTATCTTAAAATTACGTCATAGTTCAAAGTATTTTTTCAGTGTAATCATAATTTTTGATTGAAAATTAAGATCCGATTGATAACTCTAAATTAAGACCTGAGCATTCCATGTATATATTCATTGGTCAATCCGTCGACCAGAGTAAGAGTCTATACAATAGTCGTTCGAAATCTGACGACAGATTTGGTTGTTGATTAACGCTAAATGAGCCGAGCCTAGCCCACACCAGCTGGAATTTACATCGAGAACTAGAATGATGACGTCAGATCCAACGGCTGAGAGCGATTTGAACACCCCCGTGGAAAGGCTAATCTTCGTTCGTAGTACCAAAAAAGAGAAACGATAGCGAAATGACAAATAAAACGAAACGATAAAAAGGGAAGAAATTTCTATTTCCGAGAGAGAAAGAAAAGCTCGAAAAACTGATAAAAGCTTCCAGAAGACTAAATCCGCCATTAATGCGGCTACCCAACAGCAACGTCCTTCTCACTCTCTTTGACAGAAAAAAGGAGGTGAGTAGGAGTTTTTCTTTCTTCTTCGTTTGTTTTAGCTGTTGGGGGTTTCTTAACTTTTCTTGCTTGCTTTGGGGGGATGAATTGTCATTTATTTAATTCAGCAATTTGAGTAGGTTTATGAACTTGGTCGTACACTTTTTGAGGGGATAAGAGTTGTGAAATCTTTTCTTTTCACATTTTGATTTATTTCCACATCAACTTTCCAGCTTCCATCTGATTAAAGTCTGTACCTTTTTCTTATCTCAAGTGTGATATATAGTTAAAGAGATTGCGGACAGGTTCCCAATTTGGTTCTCTCTCTGAATAATCATGGGGATTTGCTTGAGTGCCCAGGTCAAAGCTGAGAGCCCAGGTAAAGACACTTACCTCAAGTTTCCCTTTTCTTTTTCTTTTAGCTTTGTCTCATCTTAAACGACGAGACTTGTCATCTTCTGGTTAATTTGTGGATGCAAAGTTCTTAGATTTGTTATTTCTTTACCTGAAAGTTTTGATTTTTCCATCTGAGGTTAGTGTTTTGACAAATTTGATTCGTGTTACTAGTCATTTCGAAATTCGGCTGTAATCTTAAAGAAACTGATCTGTTTTTGTTTTGGTGGGTTTAGGGGCGAGTCCGAAGTATACGAGTTCTGACGCCAAAGATAGTGGAAGTCTTGGGAGTAAGGGTTCGTCTGTGTCTGTAAGACCAAGCCCTCGAACTGAGGGTGAGATCTTGCAGTCTCCAAACCTCAAGAGTTTCAGCTTCGCCGAGCTTAAATCCGCAACCAGGAATTTCAGACCAGACAGTGTGCTTGGTGAAGGTGGATTCGGTTGTGTGTTCAAAGGATGGATTGATGAGAAGTCTCTCACTGCCACAAGACCAGGCACTGGTTTGGTTATTGCTGTCAAAAAGCTTAACCAAGATGGTTGGCAAGGTCACCAGGAGTGGCTGGTAAAAATAACAAGCTAATAATTTGCCAATGATAGTTCTCGTGTGCTATAACATTCTTGATGGTTCTTATGTGTTTCGATGATTTTGCAGGCCGAAGTGAATTACCTTGGCCAGTTTTCTCATGGACACCTTGTGAAGCTGATCGGTTATTGCTTAGAGGATGAACATCGTCTTCTCGTTTACGAGTTCATGCCTCGGGGTAGCTTGGAGAATCATCTTTTCAGGAGTATGTCCTTCTTATTCTTTGTCTTATCCTGGGATGCAAGCGTCAAACTTAAAAGCTTTTCTTTTTTGTGAATGTGAAGTTAATGAATATTCGGGTTCTTTAATTTGGGTTGCAGGAGGGTTGTATTTCCAACCGTTATCGTGGAAACTCCGGTTGAAAGTTGCTCTTGGTGCTGCAAAGGGACTTGCTTTTCTTCACAGTTCCGAGACAAGAGTGATATACCGTGATTTCAAGACTTCTAATATCCTTCTTGATTCGGTATTTTAAACTTCTCTCTCATGTTTGATATGATTGCCTGCAAACGTTTCAAGCTTTATTTATGATGAAAAACTTTGTTATACATGATTGCAGGATTACAACGCAAAGCTTTCTGATTTTGGGTTGGCCAAGGATGGGCCTGTAGGTGATAAAAGTCATGTCTCTACACGGGTCATGGGCACATACGGATATGCAGCTCCTGAATACCTCGCAACCGGTAAGTGTCAAATTCTGTTTTTGGTAAAATCTTTGTTTTTCTGATTGGCTTGTCTTTATCACTGATCACTTTTGCATTTTCTTTAGGGCATCTAACAACAAAGAGTGATGTCTATAGCTTCGGGGTTGTACTTCTGGAGTTGTTGTCTGGTCGGCGAGCTGTGGACAAGAACCGTCCATCAGGAGAGCGGAACCTCGTGGAGTGGGCTAAACCATACCTTGCAAACAAAAGGAAGATATTCCGAGTCATTGATAATCGTCTTCAAGACCAATACTCTATGGAAGAAGCATGTAAAGTGGCTACTCTCTCTCTGAGATGTCTCACCACAGAGATTAAGCTTAGACCAAACATGAGAGAGGTAGTTTCGCACCTCGAACACATCCAGTCTTTAAATGCGACTAGAGGAGGAAATATGGATAGGACAGAGAGAAGAGTGCGTAGGAGAAGTGACAGCATTACCACCAAAAAACCCAATGCTGGTTTTGCTCGACAGACCGCGGTGGGCAGTACAGTTGTTGCTTATCCTCGCCCCTCGGCCTCACCGCTGTATGTCTGAAGATATGTAATAGTAACACGTCTTGGGTCTGTCTTCTTGATAAAACTTTTGCAGCACATGAAGTTCTCATATCATGTCCTGTATATGGAATCTGTATGTACAGTTTTGTCTCTGTTAATGTAAGAATTCAGTTCGTTACAGTCTCATTACAGGACGACAAACATTTAATTTTGATCTTTGTAACGTGAGGGTTCATTAATACATCTCTTCTATTATTGATACATCTCTTGTATTTATTTTATTTTTTTAAATTTCGTTTCAACTACATATAGAAAAATGTTGTGACACGACACTCAGATAAAAAAAACGAATGCAGCAAAGTGAGGACTAACGTGCCTTGGGGCTCACTTCAGTACCAAAGCTCAAGTTAATGTCGAGGGATCTTGTCGTGACTATGTCTCTTGTCCTCTTGTTTTCAGATATCAGACACTCCTTTAGCTCATGAACTACATGTGACATGTTGGGTCTTTCTAAAGAGGAAGGAGTCACACATGTCATTGCTAATTCAAGAGCTTTCCATGCAGAACCCAAGTCATACACCCCTTGAAGTTTAGGATCCATAACATTGGTAATGTCTCCTCTAGTAAGCATAACCTTGACCCATTCAGCTATGTGAGGCTTTTCTCGGGTTTGATCGATCACCGGTTTGTTTGTTATAATTTCTAATAGTACAACACCAAAACTGAAGACATCACTCTTCTCAGACAACCTATTTGTTTGGTAATATCTACAAAACACAAATAAATTAAACAAATAAATTAAACTGGTTTAGTTTAACGGATCCGATAAAGAAGATTACACCATCATACTTACTCATGATCAAGATATCCAGGTGTGCCCGCTACAAGTGTAGAGACATGAGTTTCATCTCCAACGGGGAAAGATCTAGAAAGTCCAAAATCTGCAAGCTTTGCTTGGAAATGATCGTCCAATAGTATGTTGGAACTTTTTACATCTCTATGAACTATTAACGGTTTGCAGCCAATATGTAAGTACTCCAACCCTGTCCCCGAATATTCAGCTTTGTCAATTAATCAATAGAAAAAATTGGTCAAATGGGTGTTAAGAAAAAAGGAAATGAGAATAATGGCGGTTCCATTCTCTAAAACGAACCTAGTGCGGCATCAATAGCTATGTTTAGTCTATCTATCCAGCTCATGAAGGAGCTACCTGCATGTATTAAACATTGTAATGAATGCCAAATAAAGCTAGAATGTTATCAACTATAAATGTTTACCTGACAAATGTTGTTTCAAATCACCATTGGCCATGTACTGGTAGATGAGAGCCAAGTGGTCTTTTTCATCACAGTATCCAACAAGGCTTACCAGATTTGTGTGGTAAACCCTTAGAAGAAGTTCTACCTATCCAAACATGTACCAATGTACATACAGTGTTTCAGGTTCGTCTTACAGAATTGATGATTATTTTGTTCTCTTTTCAAACGAAAGATAATTTTAGTAATGATGCAAAAAACCTCTGTTTTGAACTCTTTATAGCCTTGAGCTGATGATGGAGAGAGTAGCTTAACAGCTACTTCTTCGGTACCATTTATATAACCATGGTAGACCATCCCAAAGCCTCCTTTACCAAGAACTCTTTCAGTGTTATTTGTCATCGTAAGAACTTCGGAGTATGTAAACCTTCTCTTTTTTGTTTCTATTGATGGTTGGCTTGGTGACAAACCTATAATAATACGCAAATAGTTAGAAACGATTCTCGAACAAAATAATACATAACTTTATGTATACACACACTGATGTTAATGGTTTGATGAATTTGTTCCATATACCTTTTCCTCTTGATGGTCCTTTCTTTATACAACAAACAAGAAGAAGAGTGACCACTGCTATTATAGCAGCCAAAGAAGCGAGTGATGCTACAACTGGTAACATGATGCTATTTTTCTTTTTGTTGCATGAACTGGAAGAACAAAGGTTCGGATTTCCTTGAATGCTATTGTTGTAAACAAGCTAATTAAGTGTTAGTGAAGATATAATTAAAAACTAAGACATGTATTACCGATAAACATCAACAATTGGAAGACAAGAAAATCTTACTTCAAATTCAACCCCATTTTATCAAGAAGAGCTTGCGGAACTGAGCCACTAAGATTGTTCCCGCTTAAGTTTCTGTAGCAGTAAATTGATTAAAATAAATAAATATATATAAACATGAACAGACTGGAAAGATAAAAGAACAAATGTGTAGCAGACTGAGTAACTTACATGACTAACAATGATTTCATTTTGGCTAGAAATTCAGGTACTCCTCCTGTCAAATTATTATTGGACAAGTCCCTTTCATTTGAAAAAAATTGAACCAATTGAGTTTTTCTTATTTGCCTTGATAAAGAGTGTTATTAACAAAAAAAAAAAAAAAAAAAAAACAGAGTATTCTCGTAAAAGCTGCATACTTACAATTTTTGAAGCTGAGTAAGATTTTGGATCTCAGGAACTATGAGTCCAGTTAATTCACTTGAGGATAAGTCTCTGGTGTTAAGATCCAAAAAATCCAAAAACACATTTAAAAGTGTAAGATACTAAGAAACACAGAGAGCTTGACAAAGAAAACATCATAATTAGAGTGATTATCACACGTACAAGGAATGGATTCTAGGTGGTGTAGACATATTGGTGTATTCGCAGGTAAGACCATCCCACAAGAATTGTTGAGGAACACATGGATCTCCTTGCCAACTAATTCTACTCAATCCATAGCTTTTTTCTATACTCTTGATAGCAGCAACTAACACAATAATCAATGGAAAGAAACCACTTAAATAAGTATATGCATGTTTATAAATATAAAAGCATATGTACTCAAAAAGTTCGATGACATTAATTACCGTCATTTGCATGAGTTTCGGACTGCGGAAACTCAAGTGATGTAAAAGCCTCAATAGCATTAAGAATGGGAGGAAGAGTTGAATCTTGAGTTCTTATAAGTTGCAAATGGCAAATCACTCCTTGACATTTAACCGGTGATGTGTTGAATAGATTATATACTTGCGACTCCTCAGGACTAACAGGTCCATAACTAACATTTGGACCTGCGCTAATGTTGAATTCCCTGGTATCATTGTCTCTCAAGTCTTGGATCTCAGCGACGTGAAGGTACGCATAAACTAAGTCGTTAGGTGTTTCCAAATTCCAAGAAATGGTCAATGGTGCACTCACATTACCAGGCGTGGCTGCCGTAGCCAACACGTCTTCCGGTATGTCGTATTCGTTATCAGAAGTGTCTACGGGGAGACTTGTTCTTATCAGTTCCCAATCCGACATGAAGAATGGACTCCAAAGACGATCGTGGACATCTTCTGGGTACCTGAACTGAAGAGATGTTAATTTTCAGCCTCAAAACTAAGTGTACCAACATGTTAGGATCGAGCAGAGTTGACTTACCGGATAGTGTCTTTGGAATCGGTCAAATAGACGCGGAACAGATTCTTTAAAGAACCAGATTGAGGAATATAAGTATCATCTCTCAATGGACGTAGCTCTAACGCTGATATTAACGGCGTAGTTGTTCCCGTCTTAACAAGACAAACTTGCAAAGAATTTGACCTAGGGATGTGAATGATCTCGGCCCTCGTGCCGTTTACTTTTCTTTGCAAATCGACCGTGGTCCATATGTTTGGACCAAGATAAAGGTCGAACTTTGGGTGTGCATTAAGATCGTCGTAGTTTCCGTAAACAAACATGGCCACGATCAGATAGTTTGTGCCTTGTGTGACCCTGAGAGTATAGCAGTTCCGTAATCCATCCGCGCCCGCATCTCAAAACCGTGTATGGCTTTATATAATCCAACCCGGGAACATTCTGAATCCTGCTGCTTTTCCCGGTTTTGATGAAATCGGCGTCTGATGTGAATGTTAACTTTGTTGTTGGTTCGGTATAAGGAGACTCATTGGCTTGCAATCCGCAATCTAAGTTGATGAATCCTGGCCACGACAAAACCATAAATCATTTGTAAGAAATGTTGAGTTTGCAAACCAAATTAAAATGAATTAAATGGGTCGAAATGAAAAGAATATTCAATACGTGAAACCCAAATGCTGTTGTACCTTGTTGTTGATCTTGTGCTTGAAGAAAACCGGAAATGCCAAAATACTGAATTAGGAATGCTAATAAAAGTCCACGGATTTTTTTGTTCATTTTTTCTACCTCTGTCCAAGAAAAACAAGATCCCAAACTACTTTACATATAATATAAAGCATGGCAAATTCAAACCTTTGGATATTTAATATGAAACGAATTAATAATTTGACTTTTTTAAAAAACTTTTATTGCTGGTTTGGACGGATCATAATGGAAAAAATGTCAACGTGCAAATAAGGACGTCCTGTGATGAACTAATTCTCTGACCAAAGCCGAAATAAGGGTGCTATAGAGAGCACAGGGCCCAAAATCCTCCAGCGTCGACGCCTTCAGAGACTCAGCCAATCACCTCATCGTTCAGCAATCCCACCTTTGCGACCTGCTTTCGAACCACCATTTCTCCCTTCCTCATTGCACACTAGTACCCAAACTAAGAACGAATTGATAACGATGAGAAACCTTAGACACAAAGAGAAAGAGAGAGAGCAAGGAGGATGGATACAAGAGAATTGAATTTCGAATTTTAATAGACACACAACACATTTGACATTTGCGGGGTTTTTAATTGTATTCTTTAATATGCTTGTATCTGGAATATACTATAAATGCTCCTAAACAACGATAAATGCCACATAAGAACACAAAAAAAAGACTCAACCAATAATAACACAACACATCAAGTCATCAAATATCTTAGTGTGATTTGACTTTGTTTATAATAATTCGATATACTATACGTTATACGTACCTTGATTGCACGATCTTTTGCTTTTGAAAATTTCACCACCAAAGTTGGGTTTGACGGCTTCCTAGAAAATACTCGATTCCATCTTAGACTGTTGATTTCTATTAGAAATATTGTGTTTGGCTCGTTTTCTATTTACAAGTGACGTTTCCATATAAGTTGACATTGCCTATGTTTTTTAATTTCAGTGCTCATCCCAATTAATTATTAATATAGATATATGACTAGTCTATATAGTGTTTCAAGAATTTTGGTAGCTGTTAATATTACATATGATATGATGGTGCTTAGATTTTGGTTTAGTGTGAACCGGTTTGTACCGGATAGATTATAACTGTATATAACACACTGTCCAGGCAATGTCAACTCACATCGACATTTTATGATTAACAGAAACATATACATATTCATAGTTTCCATTTCCTCTCGAGCTCATCTTCGTCTTCTTCACGAGAGAGACTCGATTTCGTTCTGTTCAAATTTCAAATTCTCCTAATAGTTAAGTTTTCATTTGGTTGAGAAGTGAAAAGTAGTCGAAAATGGAGACTCGCAACAAGCTTCTGTTAGTCGCTTATGCCACTTTCTCCATTATACCTATTGTAAAGTCTCAAAATCAACAAGGTTAATTTTTTACTGTCTTTCACTCGTCTTTTTTTCTTATATATATACATACATATATATATATTTGTAATTTCTCAACATTTTCTAATATTTTCCTGTCGGGTTAATTTTATCAGGATTCATCAGTTTGGATTGTGGATTACCTCGTAAGGAATCTCCTTATATCGAACAATTAACCAATTTAACATACATATCTGATGCCGATTTCATCCAAGGAGGAAAAACTGGTTATGTCCAAAATAACACAGAAACAGCCTATCTCTGGAAGGCAAACAGGGTTTTGAGATACTTCCCCGATGGAATAAGAAACTGCTATAGTCTGAGTGTCACGCAGGACACAAAGTATCTTATCAGGGCCCTATTTGTATACGGCAACTATGACGGCCTAAATATTCCTCAAAGATTTGACCTTTATCTTGGTCCTAATATTTGGACGTCCTTAGTTTTTCCAAACTCAGATTCACGTGCGATGGAGGAGATCATTCATATCACAAGATCTAACAGTTTAGATATATGTGTTGTTAAGACAGGGTCAAGTACACCATTTATATCAACCATAGAATTAAGACCTTTGCGGTATGATACTTATGCTACTCCAACCGGTTCCTTGAAGCATTTTGGGCACGTCGACTTCACCAATTCAAAAAAAATTACAAGGTATGTACCAGAATAACATATAATTAAGACTACTACTTTAATACTTACAATTGTGTTATGATTTTATTTTATTGGAGATTACGTGTGGAGCAAAATGTTACGTGTTAAGATTTCACATATAAAGTTACGAGGTATATAAAAAATATGGATTGAGTAATTAATCCATTCATTGGTAATTGGTTTTGAGTAGTGAGCATTTTTCTTTTGGCTTCTTGATAGAAAGTTAATACTTAGACTGTGGCAGGTATCCCAAAGATGTGTATGATCGTATTTGGTTTCCCCGCTTCCAACCGCAATATTGGACTCAAATAAACACAACCCTGAATGTAACGGATTCTTCCTCTGGCTACGTCCCGCCACGAGATGTAATCACGACCGCCGCAATACCCACTAATGCCAGTGAGCCTTTCACCTTTACCTGGACTACGGAAACCCCCGACGACAAAATGTATGTCTACCTTTACTTCGCCGAGATCCAACAACTGGGGGCCAATGAAACTAGGGAATTCAATATTGTGGCGAATGGTAGAGTTGATTACGATTCTGTTAGTCCTATGAAACTTGAATCACAAACTTTATCTAACCATGCATGGCTTAAATGCGAGGGAGCGGTGTGTCGTGTGCAGCTGTTCAAAACTCCCAAGTCGACTCTACCACCTCTAATGAATGCTATTGAGATTTTTAGAGCCATACATTTTCCACAATCAGAGACGAGTAGAGATGATGGTATATGTAGCCGTATAGCTTTATGCATTCTCTATAGTTAAACATATTTTTTCTTACACATGTTAACTTCTTCTTGTTTTTTGTTTTGTTTTGGGCACATTATATTTGTTAGTCATTGCCATCAAAAACATCCAATCTACTTATAGTTTGAGTAGAATCAGCTGGCAGGGCGATCCTTGTGTCCCAAAACAATTATCGTGGATTGGTTTAAGCTGCAGCATTATCGATACCCCCACACCACCAAGAATCATAGCATTGTAAGAACATTCAAAGTAGTGTTTTTTTCTCAAATTAAATGTATATCAATGATCATACTATATATGTGATGATATGTCTCCGATCATGCATGCAAACAGAGATCTGTCTGCAAGTGGGTTAAGTGGAACTATACCACCTAGCATACAAAATCTAACTCAGCTTCGAGAATTGTACGTAACTCCATCATTTAATAAAAAGAATGTTTATTCGGTTTACTAATACATTTATTTTTTTTGTGGGACAAATTTTAGGGATCTATCGAAAAACAACTTGACTGGAGAAGTGCCCGAATTTCTAGCCAAGATGAAATCGTTGTTGGTCATGTAAGTTATCTAAGAAATATTTTTTGTCATCTTCGTTAATGTCTAATTAATGATTTCTTTACATCCACAGAAACTTAAGTGGAAACAATCTTAGAGGTTCTGTTCCTCAAGCCCTTCTCGATAGAAAAAAGGATGGATTAAATCTATCGTAAGAGTCTACTTTTTAGATTGATATCATTTTGATTATTATGTCTGTATGTCTTCAATAATGGTTTTTTTTTTTTTTTTTTGCTGCTTGATTTAGTGTTGATGCAAATATAAAGCAATGTGGGTCATGCAAATCAAAATCTCCAGTGGTGGCGATTGTTGTGTCTGTTTCTTGTGTGGTCGTTATCATAATCGCGTTGGTTCTCATCTTCTTTTTTAGAAAGAAAAAGACATCAACTTGCAAAGGTAGTTTAAAACTAAGAAATATATATCTTCCATATCAAAAATATGGAATCTTATGGATCCGTGTCAAAAAATTTTGTGCAGTTATGCGTCCATGCCTCGAAATGAAAAATAGAAGATTTACTTATTCAGAAGTCAAAGAAATGACTAATAACTTTCAAGTTGTTCTTGGTAAAGGAGGCTTCGGTGTTGTTTGTCAGGGTTTGCTAAATAATGAACAAGTAGCCGTCAAAGTTCTCTCTCAGTCATCAACTCAAGGCTATAAGGAATTCAAAACAGAGGTACTAAATTACACTAAAATATTCCACTAAAATTTTGGGCAATCATGATTCATGAGTCTATGAATCATTTCCTTTTATATCATTGATCCTTAGGTCGAACTACTTCTAAGAGTTCACCACGTAAATTTAGTAAGCCTCATCGGATACTGTGATGAAGGAAATGATTTGGCTCTCATCTACGAGTTCATGGAAAATGGGAACTTAAAGGAACATCTTACAGGTAAACTATTAGAGTTAAAAAAAAAAGGTAGCTCGACAGGCTTTATAAACTTTCCAGTGATTTTTAACCATTTGGTGATTTTTGGCAGGAGAACGTAGAGGCTCTGTTTTGAATTGGTCGGGTAGACTTAAAATAGCTATCCAGTCTGCGCTAGGTTTGTATAAATTTTTGTTAGTTCTTATTTTTTTTTTTTGTTTAAGTAGATATATTCTTACGCCTTTTAATTTTCATGTTTATGATAAATGTAGTTAACATGGGAAAGCTTTTTTTCTATGTACTAGGCATTGAGTATTTGCATATTGGATGTAAACCGCCAATGGTCCATAGAGATGTGAAAAGCACCAATATATTGTTAGGTCAAACTTTTGAAGCGAAACTCGCCGACTTCGGACTTTCGAGATCTTTTCTAGTGGGGAGTAAAACTCATGTATCAACAAATATTGCTGGAACTATTGGTTATCTTGATCCCGAGTAAGTGTACACCATTATAGTTTTAAAAATATCTCTTGCTTGTTTGATTAAAATAAAAAAGAGGTTCAAACATCATCAAGTACTTGCCGCGCAGATACTACCAAAAGAATTGGTTAACGGAGAAGAGTGATGTATATAGCTTTGGGATTGTGTTACTGGAGATTATCACTGGCCAACCTGTGATAGAACAATCACGTGAAAAGTCTTACATAGTAGAATGGGCCAAGTCTATGCTCGTAAATGGTGATATTGAAAGTATTATGGATTCGAATCTCCATCGAGAATACGACACAGGTTCATCTTGGAAAGCTCTTGAATTAGCAATGTCATGCATTAACCCTTGTTCCGCAGAGAGACCAAACATGACACGGGTTGCTCATGAACTAAATGAGTGTTTGGAAATATACGACAACTCAAGTAAAACAAGGAGCCAAGATGCAAATTCAACCAACTCCATGGGACATAGCATAAGTTGCATCAGTGATACTCCTTCAGCTCGTTAATCTTTTCATCTCTATGCTTTTTCTTTGAAAAATATTCTCTCCACAGGTTGTGTTCAAGACTGTAATGTGAATATGTTAAAACTTCATCTTATGCTATGGAATTCACTATTTGAATTTTTCTGAACAATGTATCAAGATTGAAGAATCAGATGATTCATATGAATTAATGTTCTTCCTTAGCGTGTTCAACGTTTCACGTGATCGTGATGGTAAACAAACGCCTTCATTATTAATAGATCATCTGCTTTCTCTGAAACCAAGATTTGCTGATAGAATAACTAAAGTTATATTTACACCAAACGGACTACTATAACAAACTTGAAGAATCAACAGATGAAGATAATGATATGCTTGATCTTGCTTTCAGGCTAACTGAAACGTAAACTCTGTTACTCTTAAACCCACAAAAAAAAAAACAAAAATTAAGGCCACGACTCGGATGCCAAGTCATTGCTAGAACAGAAGCTAGCTGATGTTCACTTGGCCATTCCTTCAGCCACACGGAACTTTACGGTTGATGGGATTTGTTCAAAACCTCATTTGCTTTTGCAGAGATTGTATGAAGCAGTTAGGATCAAAGAGATGACTCATGTAGTCATGTAGAGTTTGATAACTGAGACAAAACAGTTTTATATTACATATCTTAGTTTTAATCTTATTATTTCTTGTTATGTCTAAGTGAAAACAGAAAAAGCTTAAGCAATTTTTGGAGGATTCTCACTGCAGAATAAGTACAAGGCTTGATTTCTTTGATGTTAATAAACTCAAGATTTTTAGTCAAAGGAAGATAGTTCACATCATTTGAAACTTTTTTAGCGTTTAGATATTGTAGAACGACAAAAAGCAAAAACACAATATTACTAAATGTAACAATACACGAGGACACATATGAAACTACGAGCATGCTTAAAAAGAGGGGTCATGAACGACTTTGAAAATGTTTACTCTAGAAATGCATATCATTGTAATTCGTAATCATCGAACATGTCATCATAGTCAGAAGCACCTGAGAAGTCATAGTAAAACTCATCATCTGACACCATATCGACATCAGAGAAGCCATAAGGGTAGTCATCTTCTGATGAATCCACATCGTTAATCGTTGCATCAAATGGGTAATCATGAATCGAATCATTGGGGCGTCTAACAACTTTGATCCTCTCGGAACACCGCTTCTCCAGATCCCCAACAAGGTTAACGTTGAAACACTGGCGTAAATCAAGATGTTCCAGGTTAGGACAACTGTCAAGAATGGCGTTTAAACCAGCGTCTGTTAATTTGTTCCCAAAAAGCTGGAGGTGGCGAAGTCCGGACATCGTTTCAGCGATTGCTAGGGCAACATCGTCACACTCGTGTCGAGGACGCCTGTAACCCACACAGTTCTTTTTCAATGTCTTCAGATTAGGACAAGACTGGCCAACAACTTTCAGAAACTCTCCTGATAATGAGCAGTATGAAATCTCGAGGTCTTCAAGCAAAGGAAGTTTCACGACAGCTTCAATAAGTCCCTCGTTTGTTATTTGATAGCACATTGCAAGTTTAATGCTTCTCAGATTACTTGAACTGCAAATTGTTGTGTGTAAGACTTTAGAAACATAATCAAAGATAAAGAAGAAGAAGAACGATAAGATGCAAAACAATTTTTCCTAGCACCACAATAACCTGAAGCTAAACCATTTGAACCTCAGAAGCATAACAATCTTAGAATCAACTATCAAGTGGACGTTTTCTACTCTAAAACGCGAAGGGCAGGGGAGTAACAGTCACAAGCCTGAAAAGTAAATTGACTTCAAACTTGCAAAGCGTACATTCACAAGTATGAGTAACTCAATGTCCAAAAGTGAATTCATCAGAAGAGACCCAGCAGACGAAAAGAGACGAGATAAATACCGAGTGACAAAAAAAAATCCTCCAAAAACAATCATTAAGCTACCAAAATTTTCCCCACTCTTCATAAGGAAGAAGAACTTAGGAACTCAGAACAAGCAAGTTGTTTTATGGCCAAAATCTGTACTAACCGTATATTTAGCAAAACCCCATACAACGACTGAAATCAAAACAACCCCAATTCTCTAATCAAGGAATCGAAAATTCCCCTTGAAGAAAAGTCAAAATTTGCCACAGATTTTGAGTTACAGAGAGAGAGAGAGAACCTATCGGCGATGTAATTGAGGAGAGAATCAGTACAAAAGTTCCGAATATCGATCTCAACCAAACCGCCTTGGCTAAGATCAACTGCGTGACGGCACATTTTCTCGAGCAGGTCGTAATCCACGTCTTTGAAGTTAAGCATGTCAATTTTCCGCCACATCGAGGGGTCTTTGCAAACGCGATACCACGATTTGCACACTTTCTGTGCGTTTTCCAATATCTCAATCGCGCCAAGCCGGTGCAGAATCGATGACGTCAATTCCGGCGGAAGCTCCGCCCAGTTTCTATGTTCTCCTTCCTTCATCGCCGGAGGCAAAGACGAAGAAGCCATTCTCTCTATCTAAGGATTATAATTTAGAACGTCAGAGGAAATAGCTGAGACTGAGAGTGCAGCAGTTTCAGTTTACAATTAAGGATCTCATTATACATTATTCACGAAACTTATTTGGGCCAAACTTTCTAAATATGGGCCTAGGCCTATAATCAGAAAGCCCCATCACATGGTTCTCGCGGGATACAACATAGAAACGAGTTCATTAGGTCGGCAAATGACAAGACAACAACATGTCAAAAACCACATGTTTTCTGCATTGTTTTTTTTTTTTTTTTTTAACTTATAACCAGAGGGTGATTCAGATTTTTATCACTCACTCAAAAACTTCTGCAAGATTACATCAAAACATAGAAACGAGTTCATTAAGCTGACAAAGCCAGCACAAATCGCATGTTCTCTGCATTGTTCAGAAAGACTCAATACATCTTGCCATTGGGCTTCGATCAGTCCGATCAAGACATGTTTCGGCCGATCAACGCGCTTTATGGTCATAACATACGAAAATTGAATCGTATGAATTAATGTTTTAATTTCTTACTTACGGAATTGGACCATATTTTTACCAAATATGTAGGTGTTTGGTGTACTTCAATTATCATTTTTTTATTTAAATGTAAATCCTAATTAATTTTTAACTCTCAATATGAAAAACTCATACATATATTGGGTGCAAATAAATTATGAATTAAATACTAGTACTTACGTAAACAATTTATTTTGTTTACTTAAAACTGGATTCAGTTTATTTATTAAAAAAAAATAACTTGATTCAGCTAAATGAAATTTGACTATTTCTTTACCATTCCAAACCTAGAATTTTCTTAAAAGGATTACAAAACGTATAATCTTACACAACTATCCTGGAGATTTGAACTATGTAAAAGCTACAGAATTTTCGAATCTTCATCTGAACATATGATTAACCCTCTATAATTATTAATTATTAAATGAAGTATATATTCTAATAAAAAAAAAAGAAAATAGAGGAAAAACTGAAAAGAGAATTAAAAAGGAAAAGGACAATGACATGGCTTGGACTTGAAAAAAAAAAAACTAAAAATTTATGGCTTTTGTGACTCAACGTTTTTGTCGAAGTTTGTGTGTGGTAAAAAAAGCCGCATGATCCGACAGAGACTCCACGTGTCCGAATCTGGGGGGAGGTTCGAGAGACAGTGGTGGGTCAGCCAAAGAAGGAGAAGAAGAACAGGTCTTCAGGGTGGGGTTTACTGGTTATAGCCGGTTATTCGCTCTTCAGACACGTCCGGTGTTACTGGTATAAGACCAGGGGTTTAAACCCTTTTCACGTTCGCAACTTTTTCCACACATAAGGGTTTTTTCAATTTCGCACCAAAAACAAAACCAAAAAAAAAAACACAAAAAGAGAAACCTTTTCTTTGTTTTCCTGCTTAAATGTTGGTGCTTTGAACATTTGATTCCGGTAGAGAATTTTCTTCTTGTTTCTCTGATCGTGCATTTCCTTAAGAGTTTTTTTCCTGCCTTGTTTCCAGAAAACGGTGAGGAAATTTTAAGTTTCCTTGGATCTGAGTTTCCAATTACGGTAACAGATGCGAGATTCCCTATTTAATAAACAACAAATATAGAATTATTGGACGAGGGTCCCAACTTGAATTTTGGTTTCTTAGAACAAGAACTGTGTTTGGTTTCCATGAAAATGTAGTTTGAGGTTCGAATTTCAATTAATTTGTCTTGGTAATTACAAATCCCTGCTCTGTTTTCTCTTTACGATCATCAATTAATTGAGGTTTTGGATCTTGTTAAAATAGAAATTTCAGTAACTTGGGTTGTAGCGAGGTTTTACAGAAATTTTCTCTCTAGAATTGGAAAGTTTAATGCTAAGTCACATATACAGGATGTGATAATTTTGGCAATGGCAGAGATCTTATAGATCTATTGGACTCATTAACCTAATTTTCCTTCCTGCAGGGGTCTTGTCTGCTGTTGATTTTTCCCGTGAGAATGCACTCGTTTTGTTGAATGTCGGAAATGTTATTCAAGTCATGGTGTTGCAAAAGAGGCTCGATTATGGATTCAATGGCTATGAGGTGCCTCCCACACCTCGAGCTGCAAGATCACCAAGAGTAAATTGATTCTCTTAACTTTTTTTGTGTGTGTGTGTGTTTTTCTTAAACATTAATTATTATGTTCCAATGTTCTTCCCCTCTGATATGTCTTTGTGTTTGTGGTTTGCTAGAAGAGTGCTTTCAAGAAGAAAAGCGAAAACAATCAAATATCGTCCTTCGATTTGTTGGCTGCAGTAGCTGGAAAACTGCTGCTTGAAGGTGGGGGGAATTCTTCTTCCTCAAGTAACAATGCCTCGGGCGATAACGAAGATCAGTGTGCAGTTAAGAAAGAACCGCTCTATGGCGCCGATCAAACGGTGGGAGAAGAGACTGATTGTGATCATCATGACAATGATCCTGAAAGGAGATTCTTTGTCTCTGAGATCCTTCAAAAATCTCATGACATGGAAACCTTCAACAGATCTCCAAGCCCTCCTAAAGATTTCCATTTTGGATCTACTTCTGGTATAACTTCTGATTCTTCAGAGAAGTTTGGAACTCAAGAATTAGAGGAAACCAAGATCGACATTGGTTTTAGCTATAGGCCAGCTGAGACTAGTGGTAAGAAATCAATGCTTGAGGGGTTAAATTGTGAACCAAAGTTGTCAAGGAATGTTGTAGCCAATGATGAGCATCGTATAGGTAGTGGATTCAGGAAGCCAATACCCCCAAATCCTTCGGTATGCTCTGATGATGTAAATTTACTCGGTAGGGAAAATGATGATGCCGAAAACTTCTCAGACCGTTACACAACAAAGTCATTTAGGCCAACTCTGCGTGTAGGAGATAGAAGAATAAGAAAAGTTTTGGCTTCAAAGTTTTGTAAAGTCTCTTCAAAGCAGAAAGATACAACGGTAACAAATTCAGGTGAGCATATATATGGACAATTTGTGGGTTAGTTATATGTTCTTTTAACGATTGTTCTGGGTGGAAATGTTTAGACTTGGACTTGAAGCCTGGTTGCTACAGCAAGAAACATTCTCTCAGGAGCTTAAGCTGAAACTTATGCGTGTTTGTTTTTCTGATAATTTTTAGACTTGGACTTGAAGCCTGGTTATTATAGCAAGAAACATTGTCTCAAAAGCTTAAGATCAGAGAGAAACTATCCAATCAAGAAAAGAAGATACTTTGATGGTTATACAGCTTCACAATCCCAAGAAACAGTAAAAAATGAAGGCCTTTCTAGTTCACCTCCAAAAGGTATTATCATTATCATTTATCAGAAGCTAATCATTTCAGCTTCAAAGTCATAAAACGTTATGATGATTAACTTTGACCTTTGTTTTTTACAGCTTCGGCTTTTCTGTCATCCATAGATCGTCAGAAGCAACCAGCATTTCAATCAAGAGATTCTCACGGTATCTTTTTCTATTATGGTTTTCATTTTTCCATCACTCAGAGTTTTGTATTGAATCTGCTCATTTTTCTTTGCTGTGCTTAGTGAAACTTGGAATCAAGTCATTTAGAGTTCCTGAACTTTTCATTGAAATTCCAGAGACCGCTACTGTTGGTTCGCTAAAGGTTGGAATTTTTTTACTTAGAGATTTCTCGAAAGGGTCATTCATTTTTTTTGGAAAATGATGAGAAAGTTTACTTCTCTTCGCTAGAGGACAGTCTTGGAAGCTGTGACCACAATCCTTGGAGGTGGATTACGCATAGGAGTTCTTGTTCATGGAAAAAAGGTTAGAGACGACAACAAAATGCTTCTTCAGACTGGAATCTCTCTAGACAGTACTCTTTCAGATACTTTAGGCTTTTGTCTTGAGCCCAATCCTCCACAAATATCCAACAAATCTCTTTCTCCTGAAGATTCTAATTTTGTGCGTCCCTGTAATGTACCTCACACTCTAACAAGGTCAGTCTCACTCCATTGATCAATGTTTGCTTCTTCATTTTTTTTTCCAATCTTTGATGCAGAAAAAAAAAATGCTTTTGCTGATGTTTTCGGATACTTGTATGTTCATTAGGTGTCTCCCATCACTGGGGAAGCATGCTAAACCGAGTAACTCTGTAGAAAGTGACCTTGAATCCAAACCCTCTGCTCCAAATAGGGCTAAAACCGTCTACTCCAGAGCCTTGATTCCTGTCTCTCCTCTGCATGTTCAGGCTTTATCCGTAGTCCCACCTCGGAAACCCAAGCGATGTGAGGTGGCTCAGCGTAGAATCCGCCGGCCGTTCTCGGTTGCAGAAGTAGAGGCCCTTGTTCAAGCTGTTGAGAGACTTGGGACCGGAAGGTAACTAATTTGTTAATGCAAAGTTAAAGACTTGGATTTCAATCAAGAATTGTTCCGAAATAGTGATACTGATAGTGTTGCTGTGCAAATCTATCTGCAGGTGGCGTGATGTAAAGTTGCGAGCTTTTGATAATGCTAAACACCGGACCTACGTTGATTTGAAGGTAAAATAAGAATCTCTCCTTTTGCAGCTATTTAATTTACCGGTAAGATACAGTGAATGAGATTTATGTTTCTTGTGAAACAAGTAATTATATTTGGGTTTGATAGGACAAATGGAAGACGCTGGTGCACACAGCAAGAATATCGCCACAACAAAGGAGAGGTGAGCCAGTTCCACAGGAGCTCTTAGACCGGGTACTAACGGCTCATGCCTACTGGTCCCAGCAACAGGGGAAACAACAGTTGCTAGAGGGAGAGGGACCTCAGAAGCTCGAGACTAGTCTTGGTCTATAGTCTATAGACCTAGGGGAAAATGTTGTCTTCGCTACGTGAAAAATGGACGTTAGCAGGAGGAACCTGGAATTTTTATTCTTTCATATATACTTTTTTGTTGTTTGTTTGTTTGTTTGATTTGTCATGTCGTGTATTTGAGGAGATTCGATGTAAAAAGAAAAAAGAAATGGATTATGATGAAGAAGATAGAGATGAAGATATGTGAAGTCTGGTGTAATTGTCACAGTGGTTGGTTATAATATAATAAGACGCTGATTTCTTTGTTGCCTTGCAAAATAATTTGAGATTGTTGAATCTGCTCAACCAAAGAGTGTCTCGCAAGCTATTCAAATTTATGACTTCATCAACAAATCCCTCGTATGTCTTTATGTCTGAATAAAAAAAAAGTTGTCGGTTGATAGAGATACATTTTGTTATGTGGTGAAAGTGAAATATGTTGAGCAGGTCATCCATTATAAACTGCAATTGTTATATTTCATAGACACATGGACCAAGACATGTAAATTTTTGTAATAATGCAGTCGTTGGAATAATTTTTGACAAATCCGGTAAGAAAGTTGAAAGGTTTGGTAGAAATGACACAGGAAATCATTTGGAACGATAATAAAAAAAAAAAAAAGATGTAAACACCATCAAGTAGCTCTCTCATACGCATGTGGGGACTTGAGACAAGATTCTTTGATAAAAACAAAAAAAGTTGGAATTGATAAGGAGGAAACGGAACCAAAATATATGTACCAACTCATAATTATTCACAGTCTTTTTGTGGTTCTAGCTATGCGATATTTTTCAATGGCTAAGCACACTTTCTAGACGCACCGAAAAAAAAAAAGAATAAAGAGAATATGATGGAAGATTCGTTAGGATCTCATCGATCAATGGAGAAAAATAATTGGAGATGTCATTTTCATTATTTCACATCTTCTATCAAAAGTACCATTGAGTAATCTTTTTGGATGTGTTCATGTGGCTACGATTAAGCCAATGTTCTGATGCCAATCCAAAGTAAGGTGCTAATGTATGCTACAAGGTCTTAGACTTATCGTTAGATTAATGAATATCTGAATTTTATCGAACAAGTTTATTTGAAGCAGTTACAAATGATTTTTTTTTGTAGTTCATACCATCATATTTTTTTTGTTATTAGTACAATATCTGTTTAGTTTTTTAGTATATACCATTTCTTACTTTCTAGTAGGGAAAAAAACTTAAAAATACCTAACTTATATAACATTTACTAGAAAAATACCCAAACTTTTTTGACTCCCTTAAAAATACCTGAACTATTAATCATCTCTTTTAAATACATAAACTATTAATCACTCTCTTTTTAATACTCAAACAATTATATTTGCTAATTTTACAAAACAATAATTTCATAAACTCAATTTTACCCTCGTTAGATTCAATTTATTTTATTAGAAAACCAAATTATAATTTATTAACCTAAAAATAAAATTATCTTCCTTCTCCGACATTTTCTCTGTAATTTAATAACATGTCTTTGCAAATGAAATTCTCAACCAGATGAAGCAATGTGTTTTCTTCTGTTAAAACACAAAATCAGAAAACCCTACTTACATCTCGCTGTTTAAGAAAGGAAAAAGATCATGTAATCGATCCAAGCAGTGGCCGATTTCTCAGATTTTAGATTCATTTGAGGCTAGATCGATGGATCTGAGATCGAGATTGAGTTTAAGCTATTGATATCTAACCCGACGTGATTACTGTTCAGATGATTGTAATAAAGATCTAATTTGGTGTCAAATTTGATGAATTAAATCTTCATTGCTTTAGAGAAATGACGTACTAAGGTGTCGTTGTCGTGAGAGAGGAAGAAAGAAAGATGTGTCACCGAAGGAATCTTGGTTTACATCTCTGATAATCTAAATTTGCTGAAAAGATGAATCGAGAATTCCTAAAGTCTGCAGAAGTTCCATCGACAAAGAAATCACCAGAAAATGGAGAGATTAGAAAGAGAACTCATCTGATCCACTAATAGTATTGGAGTCACGATTCTGATGTTACTGTTCTTTGCCGGAAATATGAGAGTCATCGGACTTGGATCAACTTTTTCTTCGTGTTATTAGAAAGAGAACATTTTTTTCAGGTTTTTAAATTATATAATAATTTTGTTTTTCTAATAAAATAAATTGAATCTAAAAACTAATAGAGGATAAAACTGGGTTTTTGAGATTATTGATTTGTAAAATTACCAAATTTAATTGTTTGAGTATTTAAAAGAGAATGATTAATAGTTTGTGTATTAAAAAGAAATGATTAATAGTTCAGGTATCTTTATAAAAAGTTTGGATATTTTTCTAATAAATGTTATACTGGGTATTTTTAAGATTTTTTCCCTTTTCTAGTATTGTGCGGAACTTTACTGCCGATGTTTTTCCTACTGGCTATTAGACAGCAGTCACACCACGATAGTAAATAAATGAAATAATAGGTCTATTAACTTCACATAAAACCTGGTCAACGTAACAAAGTGATACCTTTGAATAATTCATTGTCGTCAGTAAAAAAGGGGTTGAATTATTTGTTTGTCCCGCAATTAATTGTCATGTAATTGGAGTAGTTGACAAGTAATTGCTGGTTAAAAAAAAAAAATACTATGACAATTCTAAGTAAAAAGCAAAAGAGATAAACAGTAAAAAAGTGTTCGGATCCGGAAAGATTCTTTTTCAGACTAAGATAGATGCAAGAAATTTCCTGAACTCAAAAGAAAATTCACAGAAGCATAGTATATCTTATCTTGTTATTTTGTTTTCCAGTGAATCAATTAATTATTTCCTCTCTCTCTGCTCTCTCTCTCCACTCTCTCTCTCCACCACGTACACTAGTAACCTTTTCCCCCAACTCAAGGTTCTTCCTTGTCATCTTGTTGCCGAATTCGCTAATCTTTACCCACAAGAGGTATGCTTATGACTTCTCTCAAATCTCCCTGCTTTGTTGTTTTTTTTATTCTCTCGTTTCTGATGGTCTTGTTTTGGTGATTCATCAGCAATAAAGTCTCGACCTTTTTTTATTGACCCTTTCAAGGACTCTGTATTTTCTGAACCACTGCTTCTTTCATATTTCGGATTTTAGGTTTTTCGTTTTTCCGACATCCATGGGTTCTTATTCGGGTGGATTCCATGGATCCTTGGATGGGTTCGATTTCGATAGCGAGTTTGATGATTTGCCTGGCTCAAACCAAACCTTAGGTCTAGCAAATGGCTTCTATCTAGATGACCCTCTCTTAAATTTTGCATCTTTGGATCATTCGTCTGCTCTCTCAGAGACATATCCCCATAACAGCAACAAATCTGCACCAGCAGATCCATTATCTTCCCCATCCGATGATGCTGATTTCTCGGATTCCGTTTTGAAATACATAAGCCAAGTGCTTATGGAGGAGGACATGGAGGAGAAGCCCTGTATGTTTCACGACGCCTTAGCCCTTCAAGCAGCCGAGAAATCTCTCTACGAGGCCCTCGGCGAGAAGTACCCTTCTTCTTCCTCTATGGACCATCGAGCTTACCAAGAGAAATTAGCTGATGATAGTCCTGATGGTTACTGTTCAGCTGGTGGCTTCAGTGATTACGCTAGCACCACCACCACCACTTCCTCTGATTCACACTGGAGTGTTGATGGTTTGGAGAATAGGCCTTCTTGGTTACAGACTCCCATCCCTAGTAATTTTGTTTTCCAGTCCACTTCTAAGTTGAACAGTGTCACGGGTGGTGGTAATAGTACAGTCTCCGGGTCAGGTTTTGGCGATGATTTGATTTCGAGTATGTTCAAAGATAGTGAATTGGCTATGCAGTTCAAGAGAGGGGTTGAGGAAGCTAGTAAATTCCTTCCTAAATCTTCTCAGCTCTTCATCGACGTGGAGAATTACATTCCGAAGAATCCGGGGTTCAAGGAAAGTGGTTCTGAGGTTTTTGTTAAGACGGAGAAGAAGGAAGAGACAGAGCATCATAACTCTGCTGCTCCTCCTCCTCCTCCCAACAGATTAACTGGAAAGAAGAGCCATTGGCGCGACGAGGATGAAGATTCCGTCCAAGAAAGAAGTACCAAGCAATCTGCCGTGTATGTTGAGGAAACCGAGCTTTCTGAAATGTTTGACAAGATTTTGCTATGTGGCTCTAGACAACCTGTATGCATTACTGAACAGAAGTTTCCAACAGAACCCGCCAAAGTTGAGACAACACAGCAAACTGTGAATGGAGCAAAGAGCCGTGGAAATAAATCAACTGCTAACACTAATATTAGTATTAATGATTCTAAGAAAGAAACTGCTGATTTGAGGACTCTTTTGGTATTATGTGCACAAGCTGTATCAGTGGATGATCGTAGAACCGCCAATGAAATGTTAAGACAGATACGGGAGCATTCATCGCCTTTGGGCAATGGGTCAGAGAGATTGGCTCATTATTTCGCAAATAGTCTTGAAGCTCGCTTAGCTGGTACTGGTACACAGATCTACACCGCTTTATCTTCGAAGAAAACATCTGCAGCAGACATGTTGAAGGCTTACCAGACATACATCTCAGTCTGTCCTTTCAAGAAAGCCGCCATCATATTTGCTAACCACAGCATAATGCGTTTGACAGCAAACGCAAACATGATCCACATCATAGATTTTGGAATATCTTACGGTTTTCAGTGGCCTGCTCTGATTCATCGCCTCTCTTTCAGACCTGGTGGTCCGCCTAAGCTCCGTATAACCGGGATAGAGCTTCCTCAGCGAGGTTTTAGACCAGCTGAAGGAGTCCAGGAGACAGGTCATCGCTTGGCTCGATACTGTCAGCGTTACAATGTCCCGTTTGAGTACAACGCGATTGCTCAGAAATGGGAAACGATCAAAGTCGAAGACTTGAAGATTCAACAAGGAGAGTTTGTGGTTGTTAACTCCCTGTTCCGTTTCAAGAACCTTTTAGATGAGACCGTTGTGGTAAACAGTCCGAGAGATGTGGTTTTGAACCTGATAAGGAAAGCAAAACCGGATGTCTTCATCCCGGCGATCCTAAGCGGATCCTACAACGCACCATTCTTTGTGACCAGGTTTAGAGAAGCCTTGTTTCATTACTCAGCTCTGTTTGATATGTGTGACTCGAAGCTGACGAGGGAAGACGAGATGAGGCTGATGTTTGAGAAAGAGTTTTATGGAAGAGAGATTATGAATGTTGTGGCTTGTGAAGGGACGGAGAGAGTGGAGAGACCAGAGACTTACAAGCAGTGGCAGGCGAGAGTGATCCGAGCCGGGTTTAGACAGCTTCCGCTTGAGAAAGAACTGATGCAGAATCTGAAGTTGAAAATCGAAAACGGGTACGATAAAAATTTCGATATTGATCAAAATGGTAACTGGTTGCTTCAAGGTTGGAAAGGTAGAATCGTGTATGCTTCATCTATTTGGGTCCCTTCTTCTTCTTCTTCTTCTTCTTGATAAATGTTCCTTCTTGTGGTCCTAAGTAATTTATGTAGAACTCTTCTGTTGATAGCCTCTCGCCAACACGAGTGGATTGGGTTCAGAGTTAGGGTTCCTAAACACTAGGGTATTGTTATATGCTTGTGACATAGCATCTGTAATAGTATAGCATAAAAGATTAGTTGTACTAAATGTTCACGCCATCTTATGTTTGCATAAATAATGAAAAGCTAGTTTTTCTTTTTTTGTCTTGTTTATTATAAAGTCAGAGTTATATTGCACCAGCCTCGCAGAATCAGAATGTAGTTGTAAGGTTTACAAGATAGTGGCGGATTATAATATGAATAAATGACTTTCCCAATTCTTTTCTTATTATTTTAGTGAATAAAGAACAAAACTAACCAACAAAAAAAAATTTGTTATGAAATTTAAATGAAGAAATGATAGAATACAGCATTTCCCGGTCAAGGAGATAATCATGTACTAAGACGATAATCCAACTAATGAAAACTATCAAACCTGAAAAACTCACATAAAATTTTACTTATCGTTATAACTCTAATCCACATCGAATTATATCGGTAAAATAAAGTATTCCGACAATGTGGCTTTAATCAAAGTTTTACGACATAATTTCAAAATCAAAGAAATAAGCAATCCAATAGACTGTCCTTAGTATCATTTCCAAGAGTGTTTTGTAAATGAAGGTTAGATAATTTGAAGACAGAAAAAGAATATATAGTACTCAAACGTGATATCCACTCAGTTTTGAGTTATCTTACATAAAGTATTTTTTTTTTTTCATGTAACTAGTACTATTTATATGGTGCGAATCTCGCAATACATGTCAGAATGACAATTTGAAATCAGATCCGGAGGTCCCTTTCACTTTCTTTGTTTTTATTTTCATTTTTTATTTTCGGGGATCGGTAGTTAAATATATCTCAAGTCACTTGATGTTTTTTTTTAAGTTTTTTTTGTTGATATAGTACTTTTGTGGGTCAAAATATAGTACTTATCAGCAATCCTCTTCTGTTATATATTTTTTTTTTAATAATCTGCACTGGTCAAATAATCAACTCCACCTATCAGGAATCTTTACGAATCTTGCTCCCCAAGTTTTACATACGAAACTCTCTTCTTTCCTTTTGTCAACTACATTATATTGTATACTTTTGGAATCAATTTAATAAACATATTTTTGTGCGAGACACTTTTGGCTTTACGTCAAATGGGCATTAATAAAATGGGAGCTGATCAAGTTCATATTACACGCGTTTTATCCTTGTTACAAAAAAAAAAGGTTCATATTACATAATTTTGATGTAGAAGTAGAACCCGTCTAAAACGATCAGAGCTTGATTGTATTGTTGTGGGATAAATCAGATCTGAAATCTGGAGGTTATGATATACGAAACGAAAAAAAAAAATACATTGAAGACAGATCAGATGATGGAAAGGAAAATCAGATAACCAAAAAAGAAAAAACCACTTGCGATAAAAGATGATAAACTTTTGTATTAACATGACAGTCACTACTAAAGAAAAGAGCTGGGCCCAAAAGCCCACGAATGACACAGATTTAAAGACAGATCAAAAGGAGCCGACAAATATAGTTTTGACTCCTCGGAGGAATCGCAAGACTGGTCTTGTCCCCCTCGCGTTTCCCGGGAAACTTCCTCCTTTTCTCTCTATTCTCTCTCATTTCTTCCTTGTTGCTCCCTCCTGCTTAGCTTCATCCAATAGCAATTCGCATAACTCCTCTTCATGTGCTTAAATCTCCTTTTAACGTAATTATCTAAAAAGTTCACGCCTTTTTTTTCCCTCCTACTTGCCCACTTACTCTCCCTACTTCTTCTTCTTCTTTAGATGTAAGCAATGTTTTCCCGAGTTCTCACCTGATTCAGATTCCATTGCTGATGAATCTATTGTTTCCTTTTTTTTCTGTGCTGTGTTTCATCATGTAATTGGTTTTTTAATTTTCTGAAGAGGAACCAAGTTAAGTGAATTAGGTCTTCTTGATGATGGAATCGAATTTCTCCAGGGTAGTCAACGGTTTCGAGTATTATGATGTGGGTATCTTACCGAATCCGGTTCCGGTTCCGGATTTCGGATTCGGCGTTCCCTCCTCGAGCGATTTCACTGATCATCAACCTTCAATTTGGCTTCCAGCAACACAAGATCATCAAGATCATCATCATCATCATCACTACTCTCCTCCAACTGATGAGATCGATTCCGAAAATACCCTTTTAAAATACGTAAACCAGATCCTCATGGAAGAGAGCTTCGCGGAGAAGCAGTCTATGCTGTACGATTCATTGGCGCTACGACAAACCGAAGAAATGTTGCAGCAAGTGATCAGCGACTCACAACAAACTCAACCTTTTATTATTCCTAATTCGATTACTAGCAGCGTTGATGATTATTGGAGCAGCAACAGCAATTCTAGTGTCCCCATCGAGACAGGAGCTAGTTCTACTGAGAGTGAAGTGTTGTACGATCATCCTCTCGGTGATTCTGGTGTTGTATCGACTCAAGGATCAGACATGTTGCGTGGAGGCGGTGGATTCGGACAGCCAGCGAATGAGATTCTTGTCAGGAGTATGTTTAGTGATGCAGAGTCAGTTATGCAGTTCAAGAGAGGGCTAGAGGAAGCTAGCAAGTTTCTTCCCAATACCGATCAATGGATCTTCAATCTCGAGCATGAGAGGAAAGGAGTCGTTTCAGTTTCGGTGAAAGAAGAGAAAGGATTGTCGAGTGTCACGAGATCTAGGAAGAATCATCACGAGCGGGAAGAAGAAGAGGATCTAGAGGAAACAAGAAGTAGTAAGCAATCTGCAGTAACTGTGGAAGATGGCAAGTTAACAGAGTTTTTCGATAAAGTTTTGCTTCTTGATGGTCAATGCGATCCGCAGATTATCGAAGATGGCGAGAATGTTTCAAGCAAGGCTCTGCAGGGTAATAAGAAAGAAGGAGGCCGTTCGAGAAAGAAGAGTCAAGCGGTTGATTTCCGCACGCTTCTCACGCTATGCGCACAGTCTATTTCCGCAGGTGATAAGATCACAGCTGATGATTTGCTGAGGCAGATACGGAAGCAATGCTCACCTCTTGGTGATGCATCGCAGAGACTAGCTTATTTCTTCGCCAATGCACTTGAGGTGCGTCTTCAAGGAAGCACCGGGACTATGATCCAGAGTTATTACGACTCCATCACCTCGAAGAAACGAACAGCTGCTCAGATTCTTAAATCTTACAAAGTGTTCTTGTCTGCATCTCCCTTCATGACTCTGATCTATTTCTTCTCCAACAAGATGATTCTTGATGCTGCCAAAGACGCTTCTGTGCTTCATATAATCGACTTCGGGATCCTTTACGGTTTCCAGTGGCCAATGTTTATACAGAACATATCAAAGAGCAAAACCGGGCCACGGAAGCTACGCATAACCGGAATCGAGCTTCCTCAGAACGGTTTTCGTCCAACCGAGAGAATAGAGGACACGGGTCGAAGACTTACAGAGTATTGCAAACGTTTTGGAGTTCCGTTTGAGTACAACGCAATCGCATCTAAGAACTGGGAAACAATCCGGATGGAGCAGTTCAAGATCCGACCAAACGAAGTTCTTGCGGTTAACACAGTGCTCCGGTTCAAGAACCTGCGAGACGTGACTCCGGGTGAAGAGGATTGCCCGAGGGACGCATTCCTAAAACTGATCAGAGACATGAACCCTGACGTTTTCCTCAGCTCGACGGTTAACGGGTCTTTCAACGCCCCGTTCTTCACCACGCGGTTCAAAGAAGCTCTGTTTCATTACTCGTCGCTGTTCGACATGTTTGGTTCGACTCTGTCCCGAGAGAACCCGGAGAGGATTCACTTCGAAGGGGAGTTTTACGGGAGAGAAGTGATGAATGTGATAGCGTGTGAAGGAGTGGATAGGGTAGAGAGACCGGAGACTTACAAGCAGTGGCAAGTGAGGATGATGAGGGCTGGTTTTAAGCAGAAGCCTGTGGAGGCAGAGCTTGTCGAGTCGTTTAGGGAAAAGATGAACAAGTGGGGTTACCATAAAGACTTTGTCCTTGATCAAGATTGTAATTGGTTCTTGCAAGGTTGGAAAGGTCGCATCCTATTCTCTTCTTCTTGTTGGCTCCCTTCTTGATTTTCTTTCATGTGTTTCCCAAATTTTTGTATTTATGTTTTGTTTGTTTCTTTGACTTGATTTCTTGTAGTTTTGCTCTGTACAATGACATGCAATTATGTTAAGAAATGCTAAAGTGGTTAACTGAATCTTTACTAAGGATTTCCAGAAAGAAGAATCACTCCATCGCTAAAACATGAAGATACAGTAGCGTGTTTTGTTATTGCTTTCGATTAAAATTTACATTTTAAGTAACCATTTATTTGGGTGTCCTACGTTGGAACCACCTGTGGCTCAAGCGGCGGAGATCCATCATCCTCCGTAGGCTTCACCGTCACAGGCTCCTCCTGGCTCTTCTTCTCTGTCTCTTCAAATCCAGATTTAAACCTGTCGTAATTCGTCGTCTCACCAGACTTAAACGGACGCTCACCCAAAACTTTAGTAAGATCATCCTGATGCAGAACCTCCTTCTCTAGCAATAGCTCAGCGATCTGAGCCACTTGCTCCTTGTGTTCCTCTATCAGCTCAACCGTTCGCTTGTAAGCTTTGGCCACCCACTCTCTGACCTCTTCGTCTATCATCGCACCGGTTCTGTTGCTGTACGGTTTGGAGAACTCTTCTTCTCGTTGTGGGAACGAAAGCAATCCTATCTTGTCACTGAATCCGTACACCGCCACTTGTGCGTATGTCATCTTGGTCACCTTCTCCAGATCGTTCTGAGCGCCGGTCGAGATCCTCCCTATCAATACCTGCATTCAAAACCAACCGAACAAACAAGGTTCACAGCTTGTAGAGAAAATCAACAGAAATTCTAAAACCGTACAGAGAAATCTCGATCTGTGTAAGAGAGCCTTTTTGGGACTTGGTTGTGTATCAGTGATCCTTCGCCTCCTAACACTATCCGTTTCACAACTAAAAGGAGTTAAAAAGTTAATAGAGAAAGGTTTACCTGTTCAGCTGCCCGGCCGCCGAGAGTCATGCAAGTCATGTCGAAGAGTTGTTCTTTTGTCATGAGCAAGTTTTCATTTGGAACATACTGGGCAAACCCGAGCGCTGCTGTGCCTCGAGGAACAATAGTCACCTTTAGCAATGGTTCTGCATGTTCCAAGAACCACCCAGCAACCGCATGGCCAGACTCATGATATGCAACTGTACGGCGCTCCAGCTTGCTTATTACCTGAGATCATGGAACCACCACCAAAACAAATTGCAGAACATTCAGGTGTTCATATTCCAAGCTTTTGGAGAAAAAGGAAATATCCACCTCCTATTGAGCTGTGTTTGTTGATAAGAAGCACATACCCTATTTTTCTTCTCCAGACCTCCAATAACACGATCGATTGCAGAGTCGAAGTTTGCCATTGTAACTGTTGCTCCTTCATGTCTGGCAGCAATAAGAGCTGCCTCGTTACAGACATTCGCAATGTCAGCTCCAGCAAATCCGGGAGTGAGTGCTGCAAGCCTTTGTGAGTAATATGAAGGCTCATGATCAAGTTTGATCTTCTTCAAGTATATCTGGAATATCTGATCACGACCTTTAATATCAGGTTTGTCTATGGTAATCTGACGATCAAACCGGCCAGGCCGTAACAAAGCTTTATCGAGAATATCCGGCCTGTTAGTCCCAGCAAGCACGACAACTCCAGCTGTAGTGCCAAATCCATCCATTTCAACTAGCAGCTGATTAAGAGTGCTTTCACGCTCATCGTTTCCACCAGAGAAACCTCCACGTCCTCTTGCACGGCCAATCGCATCGATCTCATCGATAAATATTATGCTAGGTGCGCACTGTCTAGCCTCTTGAAACAAGTTTCTCACTCTCGAAGGTCCAACACCAACAAACATCTCCATGAAATCTGAGCCAGATATCGACAGAAACGGCACAGCTGATTCCCCAGCCGTAGCTTTTGCTAGAAGGGTCTTTCCAGTCCCTGGTGGCCCAACTAAAAGCGCACCCTTTGGGATTTTAGCTCCCAAATTTTCATATTTCTTTGGGTTCTGAAGGAAATGCACAAATTCCATAATTTCTTGTTTAGCCTCCTCGCATCCCGCAACGTCTTTAAAATATATCTGCCAGATACCAAAAAGAAAAAAAAAAACAAAATCGGTTGTAAACCCCAACAGCTTCAAGAAAGAGGGTGCTAGTTCTAATTCTCCACCCCGATCTAAATGCTAACCTTATTCTTGGAATTTTTATCAGCTCTTGTGATTTGAGCTTTCCCTATATTGAAAATTCCACGGCCACCTTTCCCACCAGGTCCTCCTACACTCCCCAGTCCACCTTGCATCCGTCTTGCCCCATAAACTAGTGTACCCAAGAGAAGTAAAGTCGGTGCGAACCTCAACAGCTCCTGGTACCAGATCATTTCAGAGACGTAGGTGACAGGAACAAAGTCATGAGAATCAATGCCAAGTGCTTCTTGGGCCTCTTCGAGTTTCTCCTCAAATGATTCAACACTACCAATATTAAAGTAGTACTTATACTGACCACCACGTCCTTTAGCAGGAACTCCATTACCAGGACCTTGAACAACTTCTTCAGTTGTTTGGTTTTTTGGTGAACTCCTCACAAAGACTTTCGCAACGGATTTATTAGAAACATCTATGTGATCCACTAGACCAGCCTCAAGAAGCTTGTTTTTGAACTCCTGGAAACTAATCTGAACTAACAGAAAACACGGAAAAATAGTTCACATATCTCATGCCCAATTCCATAGATAACATGATGTAGGTTAGATCCAAGATAACCAAAGTTAAGTTAAACATGCTTGCCTGTTGCTGTTCTCGGGAACCAAGCGAGAAAGAAGAAAGGATTAAAGCAATGGCCATCAGAGGAACTAACATATTAATTTGGAATTCCTTCGTGTTAATGTCCCCAACATTCTCATTTTCAATTTTCTTTGAACCCTCTGCATTGCAACAAAAACATATCAAATTACTACAACCTTCAAACAAAAATTCACAATCGTTTAAGAAGAAAAGTTGCCAGGAAAATATTGATACTACAGAGTACAGACTACTGAATTTATAAAAGCTAGAAATAAATGCTCAGAAGCGAGAACTATGATAAAGGAAAAAAGGCGTAATGATGAGCAAATTTCATAATGTTACCTCTGGATTCGGATCTCTGCTCATTCTTGGGTGCTTTCTTAGCGTCTTTCGGATAGTAGTTCTCATAATCTGCACAATAGCATTGATGAGAATCCAGAAACAAACGGGCACCAATCAACTCTCAAATTAATACGACTAATAATTTGATTCCGTGTAAAATTTCAAGGGTTTGATTCATACTCTTCTTCTTCTTCGGGTTTCCGCTAGAGAAGAATCGACGCAATCTAGGGTTAGCGAAAGCGCGGCTCAAATCATTGGTATCCAGACCCTTGCGAGCAGCTAAAGAAGCAAATCGCCGCCTCAGAAACCCTAATCCACCATCCGCCTGATTGGCGGCCGCCTCAAGAGCCGGCGGCGCGTGAAGCCTCCCCCCGTTTAAAATCGCCGATCTCACACCAACGCCGTATACCAGCCCCTAATTTCACCAGGATTTTTATACAAATTAGGAAATAGAAACACAGAATTAACAAGCATCTGGAGAAACAAAAACGAACCTTGGAACGATAGGATCGAGCGACGGAGGAACCAAGCTTGGAGAATATCATCGTCAGAGAATCAGGACGACCAAAAGTGAGCTCGCATAATAATAATATATAGAAACGCGAAACCGGAGATCTAATCAAAACCCAAACGAGGAAGATGGCAACTTTCGTTTCAGAATGGAGCAAACTATTGATACAATGAATAAGGAAAGAAAGGTTTTTTGGAAGTGAAGAATGTGGGCGATCAGAAAATCAATAGCTCAGGAAGAAATTTGGGTTTTTTTTCTTTCTTTCTTATGTTCTCCGTTTGTTGATGTTGAGAGAGCAATTATAATGTGACTAAGAGCTGCTTGGGAGGCAAGACACCAACGCGTTCCAGTCTCCGACATATATAAACTTCAACCGGTTTGGTCTCCAGGTTTGGCTTCAACGATCAACCAACCGGTTTTCTCAAATCTCAAATCCACTCCAAAGCGTGAATCGGAATTCGGGTTCGGTAAAATTCGGGGCTCAATTTATCCCTTTCAAATAATCACACATTTAGAAGCGGAGCATGGAATATAACACATCTAGTTTGAGAAGAATAATCAAAATACAACAACGGATAGAGTCAAATCTCAAAAGAGGATGGGGAATCACATAATATAGTTGTGGGCCGCGAGGATGGTATAAATGGGCCTATGCTTAACTAAGCAACATCATTTTATATAACCCTTTTTAACACAAGTCATGTCAAGTCAAGTCAAGTGTGCGTGTGTGGCAACATTTCTACCTGAATTGACCTACGCTTTGGGCACGTAGCAATACAATACTCCACGTGTCAGATTATACACCGCAAGTACAATACAACCCCTAGCAACTTCCAGAACAAGCTACGTCACAGCCAAAACAAGAGTACTAAAGAAGCAATTAAGGACTCTTAATCACAGAAAGAAGTGCGAGATAAAAAGGAAAGAAAATGGATAACGAGTCTAATTACTACGACGGAAAGACGGTGACCGTTGATGATGATGACTATCACGTGGGATGCACGACGCCGACACGTGAGGAATGCAGGATACCCGCAGATCCGCCGTGTCCGCCGCCGGTGAGAAGAAAGAGATCGCTACACTTTGGAAAGAAGAGGGAACCGCCTAAGAACGGATATTTTCAGCCGCCGGATCTTGACCTGTTCTTCTCCGTGGTGGCTGCCTCCAAACGGCAAGAAAGCTGCGCCTAGATTTCGATTCCTCTTTTTTACCTATATATTTTATTGTATATGCTATATATATATATATATATATATTGTCCCGTGCCTGGTTTGATTGAGTGTTTTTTTTTTATTTTGAAAACGGGTTCGGGTTTAAATGCGGTTTTGTATATGTATGTATGTATGTGTATTGGGCACGTTATGGAAGCCTAGGCTTGAAGATTTGTATTCAGTAGTAGTTCTTTTTTGTGTTTCTGATGTATATATTGTTGAAGGGTGCCCAAAACAGCGATCGTGTGATCTTAAATGTGTAGTTTTGATGTTTTTCCTTTTTCTGTCTGTTTTCTGTCGGGTTTGTCTATTAACAGAGTGTTAAGCAGTTCTTCCTAATGTCATATACAGCCTACTATATATAGTCCAAATCTAATTCCATCTACTAATGATCAAAATCTGTTAGGTCAAATATGTTTATATAGTGTCACGCTTTCAACACTTGATGGTATGCAACAATTTGTGTCTTTAAGGTATAGGATCATCAAGATTACCCGTGTGTGAGATATGAAGGAACTTTTTTTTAAAAAAATAAAAAACCCTCGGATTACGGAACAATGTGAGGTGTGTAAGGTTTATAATGAGTTTTCGGGTGTTGTGGTTGGTAAATTCACGGGATCCGTACATTTCAATCTCTATGGTCTTATATACAAATAAGCAAAAAAAAAAAAGAACAAAAAGGGGCAAAAAAATTATCTCCAATAGGCAAATTTTAAGTATGATTAAGGAACTCGGGTTAATCAATTTTAACGTACGTCAAGACTTTTCTGTAGGATCTACCATCACAGGCTTTTCAACGCACCTTGAATCGCTTCATTTTTAAATAAGGATATGAAAATCTGAAGATCGGCCGTAAACATTATAAACCTTACACTCCGCATTCAAAACACGATATTTATAATGAGATTTTTCTGATTAACAAAAAAAAAAGCTACTACTGGTGATATGTATAATATTCGATCATTACAAAAATTAACGATATTTTTTTTTATTAAACGGATAGAGTATAAAGTAGTTGATGCATGGTTTTACAAGAAGAAAAGGAAAAAAAAAAAGGTAACTCCAGCTAGTTAACTGAACTCGACAGAAATGTTTGGCTAGTCAAAATATCTATTTCAGAGTCACCAACCACTAGTACTTTCTTGTTACATAAGCATTGGTTAAGCTACGTAAATATAATTTATTCTGTATAAAAAGTTGCATCTTGTATCCAAGAAACATCTGATGTTTTAACATCGTATATGATTATCGATATAAATTGGCAAATTTTGTTGTTCAAATTTTCCTCTAACAACCAGACTGATTTAAAAAGATAAAAAAAGGGTAGAAAGTTCTTTAACAAACAATCAAAAGAAAAGGTAGAAAGTACGCATAGTGTTAATATACTGTGGTTAGTTGAATGAGTTATTTCCGAGAAACCCAGGCTGTTTTGAAAACAGAAGTGAAAAAAACATGTAGAATATTATTAGACCAAAGCTGTCTACTCTTGGTCCCGATTTCAAATTATTTTTTTATCGTAAGATACACTTTTCTCTTCGTCCCTCTTTGCCCCTTCCTCCCCAAACACCCCCAAGAACGCGTTTTTTCAACATTAATATCTTTTCACAAAAAGTTAATGTTTTTATTTTGAAAAAAAAATCGTATCACTGTAGACCACTAATTCATCATATAATTCGAGAGACAAGACCCCGCCTATAATTTAGACGTTTTGTAGACCAAATTTGAAAACATGTCTCTCTCCTTTAACATCAACCACTGTACCAAAAGAAAATATAATAGTAATTGGTCTGGGATCATCTTAAGAAGAAACCTTCAAATTTGTCTAATCTAGAAGATTTTTTTAATGGCATCATTTGGAAGTAGTTTTATTCAAGGCACGATGTTCAAGCAGGATACTTGAGTCTTTTGTCAAGAATATTCTTTCTGTTGGATCCTCGTCACTTGACTCTGTAAGTATAATATGATTCCACAAATTTACTTTGCATTTCGTGGAAGCGTAATCCTCTACAGATTTTTCTTCTCATTCCCGTCCGTCCCACTATGCCAGTTTTATTTGCGTAAATATACTTTCTCAATTATAGACCATAATAATCTACATACACTAAATACAGTCAACACATATATACGCATACGATTTATTGTGCTCTCTGTTACGTGATGGTTGATTAAAATAATTATTAATAACGTCTTTTGTTTTTTCCCAGATTTTTGTTTCCAATTTTTCCTTTACTCAGCATACTAGTAGTATCCGAAGATTCGAGTCAATTTGAAAACTTGGAACCTACGAAGTAAAAAGACGATCTCGACCCCTTGCTTTATCGAATCAACCCTGGTTTTGAGCAATCAAGAAAATTAAAATAAAATTAAAACAAAGTAAAAAAGTTCATCCATATATTATTATCATATATAAAGGAGAAGATTGCCCTTATTAACAACGTCCTTATTAAAAACCAAATTTTTTTACGTGCTTATATCATTATCATATATCGCATGAGACGATATCCACACGTCTTTCTACGGAAAATAATTCTTGTACATTTCAAAAATAATACTGTTGGTAAAAAAACCATAAAACTAGATGGACTGAAAAAAAAAAAAACAAAAGAAATATGAAATATTTTGTTTTCTATGTCATGAAAAAACTTTGTGATATACAACTAAGATCATTTGAATGTAGTATTACTATGGTTTTCTACAGTAATTACTGTTTTGAAAAAGTTTAATTAGGCGTAAAATTTTGTGCAAGAGTTACACTGTTAAATAATAATTGCACATTACTCGAAGCCGACCTAATTCATAAGTATGAATTGAAAATAGTTAATTCAATATTTCAGTTCATTTTTTTGCCTTCGTCATTTCCATTTTCCACTTTGTTTTATTTGGAAGCAGTACTCACAATATATATAAGCAGAAAGACACTATATATCCCCCCCCTCTCTTTGCTTCCCTTTCTCTTTCTCTCTCTCCCCCTCTCTCTAGATCACTATCTCTCGTTTTAGCTCAATCACCACAAACTCACAATCAAATACATAGAGAAAAAAAAAACAGAGACCCTCAATCTGAGTCAGAAGCTCTCTCTCTCTCTTCCTACAACACAGACATGGACGAGAAGTGGAAGCTGTCTAAAAAGGATGCATTAGCTGCGTCGTGCTCATCTTCTAGTTCCTCTAAATCCAAGTTCTCTAGAAGCTTCTCGACGAGTGCTTCCTCCTCAAAGGCTCCTGTATTCGTACGGAGCTCATCCACCAAATGCTCAGTGCCATCTTCTTCGTCCTCCATCTCCAGGAGCTCCTCGAAGAAAGAGAAAGGATCAACATCATCTTTCAGTAACTTGGCGAAAGAACAGAAGGGAAGGTTCTACATAATGAGAAGGTGTGTGGCTATGCTTGTCTGTTGGCATAAACATGATTCCTAGCTTAGATCTCATGCATTTATATTCTTTTTGTTTTGGTAATTAGATCAGTTTGATTCTCTACTCTAGGTTGCTACAAGTTTCTATATTAGTACATTGTAAGAAAGAGATTCTTTTTATAATATATTTTTAATTTTCTCATAAGACAGAGTCATGATGTATACAGAGGTATAAATAATTTAAAGTGTGTTGTCTGATGGAGAAAATTGAAAACATCGATCATTAAAAAAAAAAAAGGTGAAATTTTATGCCACAATCTGGAGGGTCGATGTGTCGAGACGTACAATTATTTTGTTAGGATTAAATCGAATAGTCACTTTCACTGTCTGGAAAATAATTTAATAATAACCAATGATAATTTATTTGGTCAAAGATCTGAGGTTGTTTTTTGGTCAACAGATCTGAGTATTTTTCACATAGTTCTTTACTAATTTGTTTGGCTCCATATGGCCTTTGCAACGTTTATGCTCTTTTTATAGCCGTGATTAGACTTCAAACAATATTTTTTAAAACGATGATGATAGGTTCTAGTTAATGTCATGAAATATACCATTATCCTAATGGTAGTAATGCGGTCAATAAAGTTGCATGATATATGCCATTAGAATATAGATCTTTGGATTGTAACTTGTATTCCATTGACTAATTGGATCAGTATACAACAAAAGCCATTCAGAAATCCAATCAAACAAAAAAGAATAAATTCTTAAAATGGTTACATAAATCTTTTCATTTTGAGAGCTTTGTATTCAGTTTTTCTAAAACTTTTTAGTACCTATTTTTATATAGTGTTAAATTTTTCGCATCTCGTGGCAGTATTCTTTTTATACTTTTTGTTGTCTCTTTGATAGAAGGAAGATTCCCACTTGACAAACCTAAATTTTCTATATATATGAAGCAAAAAGAAATTAATCCTTAACCGGTGCCATATTATTTAAAGGTTTTATGATAGTAGAACTACAATACTGTGGTATAAGAATGTACGTACTTGGACATTTTTCCGCGTTACTAACATAAAATGAATTTAATCTTCTTGGACATTATTCCGCGTTACTGACATAAAATGAAATTAATCTTTCTATTGTTAGAGCGGGAAGAAAAATTCGAGATATTGAAGAATCCAATGGAAAGTTGTGAACCACTCGATCTTTGTCTCTTTTTGACTCTGACGATAATGTCATGATCATAAGAATTTTGGATTTAATCAGAAAATAAGTGATCACGTTACAGATTTATTCAAAAGCCCTTTTCAATTATTGCAAAAGAAAAAATCAAAATAATCGTACGGAGAAATTCTTACCGTAAAAATATACAGAAAAGCGAAAAAGAAAATAAAAAGAAAGAAACTCAGACTTCTCAGGTGAGAAACCAAACACAAAAGTACAAGGGAGCAAAAGTGAACAGTGTCAGAAAACATTACACAATTTTAATATGAGAGAAAACGAACGAGTTTGGAAAAAATGGATAACCTGGCGTTAAGAGAGACGTTGGATTCGTTTCATCTGACGGTGGAGGCAGCAGCTTCTGATTTTGAAACTGCGGAATCAAGTGGTTAAGTAGGAATCATAATTTTGTGGCGACTATTCGCTTTGATCGAGGGAAACTAGCTTGTGGCTTAGACTTTTTTAGACATCGAAACAAAAGGTTGAATCATTTTTCTTTTTTACTAAAGGTTAAATCAATTTAGTCTTTAGCAAATGCAATAAACAAATTATCTGATTTCCTTAAAAGTCCGAAACTTCACAACACCGTATATCCACAGTTAGCGCTAGAGCGCTTTCATTTGACAATCCAAAGATCGTGTCAAAATTTGTATAAGCACAAATTCTCAGATATGAATAAGAACAACTTAATTCACTTATAACGTTAAGGTTGTTTATCATAACTTTAAATTGTATCGGATCATAATAAGTAATCCACGTCTTAATGAACACTTCATAATTTTTAATTTTTCCAGTAGACATGTCTGCTATGCATATTGAGTTATATAACTAATAACAAAGCCACGAATATCATTAGTAAATTTCGGAAAACATTAATTTTATTGATTCTTTCATAATCCTAGTGTTAAGATATATGGGCTCGCGGCTTGTAGTGGTCTACTTTAAACTCGACTGATAAAAAAAAATTTAAGTATAAAAGTGGTAATAATCCTTTAAATAATTAGAGGAAATTATACCCAACAAGTTTAGAAGAAGATTTTTATATATTTAAAAAAAAAGATAAAATAAACATTTGGTTCAAGGTTTGGTTCGATTTTAAGAAAAACCAGACACGTAGACTATGGTTTGGTTGATTTCGCGAAGAAATTAAAAAGGAAAAAAGGGATGATCTGATCCAAACCTATTTATATTCTTTCGCTGCTGTTCTGTCTTGACCGCTCCTCTCGATCTCTGATTTCTGATTCCTCTGATCTCTCTTCGTTTCGCGCTGATCATTGCCAGGCTCCGTCTTACTGCCTCTGCCAAACCCGAGGTGAGCTTAACGGGTTTGGATTGGGTGTTTCTTTGGGGTAAAGTGTCCTGAATTGATGCTTCTCATACAATCAGATTCACGGAGGACGAATTTCGTTATTCGCCGGAATCAAGCTTAGGAGATTTTAGGGGCTGAGAAGATGGCTACAACGACGACAACGAGCGCTGTGTATATCCATGTCATCGAGGACGTCGTCAACAAAGTCCGTGAGGAGTTCATTAACAACGGAGGTCCCGGCGAGAGTGTTCTCAACGAGCTCCAAGGAGTAAGCTTTCATTAAATGTCTTCTTTCGTTTGGAAAAAGATTGAAATTTTGACATTTGTAGTGGAATCGGAGTCGTGGGTTTCTTGGATTTGTTCCGCTGTAGCTTAGGGTTTCTGGGAGCTCACCTCTTTTAGTTGGCTTAAATCCATGATCTCTTGAGCTTGATTAGACGGATGCTGCTGTGTGTTTTTTTTTAAATGTTTTCCGAGTAGATTTGGGAGATGAAGATGATGCAAGCTGGAGTCTTGTCTGGACCGATAGAGAGGTCATCGGCTCAGAAGCCAACACCTGGAGGTCCATTGACTCATGATCTGAATGTTCCTTATGAAGGCACTGAGGAGTATGAGACTCCCACTGCTGAAATGCTCTTCCCTCCGGTAAGTATACTTATACAGTACTAGTCTTGAATCTGTGATTTAGAAATCAAACACACAATTCTCTTAAGCATGTTTTTTTTTTTACGTGTTGAGCAGACACCATTGCAGACCCCCCTTCCGACGCCGCTTCCGGGTACTGCTGATAACTCCTCCATGTATAACATCCCTACTGGCTCAAGTGATTATCCAACTCCTGGAACTGAGAACGGAAGCAACCCTGATGCTAAAGGAAGACCCAGTCCTTATATGGTGAGATATACTTATTGTAAATGCTGTGCAGCTGTGTACTACAGCTCCTTCTCGTATTGTTTTTTACTTTCTTGTTTACATAAACTGAGAATATGCTCTTTATCGCAGCAACCACCTTCTCCATGGACAAATCCAAGGCTTGATGTCAACGTTGGTAAGTACTAGTTTTTCGCGGTACTTAATGTCTCAGTGAAAAGAAACTTGTCTCAGTTTGTTTTTTGGACTTGAAAATGTTTGACCTGCTGCTAGCTTATGTGGATGGCCGTGATGAGCCTGAGCGAGGAAACTCTAATCAGCAGTTTACGCAGGTACTTGTACTTAACATCTAAATCAAGAATCGTGAGTTTGGCTTTTTGATTTAGGTTCAAATCTTTTTTTTTGCGACACTTACATGATCGATTTGATTATCGCTCTTCTCAAGCAAATCATCTTTGTAAAGATCATTTAAGACTGTGGAACTTATTATCCTACATTCGAATACGTCCAGGACTTATTTGTGCCATCCAATGGGAAACGAAAGCGCGATGATTCTTCTGCACAATATCAAAATGGTGGGTCTATACCACAACAGGATGGTGCAAGCGATGCTATGCCTAAGGTGTGTGTGTGTCGAATTGCACAGTTGCATTTGCATTTGGAATATAGCTCACATGAGGAAAAAAAAAACTTTTGCTCCCTTCATCACTTATTGACTTAATTTTGATTTTCGCTTCACGAGTTATGGATGCCAACCAAAAGCAAATACATGATAACAAAACTAGACGCTGGTTGAGTTGTTCAAAAAAATAAAAACGCCTCTCTAAATCCTTAGTAATATATAAATGAGCACTGTTCTCTATGTATAGATATCTCTCTTCTCTCTCTTACTCTGCCTCTTAAAATGTTCGTAAAACCTTATATTTGCTTATGAGAATGTTACACTTTAATTATTTATTGAGATATCAGTGATTTATCTGATTTTAGCACAATTTTTGCAGGCAAACCTTGAGGGTGATGCATTCTGCATTACCTTTGTTGGCAACAGAAAGGTCCTACGAGATTTCATCTGCTCATCATCGAAGATTCCTCAAGTTGACGGGCCAATGCCTGACCCTTATGATGAAATGTTGTCGACGCCAAATGTAAGAAGGCTTCTCATGTGCCATCAAACATGGTTTATATAAATTTTTACTTTTGCTTAGAATTCAATGAATTTCATTTACTGCGCTGCAGATATACAGCTATCAAGGACCCAGTGAAGACTTTAACGAGGGCAGAACTCCTGCTCCAAACGGTAAGAGAAGTCAAACAAAATTTGTTGGAGAGTGTTTTATAGAGAGCAGGAAAATGAAAATCTTGTGGTAAAATCCCTCTTTGTTAGAGATCCAAGCGAGCACTCCTGTTGCTGCTCAAAACGATATCATTGAAGATGATGAAGAGCTGTTGAACGAAGATGATGACGATGACGAGTTGGATGACCTAGAGAGTGGTGAGGATATGAACACACAACATCTGGTTCTGGCTCAATTTGAAAAGGTAGTAATGGCTCTCCCTATTGTCACATGTTTCCGGATATGTGTTTCTCTGCACGTAACTCTAATCTCACAGAAAGGCTTGTTTGGTGTTGTAATTAGGTGACTCGCACAAAGAGCAGGTGGAAGTGCAATCTGAAAGACGGGATCATGCATATAAACGATAAGGACATTCTCTTCAACAAAGTAATATGTGCCTTCCATTTAAGCTTGGAGCTATACTGGGAACAACTATACCAACACTAACTTTGTCTACTTTTTCAGGCAACAGGCGAGTTTGACTTCTGATCATGACCATAACGATGCTTCTAGAGAAGTCCCAGGGCTTCACTGCCCAATGTCTTTCTTTTACCTTGTGATTTCTGAGAGAGAGAGAGAGAGACATGATTATTAATGGGAAACCGAATCGAAACAGAATCTAAATCAAAAATTAAACTGAATCAAACCAAAAACTTGAATTATAATACCCAACTATGGTTAGTTTTATTTGGTTTACGCATTAGTAGAATCAACACTAAGGGAGCTGGCCTTGTTTGGGCCTTTTACCGTAAGATGCCCAAAGGCACAAGTAACAGAAGACAACAGAGTAACGTAGAACCAAAAGAACAAAAAAAAGGAGGCTAACTTTTTTGTTTAGGTAAAGATCGTTTCAAAATTAACAGCCTTTTCAATTTTCCTTCACATGTTCCACCATAACCGATCCCTCCTTTTGCGCCTTCATCAACAACACACACACACGAAACCTCTCCCTTTTATTCTCTTCTTCACATCACTTTCCATCCTCTCTTTCTCTCTCTTTTTGCATTTATACTCGTTGGCTCAATCTTGAGTCTGAAACGTGATGGAGAACACTGTGAGCATGTTTGAGAAGAGCGAGTCCCCAAGATCACCGACTAGGCTATAGAGGCAAGCGCCCAAGGCTCTGCGTCTTGACCGTGTTCCTGAGAATCCCTTTTTGCAGCAGTCTTGTGATGCGGTTGCAGCCGCAGCTATTCCTCTGCTTTCACCTCTCTTTCTGTCACCAGATCAGCACTCTACAGTCTCTAGAGAAGGGGACGATTTCAGGTTTCCGGTGAGTTTTACTGAGAAGAATGGAACTCAACGGTCAGCGGACAACAAGGAAGGCTGGCAATATTCGGATAAGGCCGACCATAGCAACCAGTTGGCTCTTTCGAATATATTTCAGACCAAGTTCGTGCTTGTAGATCATTCACAGTGAGGGTCTTAGCATTTAGGAATGTCTTTGAAGTTTCAGAATCCAAATGTTTTTCGATAGTCTTATCAAGACATTTCTCATGAGGCTGTAATAAGAGATAGCTATATATATATATATATATATATTGTAAACAAGTGACCCCACCTTTTAGGAGGTTCATTTTCCATTGTGAGAAACACGATAGGAATTTATGAAACAAGTCAAAAGTTCATGCGCCCTTCTTTGGCCGGAAAATCTATTCTTTTTGTACAACAAACCAACCAGAGTACACTACCCCATAAATAAGCATGCCTCTCCCTCATATGTTGGTCTAAAATCACAAAAACAAGAAGACATTCGACACTGAAGGAATGTGTCTTCTCTACAAGCATTGCTATTGTCATGATCAAAAGTCGAACTCGCCTGCTGCCTGAAAAAGTGCATAGAGCGTGTGTTAGTAGTATCGTTACCAGAATAGCTCAATGATTAAATGGGAGGCAAAAATTACTTTGTTGAAGAGAATGTCTTTATCGTTTATATGCATGATCCCGTCTTTCAGATTGCACTTCCACCTGCTCTTTGTGCGAGTCACCTAATTACAACACCAAACAAGCCTTTCTGTGAGATTAGAGTTACGTGCAGATAAACACATCCGGAAACATGTGACAACAGGAGAACCATTACCTTGTCAAATTGAGCCAGAACCAGATGCTGTGTGTTCATATCCTCACCACTCTCTAGGTCATCCAACTCGTCATCGTCATCATCTTCGTTCAACAATTCTTCATCATCTTCAATGATATCGTTTTGTGCAGCAACGGGAGTGCTCGCTTGGATCTCTAACAGAGACGGATTTTAGCAGAAGATATCATTTACTTGCTCTGAAAAAAAAACTAAAACATTTATTTTGGCTTCTCTTACCGTTTGGAGCAGGAGTTCTGCCATCATTAAAGTCTTCACTGGGTCCTTGATAGCTGTATATCTGCAACGCAGTAAATGAATTTTCATGGAATTCTACGCAAAAGTAACTGGGTGGCCGCGTAATAGATAGTATCTCTAGACAATTATTGCACATGTTTGACGACAAATCCAAAGTCACATGAAGTTTCTGCTTCCTTTCTTCCCTGTGTAATCTAAGAAGTCAAATGTGTTCATACATAGTTCTATGGGTAGTGAGAAGGGACCTAGCTGTACCAAGGTATAAGAAATTCCAGTAACTTATATGTATACATCTCAAGAAATTCTGACTACTCAGTGAGAAGCTGGAGCATTCTTACATTTGGCGTCGACAAGATCTCATCATAGGGGTCAGGCATTGGACCATCAACTTGAGGAATTTTTGAAGAGGAACAGATGAAATCCCGTGGGAATTTTCTATTGCCAACTAAGGTAATGCAGAGTGTATCACCCTCAATGTTTGCCTGCAAAATTGTGCTAAAATCAGATGAATCACTGAGATTTCATTAAATACATCATTCTTTGTAAGAAAAAAAAACAGGTGTTACGAGTACTTTTATCATTATTAAGCAGGAGAGAGAGAGACAGAGAGGGAGAGGTGTTAATACATTGAGAATAGTGCTCCAAATCATATTCTAAAGACTTCTAGATGCGTTTGTATTTTTCTGCACCTTAACCAGTTTAGCTATCATCCGTTTGTAATTCATTTTGGTTGGCATCTACAAAATCGTGAAGTGGAAACCAAAGAGAAGTCTTCTCCCTTACTAGCTTTTTTATCCGATAGAAATGAAGAAGCCAAGGGATATTATATTTTTACTATGTGAGCTATTCCCGAAACAAAATGTAGTTCCACACACACACCTTAGGCATAGCATCGCTTGCACCATCCTGTTGTGGTATAGACCCACCATTTTGATATTGTGCAGAAGAATCATCGCGCTTTCGTTTCCCATTAGATGGCACAAATAAGTCCTGGACGTATTCAAATGTAGGATAATAAGTTCCATAGTTCAGGTATATGTGACTTAAATGATCTTTACAACGATGATGTGCTTGAGAAGAGCAATAATCAAATCATGTAAGTGTCGCAAAAAAGATTTGAACCTAAACCAAAAAGCCAAGCTCCCGATTCTTGATTTAGATGTTAAGTACAAGTACCTGCGTAAACTGCTGATTAGAGTTTCCTCGCTCAGGCTCATCACGGCCATCCACATAAGCTAGCAGCAGGTCAGACATTTTCAAGTCCAAAAAACAAACTGAGACATATTTCTTTAAGTACTGATACATTAAGTACTGCGAAAAACTATTACTTACCAACATTAACATCAAGCCTTGGATTTGTCCATGGAGAAGGTGGTTGCTACGATAAAGAGCATATTCTCAGTTTATGTAAACAAGAGAGTAAAAAACAATACGAGAAGGAGTTGTAGTACACAGCTTCACAGCATTTTCAATAAGTATATCTCACCATATAAGGACTGGGTCTTCCTTTAGCATCAGGGTTGCTTCCGTTCTCAGTTCCAGGAGTTGGATAATCACTTGAGCCAGTAGGGATGTTATACATGGAGGAGTTATCAGCAGTACCCGGAAGCGGCGTCGGAAGGGGGGTCTGCAATGGTGTCTGCTCAACACGTAAAAAAAAAAACATGCTTAAGAGAATTGTGTGTTTGATTTCTAAATCACAGATTCAAGACTAGTACTGTATAAGTATACTTACCGGAGGGAAGAGCATTTCAGCAGTGGGAGTCTCATACTCCTCAGTGCCTTCATAAGGAACATTCAGATCATGAGTCAATGGACCTCCAGGTGTTGGCTTCTGAGCCGATGACCTCTCTATCGGTCCAGACAAGACTCCAGCTTGCATCATCTTCATCTCCCAAATCTACTCGGAAAACATTTAAAAAAAACACACAGCAGCATCCGTCTAATCAAGCTCAAGAGATCATGGATTTAAGCCAACTAAAAGAGGTGAGCTCCCAGAAACCCTAAGCTACAGCGGAACAAATCCAAGAAACCCACGACTCCGATTCCACTACAAATGTCAAAATTTCAATCTTTTTCCAAACGAAAGAAGACATTTAATGAAGCTTACTCCTTGGAGCTCGTTGAGAACACTCTCGCCGGGACCTCCGTTGTTAATGAACTCCTCACGGACTTTGTTGACGACGTCCTCGATGACATGGATATACACAGCGCTTGTTGTCGTCGTTGTAGCCATCTTCTCAGCCCCTAAAATCTCCTAATCTTGATTCCGGCGAAAAACGAGATTCGTCCTCCGTGAATCTGATTGTATGAGAAACGTCAATTTTGGGCAATTTAGCTCCCAAAAATGCCAAATAAAAAACCCCAATCCAAACCCGTTAAGCTCACCTCGGGGTTAACGGAGGCAGTAGGACGGAGCCGGGCAGGTATCGGCGACGAAGCGAAGACAGAGCAGAGGAATCAGAGATCAGAGATCGGGAGGAGCGGTCTGGACAGAAAAGCAGCGAAGAATATAAATAGGTTTGGATCAGATCGTGTCGCACAGGGGACACGTGCCATCATCTGCGCCACCGACATCTATTTTCTTCATAGATTTTGTTTTTTTTCAGATATTTACTTTTTTTTCCCAAATATCCGACAATGGATCCCAAATCCGTTGGATCAAAAGAGCAAACTATACACATAAGTACATAACACATATCTATCTGAATGTGGAAAATTCTTTTATGATATTGAGTATCTGGATCCCGTCCGAATCCATAAAAAAAATACATAAAAAAAACAGATAAACGAAAATATTTTAGTGTAAACATTTGTGTTTAGAACGTAAGTATTTATAGGTTTGGGACCTCGTTAAATCCGCCTTCGTTCCATCAAAGTCTTGTCCACACGTTACAGAAATTCTTAGATGGAACGATGCATCAAAACTTGAGGTTAGACTTGTTGATTTTTGATTTTTGTATTTTCCGTGAGGCTCAAATTCTTTGCTAATCAAAAAATATCTGCTTCATGGATGCCACGTGTTTCAACTGGCAAGAAACTTGGCATGTGAATGGGCAAGTGATGGCATAAGGTCTGGTCTTTTGGCAATCGAAAAAACTTGTGTATCAAAAGACCAATCAATGTAATAGCCAAAGGGAATATATTTAAACCAAACATTTGCCAAAAATGAAACTAAGCAAATTCATTCAACTTTACTATAACGATTTCCATTTATTGATCTCCAATAAAATCAGGAAAATAATCCATTTATCATAGCTAGGACCAAAGCGTTCGCTGCTTCTTGGTGCAATCAAATCATAAACACCATGATTGCAAGTGTAATTATCATCAGTTTGGTGCATTTAGGCTTTGCGGTTGCTGAATCCTCTGGAGGATTGGAAATGGGATCATAGTCATCAAAATCTGATGGAGACGAGGTCGAAAGTGAAGGAAGCAAACTGATATCAAAGTCTTTTGATTTCCCTTCTCTGTTAAAGCTCCATCCAATAACATATTGATTACTCGTGATGTTTCCTGTGGATGCCGAAAACCCGATATACATCTTCTTCTCCACGAAAATCTCAGAGAGATTCATATTTCTTGACAAAAGAGGAATCTTAGGCTTAGAAGTTTCAAGAGGAGCCAATGTAACATTGAGAAGCATTTCCCTTCCATTGTATTCGATCCATGCTCGAATCGGGTCTTTTTGCGACAGCTTCAAGCTTATGTTCTTGCTTTGCCGGTTGGAGAAAAACGCAGCCGGTGCAGATTCAACGGAGACCAGACCGTTCACGTCGATCCCCACGTGGTTACCGTCGATGTCCAAAAACTCGTTTGACTTCACCGTGTCGAATTCGACAGCAAGAATTCGGTTTGTTGAGTTTCCGTTGTTTGATGTGTTGAAGAGACCGAGAAACTGGCTCGGCATGGCTCGTGTGAAGTCCATGGACGGAGAGATCATAAAGGTTAGGCCGTGACCTGGTGCGTCTATTGAGAATACGAAACTTGTGGAGAAAGATAGCGAGTTTGATGAGTTAGGGCTTTTGAAGGGTATGGGGAAGCCATGGAAGGCTTGGCCCATTTGCCTCCTTGAGCTGTTTGTTAGCTCCAAGATGCCACTTGGGAGGATTTTGGAGGATCCGTACTTTAGTATATTGGCTTCGAAAAATCCGTGGTGAAGAAATTCGGTTTCTTGTTGTTGACTTAACACACAAGAGACGAGGCATAATTGGGTGATTATGGAGAGAGCTATTGATTTGAAAGTAATTGCCATTGATGGGAAGTTACAGGGAAGAAATGAAAGTCTTAACTCTTTATTTTGTGTGTGTGAAGTTTCTTGTTGGAGGAGTTGTTCTCTCGTATATAGGCTACGTGGAAAAATTACTCGTCCATTTATTAAACAATTTTAAGACTTAAAATTAATATTCCTTTATATTTATTTACAGAGAACCAATCATTTGCAAGTTCAAAACTTGACTTTTTTATCAGCTAAAATTTGTTTGTTGACTAAAAATATCAGCAATTTTGTTTCCAGCATGTATAAGGCTTGTTGCTCTAAGTAAAGTATGGATGTCTAATATGTTTTTTTGACAAAAATGTCTAATATATTTGGACAAAAGAAATTCAATTCAAAAATAGTTTAGCCGATCGTGATAAGTCGTAAGGCCTAATTTTTGTGGAGATGGATGTGTTAGCTTCCCAAACTAGGCTTAGTATACCAATAAAATAGATCCAGACAACGTTTTTGGGGAAATATACGTGCAACTAAGAATCTATACTATACGTATCCTATTAAATTAAAGCAAAAAAAAAAAAAATTGGTCTCAGTATGTCATCACTTCAACTAATTAACAAATAACAATTGTGTAGAATAATTCTACAACCGGCTGATTAAGTATTATTGAGATCTCAAAACTCATTAAAATGCAAATGACGAGGATCGGATGGGGCCGAGTTCGTGCACCCAACAATCCAACCCAAATTAATCACAGAAGCTGTTGGAAAGTACGATCATTGGTTAAGAAAAAAATGCCGTTTATAGTTATTTGTTAACCATTAAAAATACCTCACTTTACTTGATAAAAGTGAAAATAATAAGATTTTTTTTTTTACTAAAAAATAAAATAAAAGAGTACATGCAGGACATCTTACATTCATCAATTGTGAATCACGTGTTCATGGCATCATGCCACAGCCAAAATGAGAGGTCCATAGACACATGTGTTTGTGGTCCAGTCTCTTTCTCTTACGTTACAGATTTTTCCTAACAATTGTACCATCGTATGTTTCTTATATCGGACACATCGCAAACCATTAGTCTTATACTCTTATATCTTTGGCTATAGTGACTTAGTGTAACACACAACAATGGATATTAACAGGTGGAGTCTTCAAGGTATGACTGCTCTTGTAACCGGTGGAACAAAGGGAATTGGGTTCGTCTTCCTAGATCTTCTCAAATGCTCTCAAAATGCTCTGTTTTCTAGCTTTGTTCCCTGGTTTTTAATTTAATTTTGCAACAATGAAGGAAGTTTGAAACAAGAATCTTGAGCTTGAGACTTAGTTTCACTGTTTCAGGTATGCAATAGTGGAGGAACTTGCCCAGGTATGCAATAGTGGAGGAACTTGCAGGGTTTGGTGCAAGAGTGCACACGTGTGATAGAGACCAAACTCCGCTTGACGAATGCTTAAGTGAATGGCAAACAAAAGGGTTTCAAGTCAGTGGTTCAGTTTGTGATGTTACCTCTCGACCTCAGAGATAGCAATTGATGCAGACTGTTTCTTCTCTGTTCGGTTCCAAACTCAACATCCTTGTAAAATCTTGTTCAATCTTTTTTTAATTTTTAATTTTTATAATTACACGTATATGTATATATATATCTACTAGGTGTTTAGTTCGCGACTTGCGCGGACCGAAAAGTTTCATTGAAACCTAAAATAAAATTTTATGTCATAAATCAAAAATAATTAGATCAAGAATTTGATACATACAAAATTAAAATAAACCTGACCTATGAAAATAATCATTGTCTAACATTAAAAACTTTAAAATCAATACTAATAAGTGCATGAAATCAATAAACACAAATTAAAATAAGATTAATATAAATTATTCATCTTTTTCTCTTTTTATCTTTTAATTTTTTTTCTCTATCATTTTTTTCTTTCTTTCTTTTTTTTTTTTTTTTTTCTTCTTATTTTCTATGTCTTTTTTTTTTTACTTTTTATTCTGCTGGTTTTTCTTTTTCACGTCTTCTTCTTCTTCTCCACATCTTTTCCTTTTTCCTCTCATACATCTTTTGATTTTCTTCTCTTCCAGGTTTTATTCCCTTTCTTCATCTTCTTCAATGTTTTATTATTCTATTTCTTCTTCTTTTTTTCTTTTCCTTTTTCATTGTCATCGTCTTCTTCGTTATCACCGACTTCCTATTCTTCTGGTGTTTTTTGGCTTTTACCTCATCTTCATATTATTCTACTTTCTCCAATTCTCCATCTTTTAAGGTTTTCATCCAATTTTTTCTCTTCCCTATCTTCTTCTTCTACTTTGTCTTCCATTTTATTTTTTTTTTCTCCTTCAACAGATTCTTATTCCTCTTCTTCCAATTATTCTTCATCTATCCAAATTCTTCATCATATTTTAAAGATCTTTGTCTTATCTGTCTTTTTACTCCTCTCATGATTTATATTTTCCTTTTTTTTAGTTTTTTTCTTATATTTTTGAGTTCTTTTTTATCGTTATTTGTTTTCAAATTGTTATTCTTTATTGTCTTCATTTTTTTTACTTCTTATTCATCTGAGTTGTCTTCGTTTTTTCATCATATTTACCTTTTTCAACTTTGTCTTCTTCATCTTCTAGTTTTCTTCCATTTTATTATTTTTTTTTTTTCACTTCCTCTACTATCTACTGGTTTTCTTTTATGACTTCTTCTTTTGATTATCTTTTTTCTTCTCCAGTTGGTCATTTAATTTTGTTTGTTCATCGTCATCGACCTATCCGACTATTTTTTTATGTTACTTGTTCACTGTATTATTTTTTGTTCATATTATCATTGTTTTCTTATTCTTCTCCTTTTTCTTTATGTTTTAGCTTTTCTATTCTTTGTTTTTCCTTCTTATCTTTCATTGTTTTTTGACTATTTCTTCTTATGTGTTTTATTCATCTTCTTTGACTTCTTGATTTTTTTTCATTCGGTTTTTTCTGTTGATTTTTTTTGTTTTATTTGTCTACCCCTTCTTCTTTATTTTATTTTATTGTCTTTGGATTCTCTAAATTCTTATTCTTCAGCATTTTCTATTATTCTTCTTTTGGTTTTATTAACCGTTTTTATCTTCTGCTTTTTACTTCTTATTGATCATTTTTGTCCTATCCAAACATTTTTCTTTCTAATTTTTGTTTGTCTTTTTCAGATCTTTACTTTCTTCTTTTTTATTTTCTTTTTCATCATCGGATTTTCATCTTCTTATACTTTATTTTCTTCATCTACCATTTTTGTTCTTCTTTTTCTTTCAGTTTTCTTCTTCAACTATTAGTTCTTCATCTCCTTATCATTTATCTTCTTCACTATTTTGTGTTACCCGTTACCCATCTTGATCTTATCGTTCATGGTCTAGGACTTTTTGTTCATTTTTTCCTCATTTTTTAACGTTTTCGTCAACTCTATGTTCTTCTATATGTTTCAATTTATTTTTTTTTCTCTTCTTTTTCTACATCGTTTTTCCCTTTTTTCCTTTTTCTGTTTTCTTTTTCGATTTTTTCCTCTGCGCCCTGCTAGTGTATTTGGCCTCTCTTACATTATTCCAAAAATAAACAGAATTCAGAAAGCCATACTTAAAACAAACAAAAAGAACAAAAGACTTAAAACCTGTTCATTAGACAATGAAGATGATTTATGATATGTTGACATGGTTTTAATCACGTTAAGTAAGGAAGAATAACTGACAACACAAAACAACAACATATAATCGATGAACATTACTACTGGTACTGAAAAAGGAAAAAACAATAGAAAAAATCAAAAAATTGATTTATAAAAAATAAAGATGGTAAACAATACAAAGAAAAGCCGACCAATGTAGAAACCAAACCACAATTGAGCTTAAGATACATTTAAAAAAGTAATATATTTATATATAGCTCTCAACTTAAGCTAGGATTTCCCACATCACATGTATATTTTTTTCTATATAATCTTGCTCAACACATAATCCGATTGAAATTATCTTAATATTATCAAAAAACTAAAAGTGGCAGCAAAATTGTTATACAAACTACGAAAATAAATTAATTAATTAAGGATATTTAAAAAAGATTTTATTAACGAATAAATGGGAATTAGTTACCTAGATTGAATGAGAGACCTTATAGCGAAAAATTTACTTCGCATATATTATATAAGATATGATTTTAAATTGTTTTTTTTGATTAAAATCCAATTTTTAAATTTTCATTATTTTCTATTTTAAATATTTTTGATTAAATTTCGATTTTAAATATTTTTAATTAAATTTAAATGTTTTTATTAAATTTCGATTTTTAACAATTTTTTTTATTAATTTACAATTTTTAATATTTTATTTAATTTACGATTTTTAATAATTTTTTAATTAATTACGATTTTTAATAATTTTTTATTAAATTTATTTTAAAAATATAAAGAAGGGTAAAAGGTAATTAGCCACCCTAAGATTGAATGAGAGAGCTTTAACTCAAAATTTTACATCGCTTATAATATATATGATATATATGTTTAGTATGAAATTCTCTTATAAAAAATAAAATAAAAAACTTTAACTTCTTATAGAAACATAGTTGTGTTTAATCTTCTTTACAATCTGCAAAAATAACATATTAAAAAGAGAAGATGTTTTATTTATAAAGATTATGAACTTTTATTGAAAACTATTTTGTACAAATTAATATAGAAACAGAATAGAAAAAAATTGAAACAATCAAGGCCTTCCTTAATCATTGTCAACATTTGCCATTGTGCAGATAAACAACGTTGGCAAGTTCATATTAAAGCCAACTTTAGAAAGTACAGCTGAAGATTTCTCAACTTTGATGGCTACAAATTTGGAATCCGCTTACCATATCTCCCAATTGGCACATCCTTTACTTAAAGCATCGAGAAATGGGAATATCGTATTCATCTCCTCAGTGTCAGGGATTGTCTCTGGCTCCACCTCCATATATGGTGCAACAAAAGGTTCATAGATAACAATTTTGAAACCTCCAAAAAAAAAAGATAACTATTTTGATATGAGTAATGAATGTCTATGGTATAATGTATATACACATGTTTAAGCACCTTTAAATGCAGGAGCCATGAATCAACTGGCAAGAAACTTGGCATGCGAATGGGCAAGTGATGGTATAAGGGCTAATTCTGTAGCTCCTTGGGTCACTGCTACTTCTCTCGTCAAAAAAGTAAACTAAATACTAAAATACCTTTTTGCCTCTTTTCCTAATACAGATTTTGAGCTTTTTACTCCATCTTCTTTTTTTACTTGAAACTTGGACTAAATGTGGACATTTTCAGTATCTTGATGACAAGAAATTTTCGGAGGCTATGTTTTCAAGAACCCCATTAGGCCGTGCGTGTGAGCCGCGTGAGGTTGCGTCGCTGGTTACATTTCTTTGTCTCCCTGCAGCTTCTTATATAACAGGACAAACCATTTGTATTGATGGAGGTTACACTGTTAATGGCGTCTCCTACAAGCCATAGGCACACTTCCAAAACAACAATTATATAATGTATGAACAATAAGTTATGTTTGGCTTTCCTTGCTGAACTTCATTATGTCCGAGTAGAATAAGATCATAGTGCTTATGAAGCAGAAAGGTTATAATCATAGAGTTTGTGTGTGTAAAATCTAAGTCCATGATTACTTCTAGGCATGTATCAATGTGAATGGCCAATTTATAACATAAGAGCTTACTCTGTATCTGTGTCTCTAATATTCTCTGTTCCAAACGTATATTCCACCAAAAGTATGATGTTTGAGACGTTAGTCAAACATTATTAAATTGAGGCATTTCATTTAAATATATGGTTAGATTCCAATTATTTGTTTTCCCTTTTGACTTTTCTGGTTGTAAAGATGTGGGCCTCTGATTCGTTGGTATGGACTATGGAGACATTATCTTTATCTTTTATCTTCAATGACTGATGATCGATCAGCATTTGCTTTGCTCCACTTATTCTCTTCACATCACTCACTTCAATCAGAGATCTTTAGCAGTAATGGCTGGAGCAGAACAAAGCCAAAGATGGAGCCTTCGAGGCAAGACCGCACTTGTAACCGGTGGAACCAAAGGCATAGGGTTCGTATATAAATCCCACTTTCAGCTCCAAATCTTTTCGTATTTCTTGACTGCACTTTAGACTTCTATTTATAAATCTCTGGTTCTTGAACCAAAAATAGGCATGCTGTAGTGGAGGAGCTTGCAGGATTTGGAGCAGTAATACATATTTGTGCCAGAGACGAAACTCAGCTTAATGAGTGTTTAAGCCAATGGCAAAAGAAGGGGTTTCAAGTCACTGGTTCAGTCTGTGACGCATCTTCTAGAACAGAGAGAGAGAAGCTAATGCAGAATGTTTCCTCAGTGTTTGGTGGAAAGCTCGATATTCTCGTAAGTATTAGTTTATATACTCTTTATTGCAAAATCATGCCTTACGCTTATAGGAATCTTGATTATTAGATAAACAATGTGGGAGCGATTCGGTCAAAGCCAACAGTGGATTTTACAGCAGAAGATTTCTCGTTTCATATTTCGACCAACTTGGAATCTGCTTTCCATCTGAGCCAGCTTGCACATCCTCTGCTTAAGGCTTCAGGATGTGGTAACATCGTTTTCATGTCTTCTGTTGCTGGAGTTGTATCGCTTAACGTCAGCTCTATCTACTCTGCAACAAAAGGTAAATATAAATAACTATGAAAACAGTCGAGGCCTTAATTAATGTGTTATTTATGTGTGTGTAAGTATGAGTGTGTGTGTATACATAGGTGCGATGAATCAGCTAGCAAGGAACTTGGCATGCGAGTGGGCAAGTGACGGCATTAGAGCTAATGCTGTGGCTCCTGCAGTCATTGCAACTCCTCTGGCTAATGCTGTGAGACACTATGCTACGATTCCTCCAAGAATCATCTCTCTATATTGCTTCTGACTCTTGGCTTCGATGATGATGTTTCAGGTGTTTGATGATGAGTTCAAGAAGGTGGTGATATCTAGAAAGCCGTTGGGGCGTTTCGGGGAGCCTGAGGAAGTGGCCTCGCTTGTGGCTTTTCTATGTATGCCTGCAGCTTCTTATATAACTGGCCAGACCATTTGTGTCGATGGAGGTCTCTCTGTCAATGGCTTCTCTTATCAACCACAAGGTTAAATTCCAATGTTCAAAACATACAAAAATTTCAACTTTATTTCAAATTCCAATGCTCCTCTGCTTTAGCCTCTGTCTTTCAACTTTATTTCAAATTCAAAAATTCCAATGTTCAAGGCCTTTATTTATGTACAAGTTTAGACTTTGTACGTACACTACGATTGCTTGGAGCCTCTGTCTTTTCGTTAGCGTATTCGATTACACAAGTCACACATGTATATGATTAGACGCAACAAAGGCTAAAGCAGAGGAGATCGGCTTTGTCTATCAGTTCTTGCTACTTGTGTATTTCCTATGAGAACTTAAACATCTAATCAACAATATTAACAAAAAAGAAAAAAATTATAATAGATCGAAGCACAAACTTAGACCCCAAAATTTTGGTAAGGTTAGGTTCTAATTTACTTCAGAGTATGATTAGTGATTTTAGCAAATGTATTACTACTTTTTTTGAAACGCATATCTAAAACTCGACCTGTGACCGTGCAATATTTTACTTGTGTTTTTAGCTCAAGCTTTGATTTCAAATACTCAAAATTAGTATATGTGAAAATTTCATTAAAACTCACTAATTATTGATCAGTCTCCTAGAATATATGTATTGTACTTATATTTTGTTAGTCCAAAAAAGAAACATTAACCCAAGAATTGTTCTACTATACAGACTAACTAGTATTATCCCCGTGCTATGCACGAGAATATTTTTGTTAACTTAAAAAAACAAACTTTAGTTACATATTAAGAAATGGTAATCAAAGAAGGAAAAATAGAAAACCTAGTACCCCATAAACTACTTTGCGTGCCATCTTTCTTCCTCGCTCGATTCCTTAAAAAATCTGGTAAAATTATAAAACCAAGATGAGAATGCTTATTATATAAAGCTATTTTATATTAGTTACCTTTGGGAATAATTTCATTGACGAATTTGATTGTTTGAGTACCTATTTTTTTCTGGTAATCGAGAAGAAGCAGTAGAGCTATGATTCCTTTTCACTGTGTATTTATATTTCAAACATCTGAAATAAAAAAATAAGTGGTGTATCGCAAAGACTATAGACCAATTTACGGGGAAAACTGAAACAATTGATATAGTATCTGTGTTAATTTTGTCTTAAAATTTAGTCATCTTTCCCACAACAGCACCAGTTTTGTCATCTTCAACACTTCATGTTCCTCTCGCCCCTACAATACAACCATACATAAATCAATTTTTCTTACCAAAAACTTAAAACATTGAAATTATAGAGAAAAGGTAGAAACCTCTCTGCTGTTTTCAATCCATCGCTGCTGTAAATTCTATTCTACAATAGCAAAACACTTAAACAATTTGATCCTTTCGGAAGTGAATTAATGGAAGCGTTTTTACCTTTTAACAGAATTCCCTTCTTGCAATTCTATTGCGATCTGCATTTGCATTCTCTCTTACATGAATTGAAATGTCTTCTTAAGGATCAGATCTCCAGTAACACACTGCAAATCACTTGTCCTATATCTGCGTCAGCGTGAAGGTAGAAATTTGAGATGAAATCAGAATCCTTAGATGTCTCCGAGAAACTTAAGTAATCACTAGTCTTCCACACTAAATCACTGCACAGAGTTATGTTTCGGATCAATTGAGAGTATCTTTGATATAGAAATATAGGAAAGAAAGATCAAGAAAGATCGTGGATGATGAAAAAGAATCGTGAGTCGAGAAAACCATTATTTTTTTTGCATGATTTCATTTTTTTTTTTAATTTTAAAAATATATAAACACAAACTATGTGGCAGAATTTAATTGGTCAGGTGACTTGTGCTTTAGTAATATAAGGATTTGCTTTGAGTACTCAGGCACCGTTGACTTAACGTGCGATGGTACTTGTGAAAACGAGCGATCGATATCAAGCCATGCTTTAATAAAAAAACGATAACACCGAAAAACTAGAATTTTCAGCTCCATTACTGTATATTTTTGCCATCCCTATTAACAATTGTGAAACAAAAGAGACCACAGCATAAATTTGTAAATAAAAAGCAGTATTTTGTCCTTTAATAAAAAAAAGTAGTATTTTGTCCTCCCATCCAAAATACTTCGGTTACAGACCATCATCTATCTCTTCACATAAAATGCATGCATAAGTTTGATTTCTGCAGTCAATTCTGACATATACCTCATGTCTAGTTTTTGGCCGCAGGCTGATCATTTTCTATTTAAAAGATTGGGTATGCATTAAATTTTCCGAACCAAACCAAAAATTTTGTTCGATGAACTTCCACGGTTCATCAAACAAAAGAAAAATATATTTTCCCCAACTCAGATAAATCAAAAACCGAATAGATAGATCCCAATAAACTGAAAGGTCTAGTTGTCACGAAGTAGTAAATGCAAATTAGTTATTTGTTTGTTTCTGAACTTTTAAGCTGAAAAGTTGAACGTATATAAAATTAAAGGAGAAGTGGTGCAAAAACATAAAAAATTATATGACTAAGTACAATACCATGGATGTATCAAAGACCTTGGTCGAGATGCATTGCCACCATGCACAATAAAATTTGGATATTTTTACTAAAATAATAAAATCTTTATAAAATTATATAATAATATGGATAGGATCATGATGATAACTAATACGCTATATTCCAAAATCAGAAACTGAAAGATTTTGTCACTTACCAGTGATTCTAGGAGCTTCAGTGTTGGGGGTCAATTCAATTACAGTGGTTTTGGTTGGATCGGTGGGTGCACGAACGAGGCCCCATTTGTGTATTCTTATGATTTTTGTAGGTTTCAGTATTAACCACAATTAATTCTATATTTACTTTTCCCTCATCTCAGTTATATAGTTTTACTATAGCAATGTAAATGGCTAATAATTGCAGGTGGTCTCACTGTTAGATGAGCAAATACATTTCCTCCCAAAATAAATTAGTGGTCTTTTTCTTTAAATGATCTTCTTTTTGTTAAACTCGGTCAAAATATCAAAAATTTATGAGACTAATCAGTCATACAATTTTGGCGATGAAAAAAAAAATCGGAAAATGTTGCATAAATGTTTATTAGTGGTTGTGTTAATTCTTTTATAATTTGATCAGCTGCGAATCTAAGATGTGCAAGTGCAACCGCACATTTTCTCTTTTTCCAGTGATGAACACGGAAACTCGGTGAATAAGCAATAAGGTTCAATATAAGCTAGCACCATGCACTTACCATTTTCCATTGAGACCAATTGATTCTTTGTCATCGTTGACTTGATTCTTGAGAGTGTGAGGCAACTTGACCTAATTTTTTAAGACTGCGACAGTAACTAAATCAAAGGAATTCATAAGAGCTACGATCGTAACACGTGTACGGTGGATAACTCCTTTTAGATTCTCCCTTGAAAGAAGGGACCCACTCGGCGGAATGGAATAAAAGGTGAAACGTAAAAGGTAAATTGGTTGGGTCACTGCTTCACCAAGAAGCCTTTTTCTCTCTTCTTTTGTTTTGTTTTAAATATTGTTTGTGTCTTTATAAACGGTTAAAAACTCCTAATTCCAAGACACTTACGTGTCATCTGTACGGCATTTTCTATCTAACTTTCTACTTCATAATGACTAGTGAGACCTCTTTTTCAATAAAGATTCTCCAGGATTATTTAGAAATGTAACTACAGCTTTACAGATTTTAGTTGCGTGAAATCTATTTGATCTCGTGCGTATATCAAATCCACTTAATGGAGACAGATTTGAAATCATTTATTGATTATGATGTCTGAAAGTATAACATTTGTACGCACAAGAAGCACCTGTATGATTTTGTCTTGGATCTTTCCTACGACAGTGTGGTATTCAGTTTTGTTACATTTTATACGTTCAAAGCATACATAGCAACATGAAAGATTGATAAATCATTACTCTAAATGACAACATGGTGTGTCTAAAATAGCTAGCTCTCGTACCAGCCTGCGAAGATATTAGCCAAACCATTCCCAAGAACAATTAGTAAAACATATATACCTTGCTCCACTAATTGTTCCTTCGTGGTTATGCAAGATATTGGGAATAGTTTGAAGATGCACAATTAGGATAATAAGATAAGATGGATATAATATATATATATATAATATAAGATCAGTATTATAATTGTTCAGATATATGTACGGATGAGGTGCATCAATTTTTCAGCGAGCCTTCGATGCATTTCAAATGGAAACATTAGATTTAATATGCATCACCCCTTGTCGTTGGTGAATTACAAATCTGGTTACATGTACAGAAACAAGAAGCTGCTCCATGTAATTGATGGTAGATATTATTTAAAAAGCAAAACAAAACACAAAATAAGAACCCTCGTATGACTGTTTTTTTTTTTTGAGTTTAAACATAAATTATCGTATGAAGGCTAACGTGTGTAATGTAATCACCTAATTGTAATTAGCATTATATAAACTCTTTTAAGTGGAAGAACACAAAAATCCGCCGTGTATATATTAATATGTAATTCGTTAGGCTTGAAAAAGTTGACCTAATTTAGCTCAAATTAAGGTTAACTACAATCAAATTTAACGTAATGGAATTCTTTTTTAAATAAAATAGTTCTCTCCCGTGATTAGATCTCTCATCTTTAGGGAGACACAGAGACAATTCGGAAAAAAAAGGTCATACTGAGAAGAAGTGGACCACAGTCGTGGCGCGAAAGGAACTTCCTCTTTCCCTTCTGTTCAATTTTGATTGGGCCACGTATATCTCCTACCTGATCGTGATGCTTACGTGGTCCATTTTAAAGCAGTGTAGTGACCAGATCTACGGTCAAGATTAATCTATCAGGCACAAGACCAATACGTCACGTCGTTAAAGTAAGATTTTTGAAAATCAAAGTTAAAAGTAAAACTGAAAAACACAGAAAAAGAATTTTAAAATGTTTGTGAAGCGGTAGGCGCGTGGGTATAAATGCTCCGCCATGTAACGTGTACCGATGATATTTATTTAATCGCATGCCATAATCAAAAACACTATTCGACTTCTTCTTTTGTACAAAAAAAAAATCAGAGAGAGATTTTTTATTTTTCTCTCGGGAATTAAATTTGACGGTCAATAGATTCGTCTGGAAAAGAAACCGCGATCGAGTTTTTATTTTTATTTTGGGGGGATCAGATATTCAGATGGCGGATATTTGTTACGAGGACGAAGCGTCGGCTTGTGAATCGAGGCCGTCGTGGTCGAGCCGGAGACGACGGATCGGAGCTCAGCGATGCAGGATGTCTCCGGCGGAGAAGAATCCGACGGCGGCAACGGTGGCGGAAGATTTAGAGGGTATTTATAAGCGTAATAAACAAGAGGAGTACGATTGTATGAACTGCGCATCACCTTCTCGGAGTTGTTCAGAAGCGGACGAGAGTGTATCACTCGAAGACGACTTTTGCATCACCGGAAATTCATCGGTAATTCCTTGTAAAAAAACGGCGAGAGAGACGGATCTGAGACCTAGATACGGCGTCGCATCGGTGTGCGGTAGGAGGAGAGATATGGAGGATGCGGTTGCGATTCATCCGTCGTTTGTACGGAAACAAACCGAGTTTTCTCGTGGAAGATGGCACTATTTCGGCGTTTACGACGGACACGGCTGCTCTCACGTACGACGTCGTTTTTTAATTATTTTCCCCCTCAATTTGAATAATATTTATCAATTATCACCAGTTGATTGAGTTTGTGCAATACGATGTCGTTTCACAGGTTGCGGCGAGATGTAAAGAGAGGCTTCACGTGTTAGTGCAAGAAGAAGCGCTCTCGGATCACAAGGAAGAATGGACGAAGATGATGGAGCGTAGCTTCACGCGCATGGACAAGGAGGTTGTTCGTTGGGGCGAAACTGTGATGAGCACTAATTGCAGGTGCGAGCTTCAGAGTCCCGACTGCGACGCCGTCGGATCTACCGCCGTTGTCTCTGTCATTACGCCGGAGAAGATAATTGTAGCCAACTGCGGCGATTCCAGAGCTGTTCTCTGCCGGAATGGAAAACCAGTGCCTCTATCCACAGATCACAAGGTCAGTCTAGAAATCTTTTTTTAAATTTTTTTTCTTCATATTTTGTGGATTTGAATCTGATTTGCCGGTTGAAATATTTATACACAGCCGGATCGTCCAGACGAGTTGGATCGAATCCAGGAAGCGGGAGGACGAGTGATATATTGGGACGGTCCGAGAGTGTTGGGCGTTTTAGCAATGTCACGTGCCATCGGAGACAATTACTTGAAACCGTACGTGAGTTCAGAGCCGGAGGTGACGGTGACGGATCGGACGGAGGAAGATGAGTTTCTAATTCTCGCGAGCGACGGCTTGTGGGACGTAGTGACGAACGAGGCGGCGTGTGCGATGGTGCTCATGTATCTAAACAGAAAAGGTCGGGGAGGAAGGAGGCGAGAAACTCCGGAGAGTCATGAAGAAGGGAAGGAGGAAGCGAAAGTGGTGGGGTCAAGGAAGAACGGGAAGAAAGGAGAGATCACGGACAAAGCATGTACGGAGGCGTCAGTGTTGCTGACGAAGCTGGCGTTGGCTAAGCACAGTAGCGATAACGTAAGCGTCGTCGTCGTTGATCTCAGAAGAAGAAGAAAGAGACACGTTGCTGGACACTAATCTCATCACTCCACCGTTTTTTTTTTTCTTTAAATATGAATGATTCTTTTGTTTTTTTTTTTTTCTTTCCTTGGGTTTAGTGTGTGAATTTTCTCACTGCGATGAAGGTCTCTCAGATTTTTCTTCCAACCCGAAAGAGAAAAAGAAAAAAAATATCCCGGTTCATCGAAAATGGATAAACCGGGTATGGTTGGGTTTTTTTGTTTGGTGCGAACGAACCATCTTTTGTTGCCTTTTTCGTTGTGTATAAAGAAGACGAACAAAAGAGGAAGACGGGATGTGTCACTATCTAGGTGGAATCAGTTCAGAATTTGATTAATTAATAAAAAGTATGTTCAGAGTTTTTTGCTTTTCGACTAAACCATTAAGTCACGTACGCGTGGTATCCTTTGAGACAGCAACGGGAATTTTCTAGAGACGGTAATTGGGAAGAAGAAGGACGTGGCAAAGTGGTAAGCTTAGAAACCCTACACCACAAAAAGGACGTGACCCACCAAGGAGCGATGCACTTGTACGTGTCGGTGTCGAGTGAATGATAATTGATTGATAAAATCTAAGTGTGATATTATTATCTATACATAATACATGATCACAGATCAGATCGAAAGAAGAGTTTATTCAGAAAAAAAGAGTTTACCTGTTATATTAGAGTTCATTCAGAAAAAGAAGAAGAGTTTATTCAGAATGAATTCGAATACGAAGTTACAAGCTACTTCCGGTGAATCTACGGGTGTCAAATGGACCGTACCAAACCAAACAGAATTGAAGTAGCCTTTAAAACTACTCACTAAGCCCGAGGAGAAACGAAAGAGTACCAACGAACGAACAGAACAATTGACAGACTGATGTTAAACAACAAATCAAATAGACGACCCATACCAAATATGCTTCAATTGCTCAACCCAAACACATACTAATATTAACTGCTTTGAGATTTAAAGAAACAAATGTTTTCAAGGATGCCACATTTGTAACAATTCTAGTCACACATATTAAACTAAGACACAGAAATGCTGCAGCAACACAGAAGCAAAATGGACGACAAAAGCAGAGGTTGCAGAATAAAGACCTCTCCGGAGATGCAAACTGACCTCGCAAACCCACATTTCCAGCGACAAATGTACTCTGCAATCCAAACTGGCCATTTCACGTTTGTTTCATGTCACCGTTTTCTTTAAGGGTCTTCAATCTTCTGTAGCCCTTGTCAGTACCAAAGATCCTGAAGAAAACCAAGACGGATGGTTGACAATTCTTTTCAAAAGCAAAGAGATAATAATAGTTTCAGATGTTTACCAGTCCATATACACAAAAGTTGAAGAGTAGTTGCCAGACTTTGTGTAGAGGAGGCGGTGATGGTAGTCATGGAAGTCAGCACTGTAACCAAAATATTGAGATTTTCCATTATTACAATCTATAATACGTGGATTTCATATCAAGAGAGCTGGCTAGATGTGTGATCTTACCCTCCATACAGAGGAAAAAAATTCGAGAGGCTCCATGGGAAATGATAACCACAATGTGCTTCAACTGTTTCAAGCACTCTCAGTACCATCCATAACCAGAGGGTAATCAGGTGGGGACCGGTGAGAGCTGGACCAACTATGGTAGCAAAACCCAGGAATAGAATCTCAGCAGGGTGAGCATATTCCGATGTCAAACCAAATGGTGTGGCGTATCTGGAATATCATAGAACGGTTGCTCTTTCAGAATTGATCTAACTTTCAAGCATCAAAAAATGTAAAAAGATGGTGAACACTGGAACTTACTCATGATGCACACTGTGCACGTTCTTGTACAGCCATTTTGAATGCAAGATCCGGTGACCCCAATAGAAAACAAAATCCTCAATGATGAAGTAGAATAATATCTGGGCAGACACTTCTTTCCTGCAGGACCATCACCAAAGAGGGTCTTATATACCTGATCAACATAAGCTCAGGTTCTTTCATGACGCTCAACACTGACAGTTTTTGATTTTTTTTTTTCTTCTATTGCCAACTGGAAGAGTCTAACATGAGAACCCAAAGGAAAAAGCTTTAGCACTAAAGAACCTGATAATACCAGGACGGCAGAGGAAAACTGCTTCGCATTCCCATGGCTCTGAAGACAGGATAGGAGGCCATCATCAGGGGCAAGTTTACGCAGAAATGATAAAGCAAGAGGCGAGTAATACATTTTCCTTGGGCTGCAGGTGTGTTATTTTTTGTCTGCATATGACCAAAACACCGGAATTTGTTGGTCATTCAAGTAAGAGAAGCCGAGAAAAAAGGATCAGCTTCACAATGGCTAGTAATTTCAGACATGACAATAAATTCACTTTTAACAGTGAAGGAACAAAAACAATTTCACAAGTGAAAACTGATTCTTTGGTGATAAACGTCTACAAGATCCTATTGAAAAAAGATCAAGCAAAGCTATAATATCGTACATCGGAGACCACTTGGACCGATGAGAATAAGAAGAGACGAACCTGAATTTTGTACTTGCTGAGAAAGCCTGCCCTTTCTAGATAGATGAAAGGGAGGCCAGATAAGAAAAAGACGCTTTCATGGAGGAGAAAACTCCCAATGCACGCCAGTTGAAAGTCGCTAAAATGTGTCACAAGGTACTGCAACAGACACAAAAACAAAGTCAAGATAGCTAATGCGAGCGAGCAGAAAACTCCGGTGAAACAAAACATATTCTGCTGGTTATAGCAGAAATTACTGATATTCATCAATTCAGTCTCATATATATATAGATCAAGATAAAGCAAATATTGAAGCATCAAATGCAAATGAACTCCCAGACCAAAAAAACCATGCAAAACCAAAATAGCAATCCATATGAACGGCGTTTTCCCGCATTAAGTTACCAATCATTGAAAAGTCCGTAAGTTAAAAACGATCCAACAGAGAGAGACTTGATTATTAACATCCAAGCGTCTACTAGATCCGTTTAAGCTCCACCAAAGAAAAGAACAAACAAACAGAAACAGGAAATACGCTTATACTTTCTACGTAATTTGGCACTAGCAGAGAGTCAAATTCAGATCTAACACAGTACTGCAATCGATACGTTTTAATCCGATGGATCAAACCAACACAGAGCGGAGGATCACAACAAACAAATATAAATATATAAAACAACGCATGTTTCACAATGCAGTGAACTGAAGTCAGCGAAGACGGAGAAAACAGGAGGTAATCGCTTGAGAAGACACGAAACCGACGAAAACGAGGGAATCGATAGGAGATAGATAAGAGATGGATGGAGAGAGAGATACCTGCCAACCGGATTCGACGAGGGAAGCCATTGATGGGATCTATGAGAGGTGGGAGAGATGGGGAAGATGTAGAGAAAGAAAGAGGTGGGAGAGAGGCCACGAGTGAAACAACAGACAGACTGTCACAGGTAAGTAAAATAAAAATCTGGACACTGATATTTTCCTCTTTTTTTTCACCAACTTTTTTTTTTTTCTTTTTAACTTTTTGACCTCTCTGTTGTCTATCAGAGCGGGCCTATTCGGTTTAGTAAATGCTTACACAGCCCCTCGTGCGCCTATTTGGTCTCCACATTTTTTAGTTTTTTTTTCTTCTTCTTATTCTATAAACATATATAGTTGAAAATTCAGTCTGTTGTTGTATAATGTTCGAGAATCCGACTCCATTTTTGATGGAAGAAATTCATGCCTTTTATGTGAAACGATCAACTTATGATCTCTTGGGCTCATATGACCACATGCACAAAACAGAGAATCCTAGACGATTAGAGGGGGGGAATTTGACCTGCACTTCTGGCTGCTTACTATTCAGTTGATCAAAGAACATACATACACTGGGCCTAAGCCATGAGCAAATCATAATTAAGAAGATCCTTTCCGACGTTTGTAAATGGTATTCACCATGTTACACTGCAGAGGATTTTTGTAGATATAACAGTAAAGAAATAAAGAGCTTCCTTTCTGGGAAATGGTGTGAATGATCACAGTTTCAACACAGCTAAACAAACACAAAGAACTGGAAAGAAAAAGGTATGCTATACTTGCTGAAATTAAGCCAAGAAAAAATGATCAAAAAGAGATAATCCTTGAGAAATCAAACGTGTGATTGATTGATTGATTGATTAGTCATTGCTATAGTTACTAGGTAGAACAGCATCCTTTTCTGTTAGTTGCGGATGAATCTGAAATGTTAATGGCAGTTCCATGCCCCGGAACCGGAAGATTACCTGCAGCTTCTTGTGCCGCCAAGGCTTTCTTGCTTATGATATGATAAATCTCGGACAAAATTGTCTGAAACGCTTTCTCGATATTGGTTGCTTCTAAAGCAGAAGTCTCGAGAAATGACAAACCTTCCTTCTCAGCAAGAGAGCGACCATCTTCGTCAGCAACAGATCTCAGGTGGTTTAGATCTGATTTGTTTCCAGCCATCATGATGACAATGTTGGAATCAGCATGGTCCCTAAGCTCGCGTAACCATCTCAGGACATTCTCAAAGGTTTGTCTCTTGGTTATGTCGTAGACAAGAAGTGCTCCCACTGCTCCTCTGTAGTAAGCGCTTGTGATAGCTCGGTAACGCTCTTGACCTGCCGTATCCCAAATCTGAGCCTTGACTGTTTTGCCTTCAACCTAAACAGATAAATAATACACACATAGAAGCATGAACAAGATGAATCTCGAGGCTTTCAATATATTATAATTTCTACAGAAGATCTTCAGATCTAAACAATCACATGAAGTTTTTCCATTTCTACAGTTCGAGAAACTGAGACTAATCCTCAAAAAAACTTTAGCTTAGAAGCACAATTGATCTAGAATTCGAGAGAAGAGAGATCATCACCTGTAAAGTTCGGGTGGCGAATTCGACGCCAATGGTAGATTTGGATTCGAGACAGAACTCATTTCTGGTGAATCTAGAGAGAATGTTGGATTTTCCAACACCGGAATCGCCGATCAGGACGATCTTGAACAAGTAATCGTACTCGTGATCTATTCGATTCGCCATTGTCGCTCACTCAAATCTTAGCGTCCGATCAACCTATGCATACACACATAAACGTCAACAATCGATCGAATAACCGTCTCGGAAACGGAGACAATGAGATTAAACGAATCAAAGCCGCAGCTCGAAACCTAGATAATCCAAGCAGGTGGAATTTTACCCTTTGAGCAAGCCGGAAGAAATCGAGAATGGAACTTGTTTTCTTCGTAATTGCTTTTGTTTTCCCTTGTTTCTTTCTGTTTTCTCTCGTCTCTCTTCCCTATTCCGTTGCGAGTTTTGTGCACACGAGGTGAAAACGGAAACGCCCATTTATTTATTTATTTGATTTTAGTTTCGGAATTGTTTTTTGTTTAACCATGAAAAGAAATTAATCTCATTCATTTGAATTTTTTGTTGTTGTTGTAGATATCTTATTTAAATCTACCATACCATACGTTATATACGTAAAATCATCGTCAATAATCTGGACGGATTCAATACCCTCACAATTGTATTACATTAACCAGTCTGAAAAAAACATAAACTGGTTTAATTGCCAAATTAGACTCTAATTTAGGCCGTAGAAGTCATTAGAACAGCAAATGAAAACTAAGAGTTGGAATTATAACATTGATTTTTCTACAAGAAATGATTTTTACTTTTTGAGAGTCCAAGTATAATCGTTTGTTGGGCCTGGTGTGTGTCTTTGGTTGGGCCTCTATTGATGATTGGGCCAATGTCTTATTGTTGCTAATAAAATGTTTGTACAAAGCTCTGAATTGACTAATCATCTCTCCCACCAATTTCATTTCTTTCCTTCTACTTTCAGACTCTTTTTCTTCGTCTCACTCTTTCTCGATCTTTTTCTTCTCGCGATTTTTTTATTTATTTCTTCCTCAGGACTTCTCTCTCCCGTTGCTTTTAGAAGAATCCCTTCCTGAGATCAGGTTAGAGATTAGTTTCTCTTCTGTTGTGGCTTTTAACGGATTGCATGTTAAGATACTGTATCTTGCTGATTCTCCATGGTTATCATCAGCTTTCTGTTAGTCTTTTGTTTTTAACAGATTGGGGGAAAAAATATCCTTACTGGCTTGAGGTATTTTAGTATTGCTTTTACGCATAGGGGAAAACTATGTTTACTAACTTTATTCAGTTTCCGAATTAAGAATCTCACATGTATTCAGTTTGCTACTAGAAGAATCACATATATTAGCAGAACTGGATTTTCTGATTTCATTTGAGTTTCCTTTGATTTTTCTTCTGTTTCATGTTTGTGATCGTCTTTGCCTTTTGGCCTGTGATTTGGCTTCCCAGTTTTGTGTGCTCCGGGAATTTTCTGGTACACTTCTGTTTGAGAATCGGGGACGTCAAAATTTATGATGATTATGTTGAGAGTCTATACAATCTGTTTTGTATAGAAGATAAATAATTTTTCAGTTTTACTTTGCGAAAGATTTAATGTTATTTATGTTAATAAGAGTGTTTTTATGACATAGAAGGTAATGCGAAGTGGTTGAGAAACATCACACCATGATGGAGCGATCTCTAGTCAGATTATGGAGCACTTGTTTGCGCAGTTTCTTCTACATATCGACAGTGCTTTATCTGCTCACCAGCGGAGGAGTTCACTCTCACTCTGAATATTTGATTGGACTGGGAAGCTATGACATTACTGGCCCGGCGGCTGATGTAAATATGATGGGTTATGCTAACATGGAGCAAGTAGCATCTGGTATTCACTTTAGGCTCCGCGCTCGGACATTCATTGTCTCAGAGCCCGAAGGGAAGCGGGTCGTGTTTGTTAACATTGATGCTTGTATGGCTTCACAAATTGTAACACTCAAAGTGATCGAGAGACTCAAGGCAAGGTACGTTCCTTATCTTTTTCTAGGTTGACTAGCCGTTGTTTTTTTTTGTTGTTGTTGAGAGGTTTATCTCATGCATCATAAATTAGAGAGAGATATTTGGTGTCTCTGTCTACTCTAATTATGAAACTGTCTTTCGCAGATATGGGGACCTATATACAGAAAAGAATGTTGGCATCAGTGGTATTCACACCCATTCCGGTCCCGGGGGGTATCTACAATATGTGGTGTATATCGTAACATCACTTGGATTTGTTCGTCAGTCATTTGATGCCCTTGTGGATGGAATTGAGAATAGTATCATACAAGCTCACGAAAACCTTCGTCCTGGATCAATTTTTCTCAATAGTGGTAAAGACTGATGATACTATTCTCTCTGGCAATTTTTCCTGTTTTCTGATAGATTGATTGTTGCTGGAATCTGATACATGTTTTTCCTGGTTATACGGATACCTGCAAATGAAAAATAGTTGTGGGCATTGGAAATAATTCTTGGAGAAAGAATATCTTTGTCTTCTCCATCCTGTTTTCTTCTGATGAATTTAAATAAATTGAAAAGGTTTATCTTGCTCGTAGCCTATATTTGTACATTTGTGTTGCAGGATGTTTCTTTGTAAAGGCTTTTTTCGTATGGCTAATAAAACTTACCTTGTAGGTGAACTCTTGGATGCTGGCGTAAACCGCAGTCCAAGTGCATATCTTAATAATCCTTCAGAAGAAAGGAGTAAACACAAGTATGATGTTGATAAAGAAATGACTCTCTTGAAATTCGTGGATGATCAATGGGGTCCAGTAGGTAGTTTCAATTGGTTTGCTACTCATGGAACTTCCATGAGTCGTACAAACTCTTTGATCAGTGGGGACAACAAGGGCGCTGCAGCACGATATATGGAGGATTGGTTTGAACAGAATACTGCTGAAAGATCCTACTCCGAAGGGTTTATTTCAGATGAGATACCTAGAAGAGTTTCAAGCATAATCGGGAATCATCAGGACAGCCGTAAGCTTACAACACCTTTATAATAACAACTGTACATTGTGTCTGTAAAGATAGAACAAGATAAAAATGTTCAGTTTGTTTGGTCTACCGCAGATCAGGAGTTGCTAGATCTTGCATCTTACTTTGAGTCACAACCTGGTAGGCCTGCAACTAGGATTTCAAGTTCTGCAAGGCGGGTGAGGAGCTCTCTGAGAAATGCGGACATGCCTGGCTTTGTTTCTGCCTTCTGTCAAACAAACTGTGGCGATGTTAGCCCAAATGTGCTTGGAGCCTTTTGCCTAGACACTGGACTTCCTTGTGATTTCAATCATAGTACATGTGGTGGGAGAAATGAGCTGTGCTATGGGCGTGGACCAGGGTATTCTCCTGTTACTGTTTTTGTGTCATCTTACAAGATTGGATAGCACAAAAGTTTTCTTCTTTTCACCTGTTGCTTTATCATTGCAGCTATCCTGATGAATTTGAGAGTACACGTATAATTGGTGAGAGGCAATTCAAGATGGCTTTGGATCTTTTCAACAAAGCATCTGAACAGCTACAGGGGAGGGTTGATTATCGCCATGTTTACGTTGACTTTTCACAGCTTAATGTGACACTTCTTAAAAAAGATGGAAATTCAGAAGTTGTAAAAACTTGTCCTGCGGCAATGGGCTTTGCTTTTGCTGCTGGAACCACAGATGGACCAGGAGCATTTGATTTTACACAAGGAGATGATAAGGTATTCAGTCAAAATCATAAATGTATCATCCAATAAGTGAAATATTGCTTCCATGCTTTCAATTTCTCAAGTATACCATTTGCATAAATCAGGGGAACCTTTTCTGGAGGATGGTGAGAAACGTTGTCAAAACACCTGACAAGAAACAAATGGATTGTCACTACCCAAAACCCATCTTGCTTGACACTGGAGAAATGACAAAGCCATATAACTGGGCTGTAAGTAGTTTAGAATTGTGAAGTTCCTTGAGTATTGTTTATGGTTTAAAGACACTACTCTAACTTTGTCATGGATTCCAGCCGTCAATTCTGTCATTGCAAATTCTGCGTATTGGACAACTTTTCATTCTCAGTGTTCCTGGAGGTATTGGAGAATCTGCAGATTGTCACACTTCAAAATCATGACTACTGATGGTTAACATTCCTGACTATCTTGCTTGTCAGAATTCACAACTATGGCTGGAAGGCGTCTCCGCGATGCAGTCAAGACTCAGCTTAAAAGCAGTGGTGATAAAGAAATGAGCGGTGAGATTCACGTCGTGATAGCTGGGTTGGCTAATGGATACTCACAGTATGTGACTACCTTTGAGGAATACCAAGTGCAAAGATACGAGGTAAATGCTTATTACACTGACCCTTTAAAACAAACAGCTTCTTTTTGTTCCGCTTAATCTGTATCTGTTGCAATGGTTGCATTTGTTAGGGCGCATCTACATTATTTGGCCCGCACACCCTCAGTGGCTACATTCAAGAGTTCAAGAAACTCTCCAAATCTCTCCTCCTTGATACGACTGTTCAACCGGGACCTCAACCGCCTGATCTCCTAGACAAGCAACTGAGCTTCCTCACACCAGTCATGATGGACACAACTCCTGTCGGAGACAGTTTTGGGGATGTAATCTCGGATGTTCCCAAAAACTTGTCCTTGAAGAGGGGAAATGACCAAGTTACTGTTGTATTCCAGTCAGCTTGCCCTAGAAACGATCTATTGACAGAAGGTATCATCACCCAACTCAAATAGAAAAATTACTTGTTTAGTATATAACTTTTGTTTTAATTTAATTTCTTAAGCAAATGATCCTTGAAGCAAATTTGAATTGTCAGAGACTGAAGACTGAAAGCTACATTTGTGCCTGCTGAGTTTTTCTTTTCTTGTTTTAGCTTTATTTACCGTCTGTGTGAAACTGTTCGCTTTTAAAAGAAAATCATGGAACAAGATGGTGAAATTTGAACTGTTCTAACTGACGGCAAATGTTTATTTTATTGACTCAGTTATTGACTCATGATTATCTAAAATTGCTGATGCTTATGTCTGCTTCTTAGTCATGGATTTCAAAAAGGTTGACCTGGTCACTTATTTTTATGCTAACAAGTGATACTATTTTCATGGCAGGTACGTTTGCTCTAGTGGAGAAACTAGAGCGGAAGGACAAGACTTGGATCCCGGTTTATGACGACGACGACCTATGTCTGAGGTTCAAGTGGTCAAGGCCTAAGAAACTTAGCTCCCGTAGTCAAGCCACAGTGGAATGGAGAATTCCTGAATCTGCATCACCAGGGGTGTACAGGATCACCCATTTTGGTGCTGCAAAGAGGCCCTTTGGGTCAGTCCACCATTTCACAGGTTCTTCTAGTGCTTTCGTTGTAACATAAACAAGTAGAAACTAAAGTAGACGTGGTAAAAGTTGTGTTATAATAGGTTTACCTGAATGCACGGTCTGGTGCACGTATCTGGTCTTACACAAATGTAGCAGCAGAGTATAGAATGATGTCATATAACGATAATGAGAAGTCTAATGGAATGCAATACAGGTTTTTTGGGTAATTGGTCAGATAAAAATGTATCTTGTCAAAATCTTACAATCAAGGTTGCATAAGAAATTTATCTTGTGAATTGGAAATAGATGATAAATCGTTTCAGAAGCCACTAATTTTGCCGAACTTTGTTATCGTAAAACATAATAAGTCATGGAAACAAACTGTTCAAGAGGGGCACTAAATGGAATCACAGAAAAACATCATCATCATCATCAAGAAAAATCTTCTGACTTTTAGGATGAATATACTAAGGAGTTTTAGGGCTTAGTGTCTTCTTCTTCTTCAATTTTAGGAGCCAAGTAGTAACGAATGTAACCCATCTCAGCTACCTTATACTCCACCACAACTGGCAGCTCCGATGATAAGCTGATAGTCACCGTGTCTGACAGTGGAGTTGCCTTTGTGAATGAGTTCATGTACCTCAGGGCAAATGAGAGTGACACTGGCTCGTTCATCTCTATCACAATTGCATCTTCCGGCTGCAGACACACAAAACAAAAGCCCAAATTCAACAGATCGCTCCCATGAATCAGCCATAAATGATGATTAGACAAAGCCATACCTTGTCAACACTTGTGTTCTGTCTGAGCACAATGTTAGCTGTCCCAATGTCACCAGCAGTAGAAAACTTAACCCCTTCTTTAGTCACGGAGATCACAACTGAAAAGATAACATCAAGCCTGTATATCAGTCTCTCTACAGACTCAAAGACCAACAGATATAAACAATAAAAAGCAATGAAATGCACAGTGGAGTGTACCTGTGTCACCGATGCTGCTTAAATCTTTGCAAATCCTGGAAAACTCATTTGACGGCATCCTCACAATTGAATGGTACTCAGCATCAGGAATTCCCAAATGCTCACTGTCTATGTCCATCAGCTTCATCTCAAAGTCTGCAATCTTGTCTTGCGCTGTAAATGATTCAACAAAGGTATCAAAATATGCATACAGAACATGACCCAGTTGATCATCTTGCTTCACTGGTAACGTCAACAACCCTATGAAGTTCCTCTGCCTTAAAATAAGGAAGCAATTACGTCTAACTAGAGTTTGAAACTAGAAAATCTGCTGCCATAAGAGAACTGATATCATATTTCTACATAAATTTTCCCACCATTCCTTCCACACCGGCTTAACCCAAAAATGATAGAATCGCAGAGTTTACAACTCTCAATCAGCAATAGTGGACTAAGAAACATCAGAAAAATTTCGTAACCAGCATAACAAAGTAGATTGGAGAACTTACTGGGGCTCTCGAACATGAAAGTGACGGTGTCGCCGCCGTCATCAGCTTTGATGGTGATGATGTCATCATTTCCGGCACATCTGAGCATTTTCGACATGTTTCCGAGGTTCATCCCCATGGAGAGATTCCTGTCGCACCTGTAGTGCTCGAAGCCTTCGGATCTAAGCAGGAGAGAGACCAGCGCCACGTGACTCGAATCCATGGCTTGGAGCGAGAACCCAGTGCTGGAGCAGTCAAAGTTCGCATCGTTCACAAGATCTTTGATCGATTCTAGAACCTTCTTCAACAGAGAACCCTGAACAAGACGTAGCTCCAACATATCGTCTTCCCAGTGCTCAGAATCCGAATCGCTCGTCTAGGGTTAAGGGTTATTGCGGTTTTTGGAAACAAGACCGCTATTCCAAGGAGTCCGATTTATAAGCTTTTTCTTTTCTGGCGGGATTTCGCAGTTCTAGGACATTTGGTTCCCGCCAGTGCGGTAATTTGCCTCAATTGTCAAAAAAACGATTGAATTTTTTTCTTTTGCCTACTAAAGCTCCTGATTTGGGCCTTTGTGAGAGAAAATGGGCCGGACAACAAAATGAAATATTTGATGGAGTTAACAAAATTCATCGCGTCCGACAATCCCGAAGCTTCTCCTAATTCCTCCCTATATATATATACATCTTTGATTCCCGATTCGTACACGGAAACGTAAATCTCGTCAGTTCTGGAACATCCAATTTCCATTTGTGATCATCCTGTCAAGAGAGCGTTCTTCGATGTGAGTATTATGTTCGATCCATGCTATTTATTTATCGATTTAGAGACTGTTTTCTTTTTTTTTAATGCTGGAACTATCGTCTTTAGGTGTTCTTAGATCTGTTTGTTGCCACAAATTACGATGTTTGAGCTTGAATCTTTCTAGATCTTCACAGAAAAGAGTTAGATAGATGCAAGCATTTATCATGTCATGAGTATGATGAAGGTCTCTTTCTTGAAGGTTTTGTAAATTTCCATAATTCCGTTGGTGTTTTTGCTACTCAGTGATGAAGAAAATTATGAAATAGGTTATCCTTGTATATTTGCGTGGGGTTTTACAAAAAAAAAAAAAAAAAAAAAAAAGTTAATTCTCGCTCGTATTGGCTATCGAGGATATTATTATTCAATTCAGCTTCTTCATATGAGTTTATACCATGTAGATAAAATTCTAAACCTTTCAATTGTTCACTCTTGTTTGTGTAGATGTCTTACTCAAAGAGGTCAAGATACTCTCCTTCACTCTCCCCTTATGAGAAGCGTCGTGGAAGGTCTGTCTCAAGGTCCCTCTCTAGAAGCCGGTCGAGGTATTTTTCCTTTCCTGGGCTCTGTTTGGTCATGAGTTTCTTTTTGCTGCTTTTGTAATACACTCTTTTATTATTACATCAGGAGTGCCTCAAGCGATGCAGAGAACCCTGGTAACAGTTTATACGTTACTGGATTGTCTCACCGGGTAACTGAAAGAGATCTCGAGGATCATTTCTCAAAAGAAGGAAAGGTTAGATATTATGTTGATTTCCAGAAAGAAATCAATATTTTCTTGCAGTGCATAACGTTTAGAGAGTTTTAAAAGGGAGATTTTCGTGTTTTAACCTTGGTGGCCTTTTGACATTTTTAGGTAACTGATGTTCACCTTGTCCTTGATCCATGGACTAGAGAACCTCGTGGATTTGGTTTTATCTCGATGGAAACTGTTGGTGATGCTAACCGTTGCATCAGATATCTAGATCATTCTGTTCTGCAGGGCCGTGTCATCACAGTTGAGAAGGTAAAAAGAACTTATCCTGATCCATTCCCGATATAGCTATAAAATGAATGCAATCTCTCGGATCTATGCAAGTAATGGGCAATATGATACTGTTTTTCTTTTTCTCCCTGGATATTTAAGTTGTTTGCTTGTTTTGTTTCCACTTTCAAGTTTCTGTGGCAGCAGGTCTGCTGTTGTAGCAGCAGTACTTCACCAAATACCAAACAACGCAACATTTCGTACAAATCAAATCCACCGAGTTTCAGACTGTTAGGGTTGTATGCCCTGCATTCCTCTCTTTTATTGAACAACTTTTTATACATTGCTCTAGTAGCTTCAATATAGAAAATGTTGTTTTTTTCGAGTTGCCATTTTTACGGATTCTTTTCTATTTCATTGATTGAGACAGTTCTCTGTTTGTTTGTTCAGGCGAGGCGTCGTAGAGGACGCACTCCAACTCCGGGAAAGTATTTAGGACTGAGAACCGGTCGAGGTATGTTGACATCAGTGGTATTGGTTTAAGACAATTCCTTGTCCTTGTCCTTAATGAGTTTGTCTCCTCCTTGTGCAGGACGCCATAGGTCTCCTAGCTACTCTCCTCGCAGGTCCATAAGCGGCTCTCGTAGTCGCAGTGGAAGCTACTCATCTGACCGTAGCAGATCTTATTCTCCTAGCTATCGGAGGAGCAGAAGATCATTGTCAAACTCTCCCTACTATATGCGAGGCAGATCTTACTCCTGTTCGAGATCTCCATCACCTGGTGATCGTTACTACAGGAAACGTGATAGGTCATACTCACCTTACAACAGGCGGAGGGAAAGGTCAAGGTCAAGGTCCTACTCGCGTAACTACAGAGCACGGTCCAGATCATACTCGCCTTACTACAGGCGGCGGTACAGGTCCAGGTCCAGGTCATACTCGCCTCGCTACAGAGCGCGTGACAGATCATACTCGCCATACCACCGAGGGAGAGACAGGTCCTATTCACCTTACTACCGAGGGAGAGACAGGTCCTACTCACCTGAAAGTCGCTACTACACAAGGTATGGCAGGTCAATATATATAGAAAGATTAGCTGGAAACTGAAGATTGTAGAAAACTGAAGATATAAATGAAAGCAGGTACAGGTCAGTATCGAGAAGCGTAAGCCCTAAGAGGAGAAGCATATCGCCTAAGAAAGGAAGGAAAGAGAGGAGAAGCAAGTCTCACAGGCGAGACAGCCAATCTTCAATGTGTCATTCAAGGAGTGCAAGATCAAGCACCTCCAGATCCGTCAGCCCATAATAGTCCTTTTCAATTTCCTGATTTGGCTTTAATGATGACATCAATCGACTCACGTCATGTGTGTTGTTGTATTAAAATAACTAGGAGAGAATCCGTATGTGGATCTTGTTTTAATATATATTTAAATACTATATTTTAAAAATTTGTATTGAATTTTATGTTTATTATCAGTGTTTTTGCGTTTAAAATATTTATATTTTTTTATTTTTTTTTGATAATACATTATTTATAATTTTTTCTACATGTGCCAGTCTAATTTTTCTTTCAAAATAATAAGGGATTAAAAATATACTATTTTAAATTTTGTATGAAAATGTAATAATTCATTTATAAATATATATTTAATATCAGAGAGGAATATTTATTTGTTCTTCGATTTTCATATTCTTTTTATTCTTGTAAATCTTACTAATATAATACTTGTTAACTTTTTCAATTTATCATTTTGAATTTTTTAGTTATATATATTTTTTTATTCCATTTTTTTAATTTAAATTCATGTATGACATTTTTACGTGTACATTTTTCTTATACTATTTTTTTTTAATAATTGTTATCTCTTTAATCATTTATTAAATATTTTTGTGTTTTTTAATTTATTAGTTGAAGTTTTATATAAGAATATTTAAAACTTCGTAATTTATTCAGTCTTAATTTTTTTTTATTTGCATTAAAATTTAGTATATTTTTAGTTTGAAAATGAAATTTAAATCACTTGAAAGAAGAAAATAGAATAGTGCATCTAAAAATTCTTGTATTATATAAAATTTATAAGTTTTTCTATATTTAAATTAAATTTGAATTGCATTCTAATGTATATATATATATATTAATTTTTATTTATGTTTTTAATGTGTTTTACTTTAAATTTAATTAATTATTTATTTTATCAATTTTTGGATGTTCCACATGTCACTCTCTCCATTGCTGATGTGTCATTCAGCTAAAGAGAGTTGATTGTCTTTTATATAAGATTCGGGACTTGTCTATTCCGTATCTTTGGGAACTGGTGGCAGAATGGTATATCATATGTTATGACGGGTTTGGTATTTTCTTACCTACGAACTCAAGTTGTCAATCATAGTCTTCTTATTGAAATCACAAAAAAGAAATTTCATTTCTTGAGGTGCATTAAAAAAATAATCGTTTTTTTTTTCTACGGTTGTTCTAACATTTTTTTGCCTTTATTTTTTTCTGAAAATATGTATATTTATATATTGTTTGGATTAATAGTTCCGAAAAAGAGGTAATAAAATGTAGGTTTTAGTGTTGATAAACAAAAATTTATCAGTTATGATTTTCCACTTTATTAGGGATTTTAATCTTTGTAAGTTTGTAGTTTGATTAGGTCACATAAGATATATTCAAAAATACAAGTTTGATACTGATCAAGAGTGAAGACAGATCAAGTCCCAAAATTACAATGTGAATTTTTGTTGAAGTTTCAAAAAAATATTGATTACTTATCTTGTTTGAAATTAGAAACTTGAACATTACGAGCAGAAACAAAAGTTATTTTAACCCAAAAAAACCATAGTAGCTAGAAAATTTGGAAATTGTTCAAATTATTAATAATCTATCTTGAAAAAAAAAAAAAATCAATTCTGCTTGAAATAGTTCTTCCAATGCCAGTGCTTCTTCCAACGCTTATCGGCCATTTCTTCAATAGGAATACCTTTGGTCTCAGGGAGAAAGAAGATGACAAAGAGTCCCATGATAACATTCATCACTCCAAAGAAGAAGAACAACATTGATCTAAATCTGCAGAGAGCGGACAAGAAGAACTGTCCGATGATAAAAGTGCAGACCATGTTCATCGCCACGGCACAGAAGTAACCTGCATTTCTAACCTCAATGGGATAGATCTCAGACGGAACAAGCCATCCCAAAGGTCCCCACGACCACGCGAATCCAGACACATATATGCATATTAGGATCAGTACGATGAGTGGAACGACGTGGCTTGTAATCGGTCCGACTAAGTGCAAATTTTTAAAGAGCAAAGCGCCAATAGCAACCTGCATGCGTAAGAAATCAAAAGCAAGAGTCAAGTAAACAAAATGTTAAAAATGTGTTTAAATGTGATGAAATATGTATTTTTCTATTACCTGTGTACCGGTCATTTGACTAGCTCCTTCAACCAAAAAGAACTTCCTACCAAACTTATCAACCAAGAAAACGGCGATAATCGTAGCGATTGCATTCACACCGTTGGTTACAACGGTGGAGATCAGAGAAGCGTCGTTACCACTACCCATCGTCTGGAACAAGACTGGAGCGTAGAACATAACAACATTGATTCCGGTGAACTGTTGGAAGAATTGAAGGAGCGTTCCACACACCAAAGGTGGTCTGTTCTCGCGGTTGAGGAAAAGTTCTTTGAAAGGGCTTTTCACATTGTTTGAAAACTCTGTGGCGCGTTTGATCTCATTGAACTCGAGTTCAATGTCTTCAACGCCTCTGATCGTTCTCAAGACTTGCTTCCCTTCCTCGTCTCTACCACGCTCAATGAGGCTAGCTGGTGTCTCGTAGATGAAATAGGATCCTATCAAGAGGATTAAGGCCGGAATAGCAGCACCACCAAGAGAGTATCTCCAGCCGTCTTTCATTGTGGATGTTAAGAAGTTTACAAAACTTGCTGCTAGGATTCCAATGGTGATGAGAAACTGGAACATTATGTTTAGTGCTCCTCTTGTTTGAGGTGGTGCAATCTCTGAGATGAACAGTGGAACGGTCTGCAAAAATGTATTTATTGGTTTCAAAATGTTAGAATTACAAATCCCTAGAGATCTGATCAAGAACATAAGAAAACTCATTGAGTTAAAGCATGACAAAACAGAGCAGATCCGTATGAAAAACCCTAAAAATGAAAACAGAGGAGGAAACGTGGAAAGAAAGTTTGACCTGATTTCCAAAACCGATGCCTAAGCCGAGGAGAAGACGTCCAGCGATCAACATGCCAAGATCTTGAGCAAATAAGTTGAGGAGAGCACCGAGGCAGAAAAAGATGGAGGCGGAGACGATTATGGGTTTTCTTCCGTATCTTCTGGACAAAAAGGAAGCGGCTAAACTGGCGAAAATACCAGCCAAGTAGAGAGACGAAGTGAAGAGCTGCAAAAGCTGGTCATCGAATTTGCAGTAGTTGTTTTCGTGTACTCTGTGTTTCTTCTCGTACACGTGCGGGAAAAACTTTTTCAAAAAAGTGTCCATACTTGTCACACCTCCTGCAAGTTTTAATTAACCATCATTAGTCATCAATCAATCACACCCAAAAAATGGAAAAAAAACTAATTAAACCTAAACAAACAAACAAAAACCTGAGATTCCTATGTCATAACCAAACATGAGACCACCAACAGCAGCAATTAGACTGGAGAGTCTAACATGAGAAGTTGTCTTTGCAGGGAAGGAAACACCTTCTTCAATATTCATCACACCTACAGCCATTGTTAATTATCTCTTTGCTTTGTTTCTTCTAATAATGTGTATAAGTTGATGATGGTTTAGGAACTTGAGTTCCGATCCTTTCTTTTTATACACGAGCCAGGTTTTGGATAACTTTTATTCTGCACTGAATCTTTTTCACCCGGATTTTTTGGTTGACTTAGAAAAATTCTTTAGATGAATACAATTTTTGTGGATAAATCGGTACTTATGATTTTCTTTGTTCGAAGATTTGGGATACTTATTCTTCTAACAATTTTCTTTGAAAGTTTGTTTTGATATACGAAAATTTTCCAAGAAAATTGTTTTAATGTGTTTTAGGATATTATAACTTTTTTTTATAAAATCAATATTTAGATTTTGGAGAAACAAGGATTGGATCCAATAATTTTAAATATTAATTTGAACAAAGATAATTATCCACAGACCACAGTTTTATTTACATCATATCCACGTTTTTTACATCAATTATCCAGATGTTTAAGAATGCACATTAATAATCCATTAAAAACAAAAACAAAACATCAAAACAAACAGATAAAATTGAATTACAAGAAAGAAAAATCAATTGTATTAAAGTCAACAAAAAAATATTATGTAAATAACAAAACCTAATGAGAAACCTAAACTAACTAGTTGCTATTTCTCCGGAACGTTTAACCCCAAACAAAAATGATTTGCCATGTGAAAGCTGCAATGTAAATTTAAGAGAAATATGAAAAGAACAAAACATACACACACACAGGAAACCTAAACTTGTATACATTGTCATAGTTAAAACATACATCAAGTTCATATCTTTACAATATCCTATTAGCATCTGTATAAAATGGCTACTGCAGCTACATTACCATTTGATCCTAACCAAGATGATGTATGTACATTGAGAATCCACAGAGAAAAAGGCTCCAATGTTTTGTGTTCCTCCTTGTAACAGTTATAACAAACGCCTTTAAGAATTTTTCTAATTTTCAAAAAAAAACATGAATTAAGGAACTCTTATTCTGGATCTGAGCTTACCCCTTCATCAGATTGATATTACTGCAGAACCGTGAGTTTCGTGCTCAGTGTTAACCAAAGGGACAATGGCATTTGAATTGGAATGATCTTCTGTGACTTCCTCACTTGACTCAGATTGTCCCTGCTTTAGGGAACACAATCTATTTGTAAAAGAACATTTCAGTTCAAGAACATGGAAAAGCCTTTGAAACTGACCTCTGTTTCTCTAATGTTACTACTATAACCACCTACTTGATTCTGAGGAGAGTCCGGCTCTGGAATTATAGCTCGCGGTTGACTATCTGGTGTAAGTTCCAAATTCTCAGAGGTCAAAGTATGAGGCTGGCCCAATGGTATCGACAGATCTGGTAACACTGATCTTGGGGAAGTAGCAGACTCGTTAGATGTGACATGATTCACATCTGAAGCTTGAGCTTGCACCATTTCTTCCATCTCTTCAGTTGATTGGCCTCCATCATTTCTCAAAAATTTATCTTCTACTTCTTGATTGGTTCTTGATCTCTCAGAGGGTTCAGGTTCATCAGAGTCATAACTTATCTTCATCTCATCCACCGAGTTTTGGAGAAGTTCCTGTGATTCCTGTTAAACATTGCAAGGAATATATTCACGTTCAACATTTTTAGAAACAAATTGACAAAAAAACAATCGTGTTTCACTAAACCTGATAAGAACAAGAACTATATAACCTCTTCTCTTTGCGACACAACTTCGTTGTTGTGAGGAACCGTGGCCTCCTCGGATATATGCAATCCCCTGTCTGAACTTTCCAGTAGAGAGTGTCTGGATTTTGATCTCTCCTCTTCCTCAGATCTTACAACATTCACGTCTGTACCATCAGACAGTCCCTCAAAATGTTTGGCTACATCAGTTTCCGGAGAAACTATAGAACTCGTTTCATTGAAATCTTGATCAACTTTCTCCACTGGTAACAATTGAGAGTGTTCAGCTTTATCCACAATGCTCTTCTGTTTCGCATCATTTTCCTCACCACTAAAGTCCGTTCCCTTTCCGGTATCTGAGTCGAATACAAAGAGTGATTTCTCGTCATCAGAAGAATAATTCCCATCAACTGTAGTGGGAGGTGATCCCATTTCAGAAAACTCAACTTGAAGATCAGATTCAACGGATTGCGTCACCATATGACCTTTTCCTGAGCTGTAACCAAAATGTTCCATGTATATTTGCCTTTCTGCTGCTAATGAACTCGAAAGCGGCCTAGTGTTTCTAGGAATCATACCCATTAGAGAGTTTCCAACACGATGATCACCAATTGGTTTTCCCAAAGTTCGTTCTTGATTTGAGACTTTGGAATCCATTTCACTCTCTCCAGGAGAAGGCAATGAGTTTGAAGCACTCACAACGATCTCTGTCCTGTGTTCTGACTCCATATCATTTGCTTCTGCTCTTATTACATATTTTCCTTCCGTTAGAGGCGGTTTCTCCCCAACCAATCCATCATTGGTACCTACATGAGCAAGGATACAACTGTAGAGCTTAGCCTATCAGCAAAATCAGAACAGAGTTAGATCTAACAAATAATGAAAGAAGATTAATGGGACCAACTTTTCAATAAGGTAGACACAAAGATTTATATTACGCATTGACTGTTTTATTTGCAAGATTTTTGCAAGATCGACTGTGTTTTAGTAAAGATTATCAAGTTTTTTCAAATGCTTGTTTATCAGTAAGCCATATACTTTGTAAGAAGCTACAAAGTTTTTTTCGTGAATGATGAGAGCATGTACCTTGTTGTGGTCTAGGCCATACATCAATTGAATTTTTCCACGGTTCCATTCTCGAGTCAACCTGAATTTCCGATGGAAAAAGTTTACGAGAAAAGCTCTCATGGCGGCAGAAGAAGCTCTCGTTAGGTTTGTCTGCAGAAAACTCTTGCTGAAAACTATCCCCTGAGAGGTTAGGTCTCTCCTCTTGTGGATCATAAGGAAGATCAAATGGGTTGTTTTTTGTTGGTAATAATACACAAGGTGCAGATTCAGGCATTTGAAGCGCATCAATTACATAGTTTTCTTGATCCAAACCGAAATAGTTGCGTCCAACGCAGATGGAAGGAACTTCCATATCGATTAGGCTTCTCTCAGCCGCAAGTAAGAATAATCTCCTCGTTCTTCTTCTAGTAATCAAATGCTCTAATCTCTTGTTACGTTCCATCTCAGAGTTTCCTAGATCCATCAAATTCTTCTGATCATCCTCGGTCCAAGCTACAACATTTTTGTCTTCACCGACAGTTTCTTCTTCGCCTTCTGATGATGATGATGATGATGATGATGATGAACACTCAATTTCGGTTTCTCCACCACCGCTCGTTAACCTCTCGGATGATGGATCTACGATGGAAACATTTCCGGTGGTTGAATGAGTTTCTTCGTCGAGGCTAGGCTCAAAGGAGAAATCTTCCGACACAAGAAAGGTTCTATCTTTCTTGAATTTCTGGAGTTGAGGAGATTTTCTAGTAGTGTTGGGGAATTCGCCGTAGAGAGTGATTAAAATGACTTTGTCTCTCTCATCCTCGCTAGCTTGAGAAGAGTCCCAATCTTTCCCAACCTCTTCAACTTTTCTTCTGGCGTTTCGTCGAACACTTCTTTGGTGCTTTAAGTCAGCCTTCCTTGATCCTCCCTCCTCGGATCCTTTTTGGGAAACCGTTTTGATACTTTTGATATTCAAAGGCTTGAAATTTAGATGATTCCGAAGATAAAATGCAGAACAGGCGATGAACGGTGAAGAGCAAAGCACGAAATAGAAAAACCAAGGAAGAAATTTGTATAAGAGGAATATAACCGCAGAAACACCTGAAACTAGTGGGTGTTTTCTTACGTATGTATAAACAGTGGTCGTGGAAATTCTGAGAATTTTCCAGACAAGAGTTCCGACATCTTTGGCATCGATTCCCATTTTTTAATCAAACCCTGAATAATCTCAGAACAACTGATAAAATCCAAAGCATTTTTATGACTTTTCAGGGTAATCTACAGAACCAAACTGATTGAAAGAGAAAGAGGGCCCTTTGAAAAATGGAATTTTTTTAGTCTACGAAATTCAGACGAAAATCGATGGAGAAGAGAGGTCATGTTTACATTTGAAACAATAGCCGGTCAAAAAAACAATTAGATTCTTGGATCCTTGAAGTTTTTTCTAGATTTAGAAGTTTCCCTCCTTTTCTATCTTTTGTTTTTCCATTTGGATTTTCAGTTTTTTTTTTTTTTATCTCACGGCTGCGGAATAGTACAGAACACGCGGGAAGACAAACCAGAAAACGGGTACGAGGTTGAGCGATTTAGTTCCCAAAGATATACCGCGTTCTTACACTTTTGACCACCAAATTTTTTTAATTGACATATTGACCCTTGGAGTTTCATAGATTTTGAATATATTTCCTTCCTTTTTCATATTGGGCTCTTTTCTTAAGCCCATCATTTTAACCCATAAACAGTGTCTTTTTTTTTTGGTTTTAGACCCATCAGAAGTTTATACAAAAAAAAAAAATACAGTATCTGACATTTTAAAAAACAGTTGCTTAACCAAGATGAGCATCAAGACTGTCTCGCTGCGACCTCATCTGACTACTATAGGAAGATTTTGCAACCTTTAATACTGGCTAAAGTGCATGTCCTATTATGATAAACTCCAAGGGTATATAAATATGGCAGTCAACGTTTGATGTGTTGCATTTTCCAGGAGAAGAATAAAACCACATACAGTAGATTTTTGAGATCGTATGGTTGGGTTCATATTGTCTACTTCATTGAGTGTTGGAGACATAAATCAGTATGAAAAAAGAAATTGGGGATGATCTCTTTTTGAAAAAATCTCTAAATCAAATACACATTTCTCTTGTTAACACAAAAAGGAAAGAGAAGGTGAAACTCATAAGGCACACTTACACACCAGTTGGATCTAATAAGTTGCTGCTCATTCTGCAGTTTCCTCTGCCCCTTCAATAAAACAAAACAAAAGTGTGAAATCGTTTCCATATCAACACATCATCTATCTATAAATCAAACTTCTAACTCAACTTATATTTCAACTTCGACCAATGAACACATACAATAAAGATCATAAAGCAGAACATTTGACGGGAAAAACATCAAATTTCGAAAAGAAAAAAAGTTCCTTTCACGAACAAGTGTGTATTCAAGAATGTTCAAAACACTAACCTTCCGTGGAATCTTCATCGTCATCTTCATCTTCGTCAGTCTCCAACGCATCAACACCGTACCTCGCATTCAGGAATTCCACAGCCGCAGGAGTCAGCACAAGCTTATCAGAATTCAAAATGTCGAACAGATTAAGAGTCCTCGGCGTCAACATCCTCAGCGTCCCAATGTTCCTGCCAGATTTCGCCACGTTCTCCTCCACATCCATCATCAAGAACATAGCTTTCTCCTTTGGATCCAAACCCCACCTCTTCATCGCAGCTAAGAAATCCTTGGTCTTCGGCTTCTCGAACTTATCCCCAAACTCCTCCACCACTATCGCTCCCTCCGCCGACGCCGCGCTCGAAATCGCCGTCGATATCGCCAGCCTCTTCTCCTTCCTGTTGATTTTGATTGACCAGTCCCTCGGTTTTGGCCCGAACACCGCTCCTCCGCCTGGACGTAGCGGCGTTCTCTGAGATCCACGCCTCGCGTGACCCGTTTTCTTCTGCGCGTAAGGTTTAATCCCACCACCGCGAACTTCACCGCGAGTCAGCGTCGACGCCGTCCCTCGCCGCTTGTTCTGCAGGTCCGTCACGATGGCTCGGTGCACGACGGCACGCGCGGTATCCTCCGGCGCCGTTTTGAGGTCCAGATACGTCTCTCCGATCTTCTCTCCCTCGAATGAGATGATCGGTAGGGTCGCTAGCTGGGATGCGACAGAGAGCGGCTTCGACACTCTGCCGGAGCCTAATTTCGCGACGGAAATGTAGGTTTTAGGGAATTGGTGAGAAGAAGACAAAAAGAGAGAAGATGAGAAGAAGGATAGTGAATTTGGCGCTGTTGCAGAGGAAGCCATTGTTCCCTGACCTTTCACAACAAAGAAGAAGAAGCACAGTGAAAGGGTTATCCACTTCTTCAAATGCCTATCTTGTGCTTGGTGAGAATTTTGGACATCTGCTTGGACATAAGGATATTAATATCCCATTCGTGTCATAAATAACTCCAGCTGTCTCTAGGAAGCCTCTCTATCAGCCAGCGGGTTTTAAAGAAAGACTTTAACACACTTTGTGATAGAGCGATTAGCCGAAAGACTGAAACTTTCATACCGATATATCTAGATACGAGCGCACGTTAGTTATCTCCGCCGCGAAAAACCACCGTATTCGCCTGATCATGGCCTCGTCGGAGCCACTCGACCTGGTCGTCACCGTCGTCTCTGCGAAGCACCTAAAGAATGTAAATTGGCGTAACGGTGACCTGAAACCCTACGTTGTTCTGTACCTTGACCCGGACCATCGCCTCTCCACCCGCTCCGACGATTCCATAAAACCGGTGTGGAACGAGCGTATCACTCTTCCTCTCACCCGATCCGTCCACGAATCGGTCCTCAACATCGAGATTTTTCATTCCTATTCTTCGGATCTGGCGAAAACCCTCGTCGGATCGGTTCGGTTTCCTCTGGCTCGCTTGGTTGACTCAGAGGGGGCGGTGATTCCCGAATTGATCAACTCGCTCGAGCTGGTTCGTCCATCGGGCCGGCCACAGGGGAAGATACGCCTAAAGCTCACGATCAACGAGCGGCCGGTCCCTCCACCGCAGCATCATCCTCCTCCACCGCCGCGTCCTCAATCCCAACCACAAGATTACTATTCTGCCCCTCACGGAAACCATTATTACTCCCCGACCCCTCCCCCTCCTCCAGCTCCGATCACCGCGCCTTCTCCTCAACGCGATTACAGGGAATTCTCACCGTCTCCGTATCCATTCACCGATCACTACTATTCTGGGTTTTACTACCCACCTCCTCCTCCACGTTCAATGTACGATCGTGCCTCCAATTACGGCCTACAAGGTGGCCCATCTGCTCCCGTCGATGCCTTCTCATCGATTGATCACAAGCCGCTTCCTTTAGCTCCTCGGTTTTCCAACTACGCCCCACCGCCGAGTGGGCCATCAGCTCCGGTGAACGAGTACAAGCCTCAGGCTCCCGTCGACGCCTTTCCGGTGAACGAGTACAAGCCACAGGCTCCTCCTGTGGGCTCGCGATTGTCCAGTTACGGAGTGCCAAGTGGCCCATCGGCGCCAGTTGATTACTCTCCTTATGATCACAGGCAGTTGCAGAAGACGATGGGCGGATTGAGCTTGGAGGAAGAGAGAGCTGTTGCAGAGAGGTCTGAGAGCGACTTTGGAGCTAGGCCGAGCTACAGCTACGGCCGTGATTATCGCCGTGAATGTTAAAAATAAAGGATACGAAAAACGTTGTGGAATTTCATAAGAGTATGGTATATACAATCATCAGATTTACCATTTATGTTGGCTGATGAAAAACATGAATTTGGTGAATTTCCTACAAGGATATGATATGTCTATATGTATTTATCGTTTGCGAATTGATTGGGTTGCTTCTTTCTCGCTATAAGGTTTCTGTATGTGTCTGAAGAACAAGAGGTACAGAAGGTGTCACCCCTTTTGTACCTTTGTACATGTTTTAAAAACTTCTCTAATTTCTTCTCTTCTTTCAACTCCTTGCAATATTTCTTTCAACTTCTTGAATCAGGCTATTGGATTCTTCGGTTTAAACTTCTAATGTGAAAACCTTCTCTGTTGATTACTGTTTGAACCACGCTCAGATTAGGTATGGTAGTATGCTCTGATAGACATGAACCGTCCTGGCCTGCAGTGCTTCAGAATATTTTTGCAGGTTGGTTAAACACTTATGCTTAATTATCATGTGGATCCAATCCCTGTTTGATGATAGTGATGTGTGAGTTTTACTTTCTTACTCTTTCTTCACATCATCAACTAAATGAAGTGGCTAAATGTCTTGGATCATCTCTTTTGTGAGTTGTGAGTTGTAGTATTGGAACACATTATTTTCATGTTTCAAAGTAATAATAATTTATTGGGGCGAAATAATGTGAATTGTAAAGAAAAGATGTTAAAATGGTTTGTATATGGTAGAGTTGGTGCGAAATCTATTCTGCTCTTGTTTTCACGATGCGACCGAGCAATAGTTTTGCTATTGCATTTCTTTTCCCTTTTGGCATTTTTGAAATTTGCCATATATGTCAGTCAATCTCAGGTCTTGAGCATCCAATCACTGACGTATCATGCAGGAATTATTGTTCTGATCTCAATGGAATGTTCTGACATGTAAAATCACTCTCCTGCCTCCAAAGTGTGATATTCTATTTATGTCCTTACACTCCCTGGTTATTATATGCTTTCTCATATTCTCGTGCCCAACATTAACTTGTCTTTTTTTCCTCCCCTTTTTTTGTAGCCGCAGACTCTTGAAAGGAATCTGACATCCATAAAGGTATGTTTATATTGGCCTCTCCTGGAGTCAAAATTAAATTGTTCAGATTGTTCTGTGAACACATGAGTGATCATCAAAGAAGAATGATATCAAATGGTTGCTTCATAAAAAAGAACCTTTTTCTTCACTTAAACAAAGGTTTATTCCCTCTGTGGCCCGTAAAGAAAGAAAAAAATACCTAAACCTAGTCTTCTCTTTTTGCTCTTGTGCATAACTCTCTTTATAAATTTTGTAGATCCACTTTAACTACAATTCTTTTTACATATAGGATCTAAAAGCTACACCTTTTTACTTATTTATGTGTTTATGACTCGAGTGCTTAATCATGGCCTAAGCGTAATGATGTTATGAATACATCTAATCATGTCTTGACCCGTCTTTACCTGAACTATTATCCCAATTTTTCTCAGCATCAATCCCTTATATATCTCTCAATATCCTCATATTGTTTCTCATAAATCTCTCTCACTTTCTCTTGTTATGTCAGCTACTGGAACAAAACGAATCAACACAAATACTAGATCGGTTCAGAGAGATGCTTCGGTTAAGCAAACCACTATCAAAGGACCTTATGGTAAGAGCCCAGGATGCACAACAAGCTGCGGATTGAGGTTACCAAGGAAAACAGAAGTCACAGCAGCAAGATTGATCAAGCATATTGGCTGTAAATTTGCAAAAGGTTTGCGTCTGGTTGTGATGAGGAAGAAGAGAAAATCTCCACCGTCAAAGGTCTCGTCTTCTTCCTCTGGAAGATCTCAGCCGTCGATCATCCCCATAAGCAATGATAGTCATAGATCAGAGGCCATAGAAGACTGCATAGAGTTCATCAACTCATCATCCTCCTTCACAAGATCAAACTCTATTTCTTAAGTTTCATCACTCCCAAACCCTTTGTCTTGGTTGCTCGTTGTCTATTTGCTTATTTGTGAGAATTTCATTGCATGTTATGTCTATATATCTTCTATATGTGACCTTTGTCGTTGTGTACGAGTAAATATTATTTATGCTTTACATCAGTTCTCATTTTCTTCGATTTACAAATACATAAATAGTTCATCCATCTTCATCTCAATTGTTCTGTTTTATATAAACATGTTAAAGAGTCTGATATTCGTATTTGTTCATGATTAGTCCTAATAACATAATTGTATAGCACACCACATGAAGTCATGAACTATATCATATGTGCGCGCGTGTGTGATAGATATACTTATAAAGCCTAAATTGACTTCTCCCTTTGTGAAGTCTTTTCACCTAATTCTATCATATGTTTTAGTAGAAAATGATTGCACATTCTAGGTCGTGTTCGATTTGTGCTATACAAAATGCGTGGTCTACTAAAAGTTGAAAATGCCACTAATCGTCTATATAATAAATAACACATCCATTTGTCAATCTCGATCCACTAATTTTTTCTATATGCAAATCTAATATCAATCAAAATCAAATCAATAATATTAGCCTGAGACGAAAAATATGTCGGCAAGTGTGCGATAAAATGAATCTTGACCGTCAGAGTTCAAAGTAACAATAGCTTCGAAATCAATAGGTGCAGTTTTATTTTTGTTCCCGTCGGGAGATGATTTATGCCGTAACATGTGTTGTTGTTATCAAAGGCTAATTTTGGATTATCGGATCAATGAGATTGGTAAAGCCCAAGCCCAGTTATAGAAAACCCGGCTCAGCAAAGCCACCGGCAATCTTCCCGCCAGGAAAGTAGCCATAGATTCCGGCTAGAGCCTCAAGCCTAAAATTCCTTCACATTCCGGCTGATTTTTTTTTTTTTTTTTTTAAATTAATCTTTCTCAGACTTGAAGAACCCTATTAAAAGATTAATATTGAAGCTGGAGAGTGGAGATTGAACATGGACGGTTACTCTCTCTCTACCTCGGTAATCTCGCTCAGATCCTCCCACGTTCCTCTTCGCCTCTTACGCTTTGCGTGTTTCCTAAAAAGTTCACTTCACCTCCATCGTCGCCGGTTTCTCTCTTCACTAAAACGGTGGAGATCTGATGCGATTACTCTCGAATCGCATTTACGCTCCTTATTTCAAGCGACTATTGAGCTGTTAAAGTGTAATTTTCTTTCATACTCTCAACCATTCGTATCTTCGATTCCACGAATTGTGGAGAAGATAACTTTTCTGCGCGATTCTTCTACAGGTATATCAACTTCTAGTTCTTTAATTAAATGCGTAGTTTCAAATTTTCCCAAAGTCGATTACAGTTTCGTCTTCGTAATTGCGGATGTGAAATGTGAGAATTTGCAGGAATTAGTTATGACTGCTGTAAATCTTGAATCGGTTGTTTGCCATGAACCTGACGAGTATGAATCAGAGCTGGATCGTTTCAGTGATAATGGTGGTAAAAGCGTTGTCTATCAACTCCTCGATCAAATCCACAACCATGACAAGAGTTCAGAACGTAGAAGCTTAGGTGAAAGGTATCATGATTAGCCTTCGTTTTCTCCAGCTGGTTTCAGGTTATGGTCTTAACGACAATTCCATAAAACTTGTTTGATTCTCGCTGAAGGTTTCTCAGATGGAGACGGAGATATCTTCCGGTTGGTGGAGATAACAGACGTGACCACGGGTCAGGGAAACAGACAGGACCACTTGTGTCTGGAGCAGCTTACTGCATCTCTTCCTGCAGCATGATAATAATGAACAAAATTGTTCTCTCCAGCTATAATTTCAACGCAGGAGTCTCTTTGATGTTATATCAAGTAAGACATACTGATCCCATGAGCTTGATTTCCTTGGCTTCTATGATGATTTGATAAACTATATAGTTTGGTGATTTCCTTATTAAGTTTATTTTCAGAACTTAATCAGCTGTCTGGTGGTAGCTGTACTAAAATTCTCTGGAGTGGTTTCAGTGGAAAAATTTAATTGGAAGTTGATCAGAGTATGGATGCCTGTCAATGTTATATTTGTGGGCATGCTCATCTCAGGGATGTACAGGTAAGCTTTCAACGTCATTCAGGAGAAATATCATTTAAAATTCTCCAGTATTTGAGACTAATGCAACATTACATTTCTTTTCCAGTTTGAAATACATAAATGTTGCTATGGTGACTATTCTGAAGAATGCAACGAATATTATGACAGCGATAGGGGAATTATACATGTTCCGCAAAAGGCAGAACAACAAGGTTTGGGCTGCAATGTTCATGATGGTAAGTTAAATTGCACATCTTTGCTCAGATTGGAGAAAATTAGGCGTCCTGTTAGTTTCTGTAGAAACCCCTGTCTGATATCAATGTGATACCAACTTACAAGAGTTTGCTATACAGATCATCTCTGCAATCAGCGGAGGCATCACGGATCTCACTTTCAATGCAGTCGGGTACACGTGGCAGACTGCCAACTGCGTTCTAACCGCAAGTTATTCAGTAAGTTTACGCTTATGAAACCAGTAACGAATTTTGATGTATCTCTCTCACCCTTACTCTCGCTCCTTAATGATGATCTATCAATATTTCTTGCACAGCTTACTCTGCGTCGAGTCATGGACAAAGCAAAACAGTCAACAAAATCTGGGTCCCTTAATGAGGTGTCAATGGTGCTGCTGAATAATCTCTTGTCACTACCGTTTGGCATCATCCTGATCATCTTACTGGGTGAATGGAGATACGTAATAAGCACGTAAGGACTATTAAACAGAGCGATGTTTGTCCAAAAATTCATATCTTGCTGATTTCATACCCATCTGATATATCTTATGTCTAGTTGCTTTCATACAGAGTAATATACTTTCTTTAGCTCAAAATCATCTTGATCCAACATTGATAACAACTTAAACAAGTCCTTGTCTATATTATTAAAGCTGAAATGTTCGTTGTGTTTTACTCTCTGGCAGTGATGTGACAAAAGATGCAATGTTTTGGGTAGTCGCAACAGCAAGTGGCTTCCTCGGTTTGGCCATCAGCTTCACTTCGATGTGGTTCTTGCATCAAACCGGACCCACAACATACAGGTATCTCTCTTTCCAACTACAAAAAGAAAGATTGCCTTATAAATTTTTTTTGGTTTAAAGCCTTATAATATTTCACTTCATTTGTGATTAGGTTTTTAACGTTATGATGTTCTTTCTGTTATGTGACAGCCTGGTGGGTTCATTAAACAAGGTTCCGATATCATTATCTGGTCTCGTACTTTTCAATGTCCCTCTCAGTCTCCCAAATTTGTTCAGCATTCTTTTTGGTAAGTAACACGGTTCTGCAGAAACAGATCACAAACGATTACCGGTTTAGGTTATATGCTTCTTCTTTTTAAGAGTTAAGGTGGGAATATGAATGTGTATATGTACTTTTGGTTTTGCAGGTTTATTTGCCGGAGTGTTTTTTGCCAGAGCTAAAATGTCATCATAATCGTATTTCCAAGCCGGAGTAGGAGACTGTTCAGAGGCTGAAGTCTGAAGACAACAAATAAACACTAAAACAGATCAGAAACTTAAGAGGTTTCTCGATCTGCATGCAGCTAATAGTTACAACTTGGAATACATTTTATAAAATATACAAGGTAGAATATAGGGATATACATATAAATTCAATATTGGAATTTTGGAAATTTCGAGATGCCTTGGCGGCTTAACCAAATATGCCGAAAAAAAAGGAGGTAGAGGATTTATCGTTTTTCTGTTTGGAGAGTGTAGAATTTTTTCTGCGGCCCACTAAGGCTGTTTAACGAGGAAATGATTACTGAAGAGTGGAGACATTAAAAAGTTAACTATTGAGGATTGACTTATTTTTAACGAATCCACCATAACTTGTACATTGGTGATGGGTTAATTGTCTTAGACTCTTAGTATATTGAGCTTTCTGATCCATTTACCTCAAATGTTACTGGGATTATGTTGGTTTCTTATTCTGACGTGACCGTATAGTAGTAAACTATCCAGAGAAACCACGTTTGTTTAGATTGCCAAAAACATGATGAATTCTTATCAAATGACTTTATGAAAGTTATCGCCGATGTGAATCATGTGACTGCTGTACTCCAAGGTGTAAAAATGCTAGTAGACAAATGTATAGAATTTTCATACCTTTCTAGATCAGTTATCGATACATCTACCAGAAAAAGAGTATTGTAATGTGATTATAATGAGTTCACGTGAGGATAAATATCTGCGTGTATCCCGAAGTTTATTATGGAGACCATACTATACACACAAAGTCCAAGGGAAGTGAGGATAGATGATAATGAGTGATAACAAAAAAGTAAGAGTCTAAGAGAGACGTGTCCCTCTTTTGGGGGTTCACATTACTGTTTTAGGGTTTTTTCTCGCGATCCAATGTATTGTAGTCTTGTAGAGATCTAAAGAAACGTGGGAACGAGAAGGGTTTTGTTTTGGGTTCTTACAAAATCTACACATATTATCCTGACTCCAACCTGTTTTGTTGCGGCCGGCACAGCAAGTGTGACCTGGGATACAAATATACAACACAGGGCCCAATATGACTTGAAGCTTATTATAATTTTTAAAATATTTGTTTTAAAAAAAAAACTTAATACAAACAAATTTTAAAAACAATATATAGTATCAAGTGTCAACATAATATAAGATTTTTAAGAAGTTTTTTTGTCATAATTAATTTTATTCTCATTGTTTTTAAGTGATTTATAACATATATATTTATTTTTGATAGATTTTTTCATATATTTTTGATGGTTGAAGTGTTTAATATTAAATAATAATCATTATTTATGAAAATTATTTAATGATTGTTTACTCACTTTTCACTTCTATATATAGTAAATGTTTTTATTAGTTAGCATATAAATATTTTGAAAAACTATATATTATAAGGTCTATTGTAAATTAATAGCACAGGGTCTCATATTTGATCCGGCACTGGTTGCGGCTTTTAATGCATTCGATAAAATTTTCAATCAACAATTAACGTAAAAGTACTAAAATAGTCATGTTTCAGAAATTTGTTTAAACAGATGAGAAACTGAGTGATGCATGGTTTGTCCACGTAATAGAACAAGTCCGTGACGGTATGGAATTGTTAGTCCAAGTAGATAACAAGAAATGAATAAAAATTTGAAATATGTACGAATTTAGAAACAAAAGTTTTTTGTTTGTTTTACAGAACAAAAAGTTGCCACATGACATGAGTTTTTGTATAAAAGAAACACACTGTACATAGACAAATGTTGTGGTAGCTCTGTTTTTAGGTGGTGTTCTGTTGCGGTGGAGCGTCAAGAGGGAAACACGTCTCATCACCACCGGTGTTCCAAAGGAAATGTGCGTAATTGGCAGAGTAGAAGGAGTTTGCTGGATCTGCAGAGATTGCTTCTAAGAACGTTTCTTCTGCTCTCCAAATATCGTTCCTTGCTTTCCACAAGAACGTCGCGTATTTATTCAGCGCCTCCGCGTCCGCTGGCTCTGCTTTTGCTGCTCTCTTGAAATACTTCTCTGCTCTGTTTTTCAGACCGAAAAGATAATAAGAAGCCTCGTCAGAACGAGACAAAGATCCTATCACTAAAATATATATAGGTTTGAAACAGTATTTGACTTATTTGCAAGCAAATGCACATTTTAGCTGATCATTACCTTGCAACACTATTTGTCTTAAAACCAATGCAAAAACATGGGCTGCTTAGACTTAGAGTAGGTGAATGAATAATGTAACAGTGGTCCAAGAACAATTGGTGAGGGCAAAGCTTATAACAACACATTTTGGTTTTGGGTTTTTGTATTTTGGTTATTTTGGAGAAGAAGTAATATTTTCAGAATTCTACCACATACTCCACGATTTGATTTGTTGGGAAGCCAACCCAAAAAGACTTGAAGCTAAAAGACAAAATCTTTGGGAAAGAAAACAAGAGTGACATCATTTTATTTTATTCCCTATTTTATTCTGAAAATGGAGATATTCATCTACTAGTTGTCTTCTTTCTGGTAAAGAGAACTGGTTCACTCAATTTAAGTAAAAAGCCTATCCGATTGGTTCTTATGGTCATTTGATTAAGACAATTATTAGCTAAAATATCTCTGACTCCGTAGACCATAGTTCCCTATAAATATCTATCACTCTACGACTGCGCCTACTTCTGACTGTTAGAATCAACTTGCAGCCTGTAAAACTCAAGATTTGGACGTAATAGACTAACTTTAACACCAAACCAAATCCAAACTCTCTAATCATGATCTAATAAAGTACAAAAACAAAGAGCATACATATTAAATAGCGTGATTACTATAATAAAATAGACGGGGAAGATGTTAAGTTACCTGTCGTAGTCATGGATGATTAGGTAGAGAAACTGAGCGTAATTAGCAAGGAGAAGAACGTTATCAGGCTGCTGAGACAATCCCGTTTGGTAAAGAAGCTCCGTTTTGAAGTAATCCATTGACTCCTCTGCTTCTAACCGTGCCTCCACCGGAGACACCATCTGCTTCATCGTCTCGTGATCCAACGCTTCCATTTTCTCTGTTTCCTCCAAGATCGAGTTCCACAGTCTGATTTCTTCTTGCCCTGAGACCGATGCATTTGAATCCGCACTTGTTGCGTCAAGAGATGAAAATTGAGATGGTATTCTGAATCTATCAGATCCATCGCCGTCCGTTCCGCTTTGTACCGGCGGGATGTTGTTTCCACCGCCGCCGCCGCCGCCGCCGATGAAAGATGTTTTCCCGTTGGGAGAAGAAACAGAGAATGTCTGTACCATAGAGGAATCGAATCTCTTGTTCGGTTCCTGTGTTTCGCTTACCTCCGTCGTCTCGAAGATGAAAGAGACGGTGGCTGTTGGAGGATGAGGCGTTGCTGCGGCGGCAAATGCGGAGTTGGTGCCAATAGAGTAAACCGTGAAATTAGCGAGAAGGATCATAACCGAGACCATCAAAGTAGGAGTCGCAGAGAAAACTTGTTGGAACAACCAAACGAACGACGCGTGCATTTCTTTTCGCACGCGATGGAGAATCCCTTGCAAATCTTCCAAGAGAAGAAGCTCTCTCATGTGCAGTGTGAAGCTCTGGAGTTCTCGGATCATAAACACCATTGACGAGAAGGCTCTTTTCACCGAGCAGCAAGCTGATTCGCCGACTTGGTTGACTCCTTCCTCCATCTGTAGCTTTCTCTTTATGATCCGAAGGGACAGAGGAAGATCGACGCTGTTTGCTTTTCTCTCGATGTTCGACATCTCAGGCCATGGCGGTTCCATTGAATCCGATTTATCAACACCATCCATTATCCTGAAACTATGACTTCTTACCATGTCCATTCTCATCGGCTCCGGATCAATGTTTGTCTCGGATTCGTCGTCTTCTTCGTTGGGGACTTTGAATTTGAGAGCTAGCTCTTGCATCTTTCTCGAAAATTCCTCCTCGGAGAAAGGATCGACGCTGCCGCTAAAAGCTCTGCGAATCAGCTGAGTTGTTTTAGTCGGTCTCGATGATTCCCAGAGCTCACAGGACTTGGAGTGCCGGAGATTCGTGGAAGAAGTACCGAATAGAGAAGAAGGATTCAGCCTCTGGTGGCTCTGCACAACCGAGCGACAAGAAAGAGATCGTCCGTCGTTTCCGGTGCTACGTCGTCTTGAAGAAGATGAAATGGCGGAGGAAGCTAGGGTTTGAGAAAGAGATGAGGAATGATGAACTATGGGATGAGCCACCCATTGATGGAAAGTGGAGATTGTTGCTACTTTCACACCCATTTTGAAATATCTTGAAAATATCTTTGAAATATTGGCTTTTATTGTTTAGCAAGAAAAAAAAAAATCTGGTAAAAAAACAGAGCAAAAGCTTGAGGCTACTTTCGTCTTCCTCACGCTTTCCTGCAAATCAGAAGTGAGCCAAGGTTTTTGTCTGGAAAATTTCTCGGAAGGAAAAAAAGGAAAAAAAAAAAAAGGTTTCTCGAGATAATCCTAGAGTGGAGCAGGAGGCAGACACTTCAGTTAGAGAGAGCCTGTCCTTTTTATACATACACGCGAAGAAGATTTATGAAAAAAATATTTATTTTAAAAATCTCGCAGGTGAAGTTTACGTAGAATAGTCAACAAACGTCTTTGAGGAGTACCGGACAAACCGGTAACAGGTGAAGGATTCGAGTGACGTGGTACCCGTTACGGAGAAAAAAGTGAGCGAAAACCGGGGATTATTTTCTTTTTAGATCTGACGGTTCTAATCTCGCCACTTGATCGTACGGATCTGCTCTTCTTCTGACATATTGAAAAATGGAAAGTAATCTACATTAGACGACATAGAGAGTTACACGTGTAATTACCGTGACATATTTTTAAAAAGTTGATTAAAAAGTCGAGTGTAGGAGTGCGAAAATAACAGCCTGGCAATAAGGTAGGCGAAAGAAGTGGGGTCCTCGTGTCCATGTCATCTGGTAACGACTTTTATTTATTACTAAGGGAAAGCTTATTGCGTCTAAACTCGTGTTTAATATTAAACACATAATATCAACGGAATTAAGGAAAATTAACGGGTTCGTAAGTTGGCTATCGATTAACGCTGTTAAATAATCTAAACATCTAATTTAAATGAAAGAAATGTGTGATAGCCTTTCGACGATCTAGCTTGACTCAGTTTGTCATGTATATATATATATGCTTGGTTAGTCAATTTGGCAACCAACTTAATGATAACGATAAAAGTAATATTTATAAAAATGCTTTGGATTCTGATAAATGAGTAATAGATTTAGAAGTTTATAGAACAGAATCGGTTAAGATTAAAGTTTTCTGTAAACTGGAAATAACGTCCGATGTCATTCATTCTTAGCAAAAATTTTTTTTGAAATATTGACATATCTATATCAGTAAACTGGAAATGAAGTCCGATGTTGTATTCTATACTTAGCAAAAACAAAAAATGAAATATTGACATTTCTAATCTGCATTTAATTACATTTCATTTACATTTTATATATCTCTAAGAACTGATAAAACCATGAAATGCATTGAATGAGAGATTTTTTTTTTTTTTTTTTTTGGTAACAAAAGTCAAAAACACATTTGTATCCTTGAAATATGGCAACATTGTGGGCTTTAATCATGTGGTAATATTCACATTAACATCACCATAATGCTAAGCAATGTAAAAGCCTACATAGGGCTTACGTGATGTTAGCATATTGGAGAAAAACTAAAAAATTGTATATATTATTCTTTGTGTTGCAAATTTAGAAGAAAAAATCAAATTAGCGTTTAATATTTTCGTTAAGTTTTAAACAAACTACTCAGATACTAAAGTATTTTGAAAATAATGACGGGAAAAAAAAATCAAAAACAAAATATTGGCTGATCGACATAACAAATTCTGACTGGTGCTGTCATACTGGTCGAAATCACGTTTTCAATCGATAGGAGTAAAACAATAACAGTATAATCACGTCCAAAATGTGTTACTTTTCAATTCATAAACTGCACATGCTCTTTACCTAATTTGTGTTTTCATACTCGTTATACAGTTTCCCTGAAAATGAACAATGCCTAGCACAAAGACACATTCAAGATTAATCTTCTATTCTTCTGAATTATATATATATATATATATATATATATAACGTACAACAAAATTCGTGTACCAATAGTTAACAATATAATATATATTCAACTGGTATGGAAACAATTAGCGTACATGCAGTTAGTATACGTAAAAAAAACTTGATATCAAATTAAGAAGAAACGACGAAGTTATAAAGGCTAAATAAGTAAAAGCCTTTGATATTAAAACAAGATACATTTTGTTGGAATGTAGCAAGCTAAGGAAGAGGGTAATGAAGCGACGGAGAAGAAGGAAAGAGAAGTGATCGGAGAGTGTTGTTAAATAACCCGCCCGGTAAGCACCAAGATGACGTCATTAGAGAAAGCAACGTCTAAAGACAGTGACGGTGATGAAGAATTGACGGTACGTCGACTACATTTTGAAAATGGTACAATTAAGATTAATTCATACTAATTGTAGTCGACGTACCGTTAAAGTGATATGGAGAGATCACCGACGATTTTTTTTTATTGAAAATAGAGTACAATTAAGATTAATTCATACTAGAATATGAGATATTTCCTGGTTGTTTATTGAAAATAGTAAAGCTTTTGGGAAAAAAAAAATACATAAATGGTCTTGAGTGAATGTAAAAGTACATTATAATAAACTCTTGGAGTCAGCCGACCTCCCGAGTTCTCCTACTCTCCTACCAGTGTTTCTGAACTGGTGGCCTAAACTCGCGGGCCCTACTTAATCTTATTAACATATTCCCAATCTCTCAATATATGACGCAAATATACATGTGCAACATATATAACTGATAGTATAAAGCTATTTACGTTTTGGAAAAATAATTGCAATTCTTTTAGAAAAGTTAGTTAAAAGATTTTTATACGTGATTTATACCTGGATTTATATAATGAAGCTAATAGCTAATGGGCAATTCGACAACCAAGTGCGAGATTTCAAAAGCTAAATGTCCAAAACTGTAAGGAGGTAAATAAAACAAATAGAAAAGGATGAAATGAACCATGTGATAAATAGTTAAAGGTTCGTTCATTGATTGCACACTTACATGAAAAAATGTCGGAACCCATGCCCAATTAAATGGACCAGCATTTTTCTATGAGATGTTAATACAAATAAACGAACTACCATCCACAGATCCACAACGTAAAAACGAACTAATGTAAAAACTGGAGAATTTCAAAACAAACGATCAGTGACGTACGATCTGACTGATTAATTAAAAATCAAATTGAAGTAAATAAAATTAGTTGTGGCACTCGGTTCAATCAAAAAGGCTTTCGTATTTTTCTATTTTTTTTTCCTTTCAAGTCAGACATTCAATTAACTCGGATTTGTATATAATAATCTTAATGTCAAATCAAATAATTGATGCGTTTATTTATGGTTTGGGTACGCGAAATTCTTCGTACAGAATCAGCCAATAAGAAATGTTAAAAGGATATACCTCACACGACCCTGTGATAGCTAAACGTACGTGCGTTATATATCGTTGCTCGGTTCTTTCTAATAGTGGAGAAAAAATACAATTTTTACGTATCTAGTGGCTCTTGATACTATGCTATGGCCAAATGATCATCAATCGTTGAAAGGGAGAGCTAGACAGTGAAACCTATAGAGAAAAAAAAAAGAGAGAGAGAGAGAGAGACTGGCGGAAGCAGCGACACGCCAAAGGCCACTCTCATTTCTCTTATCTTCTTTCGTTCTAGCTATTTTTTTTTTTCTTTCCTGTTTGACAACGAAGCTATTTTTGCTGTTGTTACATATGAAATTATTCTTCTTTTTGGTACATATGATAATCCAAATATCACCGAATTCTATGCACATTTTTCTTCCCAAATATTATGAAGGCAATAGAACAAAATAAAATATCTTAGACCTTTTTGAGTCTTTGTCCGATTCTCCGCGTCGTTTTATCGAAACAATTTAAACATCAAACCGAACATATATGAAGATCTCGAAGCATTTTTTTAGCATAAATCTATCTTCTTGCATCTACTGTCGGACCATATATATCAGCAGACTATAAATCGATATTTTTTTTGTTTTCTTTTTGTGTAATATCTTCGGAAGATGAGTATCGGCCATCGGGAATGGCATGAGAGAATTAATATTGTTGGGATTTGGGAATGTTCGATCAGGCATACCCGCAATTAGGGTAATTAAGAGATATATTATACGAAGAAAGTTGGGTTGCCAACTGAAGTATATTTTGGTAGTGGAGGATGAGTTCTAGTTAAAAGCGTCAAGGGCTATATTTAGGGTTAGTGGAGTTAGAGATGTGTGTGTGTGTTTTCAGCACTAGGGAGTAGATATGTCTTGTCTTGTGTTTACATACAAAAAAAAGGAAGCAGTTATCATCGTGTTGTATACGTAAATTACTGAACTCTGAAACTAATTAGTTGGCCACTTCAACAGATTCAGAACCATCCATGATTTGAACCTGGACACACAGAAAACAAACATAGCTAAGATAATCCCAAAAATGAAAAATCAAACAGCTGTTGATGGAAAAAACAAAAAAAATTTATCCAAGACTGCCAATTGCCTAATTCAATAAAGGCAATAAAGGCAATTGGTATTTTCTTCGGAGATGAGCGAGAGAAGAGAACTATAAAAATATGGGCCCATTTTTCACTATACGGCCCAAATAAAAAAAGGCGCGAAGCTGGCGGTTCAAAAACGGTGTCAGAACGAAGGCGGGAGCGAAAATGTCGCGATGAACGTTTTTCCGCTACTTATCAAATTCTCCCTACAGTTCCTCTGTCTAACAAGTAGCAAAGAGATTTGATTCGCCAGCACAATCGGTTCTAAATCCCTCTGCCAATTTCGCTTCGGATTTCCTTATTGTGACCTAACAATGACTACAATCGCCGGGCCGAGTTTGTCTTACACTGTTTACGGCGCAACGGAGAAACCAGAGAGAGCCTTGTAGCTGCCGCATACGAGATTCCTCGAAAGAGTAAACTGAGATCAGATTCAGCTTCCAAGTCTTCGGAAGTCAGTCTCCTGTCTGGAAATTCGGTCTCTACGCCGAAGAATTGGAAAACTCATTGTCGAATTGCTGTTTCCAACCCCAGAATGTCAGATAAGGTATATTGTCGTTATTGATGTGTTTGATTTCAGAGAAAAAAAAATCACTCGACTGATGGTTCAGATCTTTTCCTTGATGAATATTTTCCGAGTGTCCGTAACTACTGGAACGTGATTTCATAGTAGGGAAACCAAATTCTCATTGGCTATCTATTCTTTGCCGGAAGTTAACGAAAACTCTAATGAAACATTTGAAAATCCAGTCAATTTGGCAGTGGAGAACTTATCTGATTGCTTAAGCTCTAATTCTATCTGGAACCCTAGAGGTAAACATAATCCATTAGATTCTTCAATCGCCTACTTTTTTTTCCTAATGATTTATGTTAATCATATACGATAATTTATACTGCAAAGGTTTGATTGTTAGATAGGCTCTGTTTTTTTTTTCAAGGTGTATACTTATAGGTACAAATTATATCTTATCAACGTCCTCTGTTCATATATGCAAATGTGAGTTACTCTGTTTTTTTTTTTTTTTTTTTTTTTTTTTTCTAGGTGTGGCAAATGCAATAGACCTTGCAGATCGTTTCCTTCCAAAATATAAAGTCCCTTAATTGTGTGAAGTTCTTAACTTCGTAAAATATAAAGTTCTTCTTCGTGCACAGAGTCTCAACTTCTCAACTTTGGAAAAATAGTTGAATTTATCACTCAACTGCTACGATCTCTTCTGCAGGCAAAGCTATGGTTATCACTTTCCGTGCTTATTCTAAAGACCCGATCCTTAGGATACTACATGAGAGGCTTATGGTAATTCGTTCTATCTCATTGCATGATTAGATATCTTGTTTGAGACAGAAATATCTGTAACCCAAAGGATATTCTATGTTGTTTCTATATATGTCTCTCAAATTTCCAAACTTTGTTCGTATAGGCTATTCCATATGTTGCATTTCAAATTTTCAATCAAAAGCCTTGGAGCTCTGTGCCAGAGTAAGAATCTGATCCTTCCTCAGGCTTGAGTCAATTTTGCTTCTCTATAACCATTACTTGTTGACGTTCATCTATTTGCATTGTGCCAGAAAGTTGCTGCTGCATCTGGTGACATGAGAAAGGCTTTATGTGTCTGCAGGTGAATTCAACATTTTCAAGTTTTTCTTCAATAGTTTGGTATTCTTTTTTGAAACTTGAGTTAGATAGTGTTTGGCTTCATATTTCGTAGATATGTTATGTAGAAGTCGCTACTGTCTTTAACTGAAACTGATTACATATTCCTTTGATTAAAAATTTTAGGAGTGCTCTAGAAATCTTAGAAATAGAAATGAGATGATCAACTAACTAGTCCAGAACCACAAGGTCCAATTCCAGATGATCCAGTGGTTAGGGCTTTTCTTATTTAATTATGTTACTAGTTTTATCTCGGAGATAATATTTTATTGTTTTGTAAACTTGTTTATTAGATGAACTAATAGAATTCTATGTGTAAATGTAAATTGAAGGGAAACGTTACTATATTAGTGACATGATATCTTCTGTAAATATAATCTACAGTTCTATTTTCTCTGTCAGTATGCTCACTGCGACAGAGAACGATCGACTAAAGCAGGTAGAAATCCGTATGAGCCACGCATCATTTATGGACTTAATTTGACCAATTATATATTGCGATATAATGAGCTGAATTATGGTTACTGGTTAGTCATTATTATCACGTTGATTATTTGGCAGTGGTAGGGTTTCTCCATAAATTAAATACTCCTTATCGTCTGGGTTTGTCTGAACTGTGAGGATATTCTAAAAAAGGAGTTGGTGAGTTTAAGTGGGTCTAATACCTTTTTTCCCGGTAAAAGTGGTTAGCTTTTTTCCATCCTCGTGGTGGGGACGTATCTCTTTTGGTTTTGTCTTAGTTTTCAATTCTCATTAAGTGTTATTGAAAGAGCAATTCAGACGACCCTAATCAATAACCTTTACTTTTCTGCTAACTTTTTTTGAAGATACTTACATATCTTATGTTTTCAGGCATTCTTGGGATGTTTTCACTGACAGATATCACCAAAGTCCAAAGTATAAACTTGTAAATGGTAATTACTGCGTAAACCCGTGACTATAAACAATAATGAATAAACTTTATAGTGATTAACGATTATGGAACAGCGTGTATAAGGCTGCTAGCGTTTTATAGCCATTAATCATTCGTTCCTTTTTAATATATAGTATGCGTTTGTGATCTATCAATAAGGTAAGCCAAAAAGAAAGAGAAAGAAAGAAACATTAAAGACTGAGATACAGAGAGAGAATAGAGAATAGGGAAGAAAAAGATGGGGAAGCAAGATATCATCTTCGTTCCTTCTCCAGGCTCTGGTCATCTTCCTGTGTCCATTGAATTCGCTAAATCTCTCATTAAACTTGATAATCGCATTCACACCATCACCATTCTCCATTGGACATTACCTCTCGCTCCTCAATCCAACCTCTTCGCTAAATCTCTCACCGCTTCAGAGCCTAGAATCCGTCTCTTGGCCTTGCCTGAAATTCAAGACCCTCCGCCATTGGAGCTATTCTTCAAAGCCTCTGAAGCTTACATTCTAGAGTTCACCAAGAAAACAGTTCCTCTTGTCAGAGACGCTCTCTCCACTCTAGTTTCCCCTCGTGATGGATCCGATTCGGTTCGGGTCGCATGTTTGGTTCTCGATTTCTTCTGTGCTCCCTTGATCGAAGTTGGAAACGAGTTCAACCTTCCTTCTTACATTTTCCTAACGTGTAACGCTGGTTTTTTGGGTATGATGAAGTATCTCCCTGAGAGACATCGCAGAATCGCATCGCAGCTCGACCTGAGCTCCGGAGACGAGGAACATCCGATTCCCGGTTACGTATGCTCCGTGCCAACAAGGGTGTTGCCTCCGGGTCAATTCGTCAGAGAGTCCTACGAAGCTTGGGTCGAGATTGCGGAGAAGCTCACCGCAGCCAAAGGCATTTTGGTAAATTCCTTCACGTGTCTCGAGCAAAGTGCCTTTGATTACTTCGCTCGTCGTCCAGAGAACTATCCTCCGGTTTACCCGGTCGGGCCGATTCTTAGTTTAGAGGATCGTCCGTCTCTCGATCTGGACCCATCCGATCGGGATCGGATCATGAGATGGCTCGAGGAGCAGCCGGAGTCGTCAGTCGTGTATCTCTGCTTCGGGAGCTTCGGAATCCACGGAGCGTCGCAGATCGAGGAGATTGCTCGAGCTCTAGATCTCTCCGGCCACAGGTTTCTTTGGTCGATTCGAACAAATCCGACGGAGAAAGCGAGCCCGTATGATCTCTTGCCGGAGGGGTTTAGAGATCGGACGGCGAGTAGAGGATTGGTGTGCGGTTGGGCCCCACAGGTGGAAGTGCTGGCTCATAAGGCGATCGGAGGGTTTGTGTCTCATTGCGGTTGGAACTCGGTGCTGGAGAGCTTGTGGTTCGGGGTTCCGATCGCCACGTGGCCGATGTATGCTGAGCAACAGTTAAACGCGTTCACGTTGGTGAAGGAGTTAGGGCTAGCCGTTGAGCTGCGTCTCGATTACGTCTCGGCGAACGGAGAGATAGTGGAAGCCGAGGAGATCGCGGGGGCCATACGAGCTCTGATGGACGGTGAGGATACGCCGAGGAAAAGAGTGAAGGAGATGGCTGAGGCGGCGAGGATGGCTTTGATAGAAAGAGGATCTTCGTTTGTTGCTGCTAAACGATTCGCCGACGAGTTGTTCGGCCGGGATATTTAGTTCTATTTAAAACGTCGTCGTTTGACATGCCTTGATCAGCTGCTAAACTTGTCATCGTAATAAATTATTTTCCTTCTCAAATTGAGTTGTGCGTTTTAATGGCAAGTTCTTTCGAAAATGTGACACTTAATAAACGACTCATGGTCAGGTTTAGCACAATCTTTTATCTAATTAACCAAGAGGGACCTTTTCTATGTCTGTGTCAACTTGAACATTCGATTAATCCATGATCACAGAGTAAATGTTACCAAGAACAGTGCCATACCTTTACTGAGCCATAATAATTTTCATATACCTGTAAGTTTATTGATTGGTGAAACAAAAACGGTATTAAGTATAATAAATATGTTCCCCAAGATCAGAGATTAGCAAGAACCATCCTCCAATAACTCTCTAATGAATCGAGCAGTCGCCAAAGACGACGATCCTCCGTCCATCAAAGCCTTCCTCGCAGCATTAGCCATCTCCTTCACCTTTTGCCTCTTCCCCTCCCCACCGTCCATCAAAGATCGGACGGCTCTCGCGATCTCGTCACAAGCCACCAAACCCCCACGACCCGACACGTAATCCATCCGCAGATCCACGGCTAACTCTAACTCCTTCACCAATGTGAATGCGTTCAGCTGTTGCTCAGCGTACATCGGCCACGTGGCGATCGGCACCCCGAACCACAAGCTCTCAAGCGTGGAGTTCCAACCACAATGAGACACAAACCCTCCTATCGCTTTATGGGCCAGCACTTCCACCTGTGGAGCCCAACCACAAACCAATCCCCGGCCCGCCACTCGGCCCATGAATCCCTCGGGCAACACATCGTCAGGGTTCCTCTCTACGGGGCTTGTTCGGATTGACCAAAGAAATCTGCAGCCGACGAGTTCGAGCGCTCGAGCTATCTCCTTCACTTGCGGCTCATCAACGCTTCCTCTGCTCCCGAAGCATAGGAACAACACCGACGAATCAGGCTGATCCTCGAGCCATCCCATTATCCGATCCCGATCTGCCGCCTCTTCGTTCGGACTCGCTCGATCCTTTAAGCTCAGAATTGGTCCGACTGGGTACACCGGAGGGTAGTTATCTTGCTGAGAGAAATAGTCAAACGGGTGCGGCTCAAGCTCCGCGAACGAATTTATCAAAATACCCTTGGCGTCGCGGAATCTCGGCGATAGCTCTACGTAAGCCTCGTAGGCTTCTCCATTGAACAAACCCGGCGGCATAAATTTCGCCGGAATAGAGTTAACAAATCCGGGAATCGACAACTCCTCATCGGCCGAGTTCCAATCGAGCTTTGAGGCGATTTTCCGGTGCCGATCCGGAAGATACTTCATCATACCCAAATATCTAGCGTTACACGTCAGGAATATGTAAGAAGGGAGGTCAAGCTCGTTACCAACGTCGTTGATCAACGAATTGCAGAAGAAGTCGATAACCAAACCGGCGACCCGAACCGAATCTGAGCCTCGGCGACGCGACTCAAGGATGCTGGAGACTGCGTCTTTTATCAGAGGAGTGGTTTTCTTGATGAGCTGGACAATGAAAGTTTCAGGAGCTCTTTGGTAGAGATCCAATGGCGGAGGATCGTGGAGAGAGGGAATGTCGTGGATGCGGATTCGGGGCTGTGAGGCGATGAGAGATCTGGCGAAGACGGAGGCGTGAGGAGAAGTGGGTGAATTCAATTGGAGGACGGTGATGGTGTGGATCCGATGGTCAAGACTGATGAGACGCTTGGCGAACTCAATGTTGACGAGAAGGTGACCTGTGGATGGAACTGGTATGAAGATGAGCTCTATTTCCTTCACCATCGCTCTTTCTTTCTTCGGCTTGAGATTTGTTTGTTCAAGAAGAAAGGTTGAAGAAGAAGTGTTGTACATAAAAACTTACTTGTCACACGATTTGTTTGTTCCAAGAGCCGTGTGACAAATTAACAATGAGAGGATTTTGTTCTCTTTATTTTTGGCAAAACTATTATGTCCTTTTTTGTGACAAATGATGTTAAATGTACTATATTTATTTTAGAAAAATAACTGTAAATTTTTTATTTATGTATCTATCTATCTTCGTAACACTAGAGCTTACTCGAAGATTTCAAGTTTAAACACAACCTTGACGATGTATGTGCCTTGGACTTTTTGTTTTTTTGTTTTAACTACGTTTGTGTCTTGGACTTAAAGAGTAGAAGTGTTATTAATAAGAAACATCATACATGATAAAAATGATAACATTATTTATTCTACATTTTAAGTTTAGCTCCGAAAGAGAATAATCAAAAGTGATCCTCTAAAATATCTCTGATAAAATCTCTGGTGGCCACCAGCGAAGATCCACCGTCGCTAACAGCTTTCCTCGCGGCTGCCGAAATCTCTGTAACCTTCTTCCTGATTGGGTTGTTACCATCCATCAAAGATCGGACGGCTGTGGCGATTTCATTGGCTGAAACGATCTCTAACGTGATCCTATCACCATCCGCCACGTAATCAAGCCTTATCTCTACGGCTAAGCCCAGCTCTTTCACCATCTCAAATGCGTTAAGCTGTTGCTCCGCATACATCGGCCACGTGGCAAGTGGTACACCGTACCATAGACTCTCTTGTATAGAATTCCACCCGCAATGAGATACGAAGCCGCCTGTTGCCTTGTGGGCCAAGATATCTACTTGCGGGGCCCAACCGCATACAATTCCACGGCCCATTGTTCTGTCGACGAATCCTTCTGGGAGCGGCTCGCGCGGATCGCCGTCTCCTGCCATGTTCGTACGGATCGCCCAGATGAATCTGCAACCGACGAACTCGAGGGCGTGAGCTATCTCTTTGATCTGAGGTGCAGGGAAGACTCCCATGCTCCCGAAACACAGGAACAAAACAGAAGAGTCTGGTTGCTCGTCTAGCCACTTCATCATCTCTTCGTACTGGGCCGAAACTAGGCCAGGATTACTACGGCCCGTTAAGTTGAGTACCGGCCCAACAGGATACGCACGAGGATAATCTCGTCTTCGAGAAAAATGTTCAGCGGCATGAGGCTCGACCTCTGAGAAAGAATTGACCAAAATACCCTTGGCTTCGTTTAATCGTTCGCCAATTTTGACCAATGTGACGTATGAAAGTTTGTCCAACACACCAGGCGGCAGAACCTTGGCCGGAACACGGTTCACGAACGCCGGGATCGTTAACTCATCCTCGCCGGAGGTCTCGTCGAACCCAGACGGAAGCAAACGATTTCGCTCCGGGAGATACTGTAGAAACCCCAAGAAACCGAAATTCGAAGTCATGAAGATATACGAGGGAAGGTTTACTTCTCGACCGATGTCGATCAAACCGACGCAGAAGAAATCAAGAATCAAGCCGACGACATGGTTTGATTCTTCTCCGGACGATGAGACCAAATCTCGGATGGTTTTTTTGAGAAAGGGTATGTTTTTATCGACGAAGTCGAGGATGTAAGTCTCGGAGGAAGTGTCGAGAAGCTTGATCGGAGGTGGATCTTGGATCTCCGGGAGGCTGATGAGTCGGATTCCAGGCTCCGAGGCTGTGAGCGACGCCAAGGAAGCGTCGGCGTGAGGAGCGTAAGGGAGTTTCATGGAGAGGATCGTTATCATGGAAATCCGACAGTCCATATCAATTAAACGCTTACCGAACTCGATCGTCGATAAAAGGTGGCCTGTCTCCGGCAGTGGAATGAATATTAGCTCCGCTTTTTTCATCTCTCTACTTCTCTTTCTTACTTTCAGGGTTTATCAATTGAATATAAGTGAAACACGCAGCAGAGTAATGTATCTGGAGTGAGATGTGATCAAGTAGAAAAAAAACCAGCAAGACAAACAACAATATTAAGGCTTTGATGGTCAAAACATTTGACTCAAAAATAAAGGTAATAGTAGATTGATTATCTTTTTCTTATTATGTGTGTTTGTGGACCATTTAGAATTATTTAGTCTTGTTGCGCATACAAAAGTGGAACAATAGTTATAGGCTTATAGCTAAACCATTTTTTAGTTACTACTAGTTGTCCAAATTATTTTATTCTATATCTCTCACACACTCAGACATGTGTAAAATTTACACAAAATTTATCACGGAACATGAATATAGAAAGTAAAAACACACTTTACACATGATGGGGATAGAGAGAAGTAAAAATAGTATGCAACCTTCAAAATCCAGAGATCATATACTATTGACTTCGATCATATTATATCCTGAGAATTTCGGCATGGGAACCTTATAAAACCTTTGTCCCTTGGTTTAACCTTCATTTTAAAAAGAGAAAAAAAAAAAACGAAAGAGTTCTGATTGGGTTTTTTCATTTTTGGTTGGCTTTCTCAAGTCAAACGTAGTTTAAGTCTTTAAGATAGAGGAAAGAAAAGTCATCAGCTTCATCGCTCTCGAATCATATAGTATTCTTCAAAGTATACCCCTTTTTCTCCTCGCTAAACCAACACCGTTTTCCTCATAAACCCATTATATTTCTTTCCTTCCCCTAGAAATTTCCGCCTAACTTTACCTTTCTCCACTGCGAATCGGCGTTTTCCGGGGTCTAGGTCACCGGGAAATGGCTTTCCGGCGAGTATCTGCCTCTGTTATTCTTTTACTCTACTTACTGGTTTCATCTCAGTCTCTCGATTTCAGTAATATTCGGAAACCTCACAAGATCGATGGGCCAATCAAGACCATAGTGGTTGTAGTTATGGAGAATCGCTCCTTCGATCACATCCTCGGCTGGCTCAAATCGACCCGACCCGAAATCGACGGATTAACTGGCAAAGAGTCGAATCCCCTAAACGTCTCCGACCCGAATTCCCAGAAGATCTTCGTCTCCGACGACGCCGTCTTCGTTGACATGGATCCGGGCCATTCGTTCCAGGCCATCCGAGAGCAGATATTCGGGTCGAACGATACATCCGGCGACCCGAAAATGAACGGATTCGCACAGCAATCGGAGAGCATGGAGCCTGGAATGGCGAAAAACGTGATGAGCGGATTCAAACCCGAGGTCTTACCTGTGTACACCGAGTTAGCCAACGAGTTCGGGATATTCGATCGGTGGTTCGCATCGGTACCAACTTCGACTCAGCCGAATCGATTCTACGTCCACTCAGCTACCTCCCATGGATGCTCAAGCAACGTCAAGAAGGATCTCATCAGAGGATTTCCTCAGAAGACGATCTTCGACTCGCTCGAAGAAAACGGACTCAGCTTTGGGATTTATTACCAAAACATCCCTGCTACTTTCTTCTTCAAATCTCTCCGTAGACTCAAACACTTGGTGAAATTCCACAGCTACGCGCTCAAATTCAAGCTCCACGCTAAGCTCGGGAAGCTTCCCAACTATTCCGTCGTGGAGCAGAGATATTTCGACATCGATCTTTTCCCGGCCAACGACGATCACCCGTCGCACGACGTGGCGGCGGGACAGAGGTTCGTTAAGGAAGTCTACGAGACGCTACGGAGCAGTCCTCAGTGGGAAGAGATGGCTCTGCTCATTACTTACGACGAGCACGGTGGGTTCTATGACCACGTTCCGACGCCGGTTAAAGGTGTGCCGAATCCTGATGGAATCATCGGTCCCGACCCGTTTTATTTCGGGTTTGATCGATTGGGCGTTAGGGTCCCTACCTTCATTATCTCTCCCTGGATCGAGAAGGGCACTGGTATGTGAATTTTGCTATATTCGTATCATTATTGAAACCATGGCTCTTACAGTTTTCATATTCTGCTTGATGAGTGAGTTTATACTGATCTTTGAGTATTGAGATTTCATTTGAGCTTGATGTTTAAGATGATAATCTGATAAAAAAACAAATGAAATTTGCAAATGCTGTCGCGTGGACTAATTTTTGTTTCTTAGTCACAAGATAATTGTTCATGTTTTGAGTCTCGTTTGTTACTTAAATTAGCTTTACATCATTACATTACATGTAATATCTTATGCTTTCCTTAAGCTTCATTGATAAGTCCTATGTTTAGAATCTTTCTACTTATTATTCAGTCTTTGTGATTGTGATTAAAACTGGGTTTTGTTGCAGTGGTACATGAACCAGATGGTCCTACACCACATTCACAGTTTGAGCATTCATCTATACCCGCAACGGTGAAGAAACTCTTCAACCTAAAGTCGAACTTCCTGACTAAGAGAGATGCATGGGCTGGCACATTTGAGAAATACTTCCATATCCGAGATTCTGCTCGTAAAGATTGTCCAGGTCTGTTTTATTCTCTACCCCCTAGTTCATTACGTGAATTCAGTTTTTTTGGGCTCTGAATCCTTAACATTCAGTAATCAACGCGTAATACTTAGCTTATTTGTATACTTCAGATTAGTTTCATCATCAATTCCTCTGTAACATTGTGGAATATAATACTCTAACTGACATTTCCTTTTTCGACATGATCCAACGCAGAGAAATTAGCGGAAGTGGAACGATCACTAAGGCCATGGGGAGCCAAGGAAGACTCAAAGCTCTCAGAATTCCAGGTGGAGCTGATCCAACTCGCTTCCCAGCTCGTTGGAGACCATCTCCTAAACTCATATCCAGACATTGGGAAGAACATGACAGTAAGTGAAGGCAACAAATACGCAGAGGATGCTGTTCAGAAGTTTATAGAAGCAGGAAAAACTGCACTGGAAGCAGGAGCAGATGAAAACACTATAGTCACTATGAGGCCGTCCCTGACGACCAGGACCAGCCCCAGTGTAGGGGCCAACAAGTATATTGGAAACTATTGAAAATCTATTAATAAAGAAAATGGATTATATGTAAATACAAGTGGCCTCCACATGTTTCACACTTCACTTAGATGCATTTATGATATGGAAAAGGTATATACTTTGTAACGTAAAATGTAGCTTATGGCCTCCATCTCCATAGTTGGAGTGGATGGAGACTTCTTGTAATACTTATATGTATACAAAAATAGATAAACAACCATTATATAGTTACCATAACGTCTTAACGATTGGCTTATCCGGTCCACCAACCTTTTCTTGAATGTTTTGAGTTTTTAATTACTAAGTTCTCCTGTGAACGTTTAAATGAGAAGGAAGGCGATATGCTATGAGTTAAACTCACAGCAGACTAGACTAGGTAGGTAGAGAGTTTTGATTCCATAAGCGTACCTGAACATAGAAACAAACACATGTGTTGTTAGTGTACTACTATCAATCAGTGAAGTGAGAAGCCCCACAATGATATTTTGTTCTTCTAAATTCTCAAAAATATATGAAATAATATAGTTTTCGATAGTGGATATATATTCTCTTGAAATCATGTATATTTTTCGATAAAAAAAATAATGATTTAATAAATTGTTATTTTCTTCCGTAGATTGTAGGTAAGATAAATTCCCTTGTAGAATTAAAATAGAGAAACAAACTGATTGAAAAAGGGAAAAAAAAGTTAACCTCCGCATGGAGCGGGGCACTGTATATCCAATAAAAACAGAGAGAATTTCTGAAATTCTGAGGTCACCGAAAGAAAAAAGGAAAGGAAAGTAGAAAAAGAAAAAGTTTTGCAGAGGAAGAAGAAGAGAAAGAAAAGAAAAAATGGGTCTTCGTCTCCGTCTTCGTCTCCCTCACAAAAGCTCTCCTCGTACACCTTCCTATCTCCTTCTGTGTGTTCTTGCTCTCTCCTTCTTCTCCTTCACCGCTCTTCTTCTCTACAAGGTCTCTTTCCTCTCCTCCTTTTCCATCAGACATCTCTATTGCTTCTTTCCGTTCAGCAATTTGATATTGAAACTACGCATATGCTTTCGTTTTTACGTAATTGGATCTGACAGAGTCATAGATTTTTGCTATTTTATATCCTGAGATTGTTTGTTTGTTCAGTGAAGAATTTGTCTGAAAGCTGACATACTTCGAATTTGATACTCAGAATCATGGCTTTGCTTTTTCTGTTATCTCTGTTTTCTCCGTGATTCATGGATCTAAAGAAAAGATTTGGAGCTGAAGTAGAACTTTATTGCTCTGCAATCTTAGACACGTGACTACTTCCCGTGATTTAAAGAAATTTTTGTCTCATTGGGTAATTTCGTCGAACAGGTTGACGACTTTGTAGCTCAGACAAAAACTCTTGCCGGACATAACTTGGAGCCAACGCCGTGGCACATCTTCCCACGCAAATCTTTCAACGAGGCCACGAAACGTTCTCAGGCTTACCGAATCCTCCAGTGCTCCTACTTCTCATGTCCGTACAACTCCGAACCAAAGAGGCTCCTGTCGAATTCCGGGTCGGGTCGTCGAACCCAGCAACCGCAATGCCCAGACGTTTTCAGGTTTGTCGGAGCGAACCCGTTTCACCGGTTACTTTGAAATGGGTTTTTTTCACATGACTCATAAAGAATCAAACTTTCTTGATATCATTTTTATTTGGTGAAAAGCCAGGTGGATTCACCGGGACTTAGAGCCATGGGCAAAGACAGGGGTAACTAAAGAGCACGTGAAGAAGGCGAAAGCTAATGCTGCGTTTCGAGTGGTGATACTATCTGGAAAGCTATACGTGGATCTCTATTACGCGTGTGTGCAGAGCAGAATGATGTTCACCATCTGGGGGATTCTGCAACTGCTCAACAAGTATCCAGGGATGGTTCCTGACGTCGACATGATGTTTGATTGTATGGACAAACCAATCATCAACCGGACCGAGCACCAGTCGTTTCCCGCTCCTCTTTTCCGATATTGCACCAACGAAGCTCATTTGGACATTCCTTTTCCAGATTGGTCATTCTGGGGCTGGTACATATCTCTTTTCGATTGTCCCGTAAGTTGTTTGCTCAACTCTTGTCTGAATCCTGAGTGTTGTGATGATGAAGGTCGGAGACAAATCTAAGGCCTTGGGAAGAAGAGTTTAGGGATATAAAGCAAGGGTCTAGGAGAAGCAGCTGGGACAACAAGCAACCTAGAGCTTACTGGAAAGGGAATCCCGACGTTGTATCGCCTATAAGAATGGAGCTTATGAAATGTAACCATCCAAGGTTATGGGGAGCACAGATTATGCGCCAGGTTCGCTTCACTTTTCAGTAATCCTAATCAGATAATTTAGTCTAGTCGTGGGAGTGATGCTAATGTCTGTTTAATATGCAGAACTGGGAAGAAGAAGCAAAAGGTGGGTATGAACAATCCAAGCTCTCCAACCAATGCAATCACCGGTAAGTCCCTCAGAGAAACCCAAAGTTCCATCATATATGAGTGGAGGAGACGAGAAAGATCTAATTTTGGTTTTGGTCCCTTGTATCATAAGGTACAAAATATATGCAGAGGGTTACGCGTGGTCAGTATCTCTAAAGTATATCCTGTCATGTGGTTCCATGACGCTCATAATCTCACCTGAGTATGAAGATTTCTTCAGCAGAGGCCTCATCCCAAAGGAAAACTACTGGCCTGTCTCTCCCACTGATCTATGTCGGTCCATCAAATTCGCTGTGGACTGGGGCAATGCCAACCCCTCTGATGTATATATTCCACATTTCTCACCTACTTAGGATTATAGATATATTTCATGTTCCTGAGGCGTTTTCCGTTTCACAGGCTGAAACAATAGGAAAGAGAGGACAAGGTTACATGGAAAGCATTAGCATGAACCGGGTCTATGACTACATGTTTCATCTTATCACTGAGTACTCAAAGCTTCAGAAGTTCAAACCAGAGAAGCCGTCTTCAGCTAAAGAGGTCTGTGAAGGATCATTGCTTTGCTTCGCAGAACAAAAAGAGCGGGAACTACTCGAAAGATCCAGAGTTGTACCTTCTCTGGACCGACCATGTAAGCTTCCAGATGCAGATAGGAGTAGGCTTGAGAGATTGATCCAACAGAAGAAGAAAACAATCGAAGATGTTAGATACATGGAGATGACGAGAACAAAGACTGGTTCCAGATAAATTGTCTTTGCTGGAACACAAATTTTGGTTTTATTCGCTTTTTTTGCCCAGCATACGTGTGTTCATCATCAGCTATAGCACGAGATTATACTTGATTACGGCTTGATTTATAGAATAAAGAAACCATAATCTTACAGTTACACCAAGTAAATGTTGGAATGAGACACGATGATAAATAAAAAATCAGTCGGGCTCAGATCTTCAAAAGTAACAAATTACAGCAATAAAATACAAATCCTAATCCATTTGGTATCGGAGGAGGAATTTGTTGACAACAAAAGTACAAAACAGCGTGAAAACTGCAGAGCACAGCTATCTAAATTCATGTATTCTCAACTTGGTAACATCGGATTATTCCAAATATCGACCAAAACCCCAGAAATGAAAACTAACACGCACTAGTCAGGACGAAGATTTAGATCCAATCCTTGGGGGTTCACTCAGTGGCGTTGTCAAACTCGTCGTCATCGTCAAGCACTTCATACTCGAAATCTTGGTCTCTGTTCTCCATGGTTTTCCCAAATGTAAATGCCTTTGTACCCATTGTTGTGAAAGGCATCAGTCCAAATGCACGAGCCGTTTTGATCTCTCTAGCAATCTTCCTTTGTGCCTTGGCGCTGATGCCAGTCTGTGCAAAAGAAAAAATAAAAAGATGGTTTCATCATGTGAACTAGCAAAACAGAGTTAGATTAAAGCTAGGTAAATCCAATTTTGACCTGCTTCCTCTTAATGAGGATCCCAGCTTCAGTGATGAACTGTGCAAGGAACCTAACATTCTGTCCAACAAAACACATTTCATAGGTGAGTACAAAAAGCATACATCGCAGATGTAAACTTTATCAACGAATAGAAACTCTCTCTCGTTTCCCGGACCAACAAAGTACCGGTTTACACAAAAAAAAAACATAAAACACGTGCTGCACTGCTTCTGAAACATATGTAACCCAATTATACACTCACCCTGAAATCAGCTTTCTTCAGAACTTCCTCGGTGGTTATCTCAGGCTTGTTATTCTGTCTAGGCTTTTGCATCTGCCTTTTAAGACTCAAATCCTGCTTGAAAACAATAGATGAATAACTTTAGCGTCTGTCTGATCAAAGCAAACAAGAAAAGATTAAGGAGAAATATGGACTCGTACCATCCATGTAAATCCCAAGCTAGAGTAAAACACACAATACATGACTACACATCCCGAATCACAAGATGAATTGAGTGACAATAATCTGACTCGACTACACATTTACAGTACAAAAGCAATCCTAGACCAATATAACCTGATTAAAATGAATTTCATATATGATTGCGATAATGTGATTCAGTAACACTTTGGGATCAAATCATTAACATACCCTAGGGAAGTGATTAACGCCCCAACTGTTGACATCAGGCCGGAACGGGTAACCATCTTTCACGCCTTCGTCTTCGTCAATGTTGTAAAGCAACGCAGCTTCTTTCAATTTCCCATCGATGCCATCAGATGAAGGGTCGAAGCTCTCGTCCCTGTTCATGGAACCCCCACCGGAAGATCTCGACCCGTACCCGTATGATCTATTAAACCCTGTATAATCGCGCTTATCTCTCTCCGCCTTATTAAGATGCTGGTAGAAACCACTGCTTTTTTCATCGTTGCCACTATTTCCGCCAAACATCCAATCGTCCGACGACTCGAAAGAAGATCGATTATGGTTCGGATCTGCTTGGTTCGATTCGATTCGTGGTTAGCCTAACATAAACCGAGAGTATAGAGGAGAAAAATGGTAGAAATGTTAGGATGGTTACCTTGGTTAGCATTGGTCGAGAGGCTTCTAGACACGAAAGGACGACATGGTCGAAGGGAAGCTACGTCGTTAAGGGACTGAATAGCGAAACGGGCGACTTTCATCCTCTTCCAACTTAGGGTTTTTCCGAATTTCAGTGGTCCGATCTGAGGTTTTAGCAGAGAGGGAAGGTCGCCAGGAAAAAAAAAAAAAAACACACGAAGATGACGGGAGAGAGAGAGATCACATTTCAATAAAATGAATAATGGGCTCATAGGGCCTTTCTATTTTGTTTATCTTTTATCATACAGGCCCATTGTATCTTTTTCTTGTAAGGGTGCGAGGAATAGACTAAAAACAGTTTAAATTTGCTAGAATTTCTTACAAATACGAACACTTACATACTTTTTAGTGTACATGTGAAGGAAACAAAATTATCATAATGCTTCTCTAAAATTGCAAAAAAAAAAAAAAAAACAGGTCACCACTTACACTTGACCAATAAACACAGACACTGTTTATATGTAGCTGTCAATTGTCATTAACTGTGGTCGTTATTTCGTTGATAGAGTTATTTACGCTGAATATATGGCTGGATGCATGTTTTTTTACCACTATCTATAATCTACAAAAAGTTGTCTACACTGATTCCTGTTTAAAGCATGGATAAATGTATGAACAGGGAAAATGCAAAAAAAAAAAAACACACACACACACACAATGACTCATACAGAACTGGGTCCTGTGTCCTTATCATTTTCCAGAAACAATTCTGAAAAATTGGTCTAATAGTTGTTGCGCCAATACCCTAATTAAGTTGACACTTATTCAATTCAAATAACAGGGACAGATGTGGCACCTCAGATGATAAAAGCCCTAAGAGCGTCAGACTAAGAAAAACTAGAAGAATAATTATTATAAAAAAATTTGTTTTATATTTGTCCGTCACATGATAATTAACAAAAAAAAAACACACAAATAAATATCGACAATTAACGTGAACACTTATCCCAGATCCTCTGTGTTGAGCACACAGTAAGACGGTTTTAATGCCAAAAGTGAAGCTATCTATCTGTAACCCGCGCGCGAACCAACGGTCATTATTCGAGTTTCGAGCTATGGTTCTTCGCTTTTGCCTATTAAGACCGTGGCATTTTGTAACCGGATGTCGTTATTAAATTAGCCATTAATATGACCAAAAACAAAAGCCACTAATATTACATCACGTGTAAAAATCCTTAATGGAGAGATGACGATAAGTACAAAGTGAGCAAAGCAAGTGGACACAAACTCTCAAAAACCAAGCAAAAGTATTTGATTTGACTCCATTTGTTTTTTTTTTTTCCTTTGGTTCAAAAGGAAAGGAGCGATGTGAGATCCCAATTTTATTTATTTATGTTTATTTTCTCTCTAATTTAAACTTGCAAAAACTTCAGCTACTTTTTTATATAGAATCCATCGATATTAATCAGAACAATTTAATTGACTAATTACGAGAAACAAAAATCAAACCTATAATTGTCTTCTCTCGTAATAATTTTCTAACACGTAAGCTTATATTTGAATGATTATATCTGGTTAATCAAACCCCTGGTTTATTATTATCTATGGTTCATTGGCATTTAGATAATCACATTACATGTGTTGACAAATAAAAAAATAATCACATACGTGTTTGATGTGACATTTCTGTCATTTCATAGCTTTTTGTTGAATGTAAAGTGCACAAATATTTTAAATCGATATTAAAAATTATATCGATATTAAAATTCCAAATCAAAATCTAAATTAATCTTCAAATATGTAAGTTTCGAATATAATTGCTCTCTAACATGTTCATACAATCAATTATGATTGAGATAATAGTGAACACAATAGTTACAGTCTTTTTGTTTTTATGCAAATATAGTTCCAGTCTAATGTGATTTTTTCAACTACTAATCATCATACTTTGGTTACTAATAAGACTACAAGTTTAAAAAACGATTACGAAGCATATGTTTGTTGTTAAATACTAAAGTACACATAAATAAAGGAACGTTATAGTGTGTTTGCTTGTCGACATTTATGTGGCATGAGTCCAATATAAATGATGTAGCCAGTATTCCATTAATCTTTGTTAGTCTGAGAACGTATAAGCTTAAATATTGGTTATTTGGTTACATTATCTCAGGGTATTGATGTTCACGAGGAGGAGATGGAGTGGCTTTAGAAATAACAAAATAAGCAAATAGTAGACGACAATAATTTTCTGATTATTGATAAAGAAACACGGAGACAATATTTAGTCGTTTCAACAAGGACATTATAAGCAAGTAAATTACATGTTTGTGCAAAGACTACTTATAGTTATCGTAATTTCGTATTTCGTATGTAAATTACAATGTGCATGATTTCGAAACCTCTATGTTTTTTTGTTTTTATTAAGAGATTCGTCGAATTTCTGCAAATACTTATGTTTGTAAAGTATCTTCTTCAGTTAAAATTAGAGGCGTTTAAAAAGCAGGTTTATGCCGTAATGGCTATTTTTTACTTTCCAGCAGCGGTAACAAAAGATGGACGATCGAGTGAAAAGATACTTGTGCGATCGAGGATAAAGATGTGCAAAGTAAAGTGAATCAAAAAGTAGAAAAAATGACAATGACGCAAAAGAAGCATAAAAGGTGGTGTGTTTGGGCCCTAATCACTTATGCTTCTCCTCTTTATCTTATGACATTCACCTAATCTTTTATAAAGTTTAGTCATTGTCTACCACCCAATACTTTTTATATCCTTCTATAATTAAGTTGACATTTCTTTGTTAATGTAAACCAATTATTTTAATATTTATAAACCAAATAGAAGACCGATGCAAAAAGTAGAGAGATGTGGACTCCCTCGTGATCCAAGACCACGACAAACTTACATATGCTGCGAATTTTGGCTATTTGGCACACACATTTCGTTACCATGACGATATCGTAGGATATAGAATTAAACCATACAGAATTCTTGCGAATAATATAAAATCAATCACAAATATTTCCATACATAGCAGATTATATCGTTTAGCAAAAAGTGCAAAAAGTCAAAATTATGAAATGACCGATTTTCCATATTTATATATACTATTGTCATCAATATTTAAAAAGCGCCGTATTATTTGTAGCAAAATTTCAAGTGAATGAAGTGTGTGGAAGAATCTTATCTTGCACATTAATTGTTTTTTTTTTTTGACAACTCACATTAATTATTTCTTCTATTTTCTTTGGTTTCTGGTTAATTAAGAGAACAAATGCTACAGAAAGACAGCAAGTGTTTTTACATCCCAAACAGAACGAGTGAAATAGGAAAACAAAACATTCTTTTATTTCGTTATACAGTAGTAAGCTTATCATATGCGAAATTAACATGTAACAGTGTTTCCGTGGTATATAGCTTTATGTCTATGTCTAGTAAGCTGCTAACTATCATATAAACTTCGAATATGACCAAATTTGAGGCTGAATTTCTGCCGTTGTGAATCGAACCTCTCCTTTTGACATGCAGAAAAATTATTTGTCAACAAAATTTCTAAAAGTTTTCAAGTGGGAAGGCGAAAGAGAGAGATTCTACGAGCACCACACATATATTAGTCAGACCGAAAGAGAGAGAGGAAAATAAAATCAGACAAAAATATTGGAGAGGACCCCACGAGCAATATACCACCAAAATAGCGACTCCCTCTGTAATCTGTACACGTATCCATGCGTAAGATTTCAGGATATATATTTATGTGTTTTAATGACTACTTTTAAGCTAAAGAGATTATCGTAAAAGAGGTTTTTTGATTACTTTTTCTCATAAATATCATTTCCAGGAAATTCACGCCTGACTTATTTGATTTTTTTTGTTGTTTTTTTTTCGTGGGTCTCTTTGGTGGGAGTAAGTCGGATTGGTTTGATTGGCGAGGAGAGGGGCTTTGTTGTGATTCTTCTTCTACTTTCAATTTTGGCTTTTCCCGGCGATGCCTACGCCGGTGATTACGGCGAGAGAATGCTTAACGGAGGAAGCTGCTCGTGCTCTCGACGATGCTGTTGCGGTGGCTCGTCGGAGGAGCCACGCCCAGACTACGTCACTCCACGCCGTTTCTGCGCTTCTCGCGATGCCTTCCTCCATTCTCCGTGAGGTATGCGTCTCACGCGCCGCTCGGAGTACACCGTACTCTTCGCGTCTTCAGTTCCGAGCTCTGGAGCTCTGCGTCGGCGTTTCTCTCGACAGGCTACCGTCGTCCAAGTCTACGGCGGCGGAAGAAGATCCACCGGTGTCGAATTCGCTCATGGCGGCGATCAAGCGGTCGCAGGCGAATCAAAGGCGTCATCCCGAGACGTATCACCTCCAGCAGATCCACGCAAGTGGCGGCGGCGGTGGCTGCCAAACGACGGTTTTAAAGGTCGAGTTGAAGTATTTCATATTATCAATCCTCGACGATCCGATTGTGAATCGGGTCTTCGGCGAAGCCGGGTTTCGGAGCTCCGATATCAAGCTCGACGTGCTTCACCCTCCGGTAACGCAATTCTCTTCCCGTTTCTCTCGCGCTCGTTATCCGCCTCTCTTCCTCTGTAATTTTCCGAACTCAGATCCGAATCGCGAGTTCCCGTTTGGTGGGAGCAGCGGCGTCGATGAGAATTCTCGGAGAATCGGAGAGATTTTAGGTCGGAAAGAGAGGAAGAACCCTTTGCTGGTTGGTAATTGCGCGAACGAAGCTCTTGTAACCTTCACGGATTCGATCAACAGTGGGAAGCAAGGGCTTCTTCCTCCGGAGATTAGTGGGTTAAGCATTATTAGCATAGAGAAGAAAATTAGTGAAATTTTAGCCGATGGATCAAGAACTGATGAGGAAATTCGCGTGAAGCTTGATGATTTAGTAAGAATCGTAGAGCAAAATGGATCGAAATCGGGGACGATACTTAATCTGGGAGAGTTGAAGGTCTTAACCAGTGAAGCTTCTTCCGGTGGAAACAGTGATGCTTTGGAGAATCTTGTTTCGAAGCTCTCGGATTTTCAGAAGCATCAAAGTAAGAAGCTTTGGTTCATCGGATGTGTATCGAGCAACGAGACGTATACGAAGCTTCTCGATCGGTTTCCTACGATCGATAAAGATTGGGACCTTCATGTTCTTCCAATCACATCCTCAAAACCCTCGAGTCAAGGGGTTTATCCAAAATCAAGGTATGCATTTGCAATTTGTTGGAATAGTTTATTGTTTGCGTCAATTTCGAGAACATAAACTAAAGTATTTTAACATATCCACTATCATGGCACTTCCTTCTCAGCATTTTACTTCCCACTTGTCTAGACATTGTATATTTCCCTCCTGGGCTTGATTTTCTCTCTTTTTCAAAATCATATTAGTGAATCTGTTGGTTACAGCTTGATGGGATCCTTTGTTCCGTTTGGAGGGTTCTTTTCGTCTACATCAGACTTCAGAGTGCCGTTGAGTGGTACAGTGAATCAGACGCTTTCCAGATGTCACATCTGCAACGAGAAGTATTTGCAAGAAGTAGCCGCCATTGCCAAGGCCGGTTCGAGTCTCTCTCTTGCTGATCAATGTTCGGAGAAGTTGCCCTCTTGGTTACGAGCTGCAGAGGCTGAGTTGGACAAGGGAACAACGGGCAGTAGCAAGGTGCTTTTTTTTTATCAACTTCTTGCTCAGTTGCAATAGCTTCTAATAGTGTAAATGCAATATCTTGAGAGAGATTTTGGTTCTAATTCAGTGCAGGCTATAGATGGCCCAAACACATTAGCCGCGCAAACCACAGCTTTGCAGAAGAAATGGGACAACATATGCCAAAGTATCCATCAAACTCCAGCGTTCCCTAAACTTGGTTTTCAGCCTATGAGTACGCAGTTCCCAGTTCAGACCGAGAAGAGTGTGAGAAGCCCAACCGAGAAAAATTGTCCTGTGTTTCCAAGCAAAACTCCTGAAAGCTTTCTAGAGACGCGTAAACTGCTAAATCCAAAACATACGGAGGATCGCACTGTGAGTTCTCCTTTGAGCTGTGTTACTACAGATTTAGGGTTGGGAGTAATCTATGCATCAAAAAGCCAGGAATCAAACACACCGAAAGAGAAACCGCTGCTGGCGACAATAAACTCTTCTTTAGAGCAAAAATATCATAAAGATTTCAAGTCTCTCAGAGAATCACTCTCTCGTAAAGTAGCCTGGCAGACGGAAGCTGTGAATGCCATAAGCCAAATTATCTGCGAATGCAAAAGCGACTCCACGAGAAGAAACCGCACAAGTGGAATTTGGCTGGCTCTTCTTGGACCTGATAAAGTCGGGAAGCAGAAAGTAGCATCGGCTCTTTCTGAAATCTTTTTTGGTGGCCAGGTCAATTGCATCTGCGTGGATTTCAGGGCAGAACACTGTTATATTGATGACAAATTCAGAGGCAAAACAGTGGTTGATTACATAACCGGTGAATTATCAAGAAAACCACACTCTGTTGTTTTACTAGAAAACGTGGAAAAAGCTGAGTTCCCTGATCAGGTCAGATTCTCTGAAGCTGTGAGTACTGGAAAACTCCGTGATTCTCATGGAAGAGTGATCAGTATGAAAAATGTAGTTGTTGTTGTGACTTCTGGGATATCCAAGGACAAAGATCACGTTATAGAACCTGTGAAGTTTTCTGAGGAAAGAGTTCTCAGCGCGAGAAGCTGGAAACTGCAAATAAAGTTAGTCGATGCTACTAAAATTGGGGTAAAGAAGAGAAAACATGAGCCAGAAACAGAGCTGCGAGCAGAGAAGGCGCAACGTTCGTATCTGGATCTGAATCTTCCTGTAAATGAGACAGAAGTTAGCTTCGATCATGAATCAGAGGACGCAACTGCTTGGTTCGATGATTTCATGGAACAAGTAGACGGTAAAGTGACATTTAAGCCGGTTGATTTCGATGGGTTAGCCAAAAAGATTCAAGAGAACATGGTTTCACATTTTGAGCATTGCTTTGGAACCGTAGCACATCTAGAGATAGATAATGAAGTGATCGTTCAGATTCTGGCGGCTTCTTGGTCATCACTATCATCGGGAGAAGAAGAGAGAACGGTTGATCAGTGGATGCAGACAGTTCTTGCTCCGAGCTTTGCCGAAGCGAGGCAGAAGTACGGCTCAAATTCTGCGTTTGCCGTGAAACTGGTTGCTTCTAAAGATTTAGCTGCCGGAGTAGAGTTGCCGGAAAAGGTGGATGTGATTACAGATATATAAATGAGGTAAAAATTAGTTATAATCCTGATTGTTTTGTCATCAGAAGCCTGGTTTGGAGTTTTGTGCTTGTAAATTAAAATGTATAATAGTTTTACTACTAGCTGAGGTACATAAGTTTGTTTAGGAGTTACCAACTTGCCACAACTTTTTTTGGCATTTTGAGTTTAGGTATCTCTCCTAATTATGTTGTAAACTCCTGCGCAAAAGTTCCAAACATAAGTGCGTTAAACGATCTTCCCTTGTCACCGAGCTGTACATTATGTTTTGACGAAATTCAAGAGTTGAGTTCTGAAACTGAATTCTCAATACGTATTCTCTCTCCATATAATGCCTGTATTCATATCAGTCAAAGCAGAATATTCATTCGAGAGTCATAACCCTGTCTTTCTAAACGCTGAATTGACCTCATTGAGTTGTTCAGGAACCGTTTAAACTGATTTCCGTATTAGGGGAGATAAAGTGGAAAAGACTCGAGAAAGACAGAGACAGAGAGAGAGACAGAAAAAGAAGTAGGTAGCAATGTGGAGGATTTGGATCAGATACGGCTAATGTCACGGCCAAAGACAAAAGTGGTGAGCCAATTGATAGCGACGTAGAAGCGATTTCTCCAGCTGACGACTCGAGTCAGATACGCAGACCTCCATATGAACCAGCTCACAAAACCCGCCATTGATATCCCTTTTCCTTCCTGTCCAAGATACGCAGACCTCCATATGGATTAGCAATCTATGTGTGTTTTCGAGGGATTTTAAGTGAAAGTAAATGATCTTTTTGCATACCTTACTCTCGCGGAGATCAACGAGAGCTTTGTATCTCCCAATTGTGGCCATACTTCCCAGATGCTTATACACAAATGGCTCTCCAAGTTCCCTTTCCTTGGCGCTACAAGCTCTTCCTCCTCCAGATTTTCCCATCTCATTCAGTAGATTCGCCAAGTATTTGCCTTCTCTCTCAGCCACCTTCATCGACCAGAGACTAAATTGGTTACTTTCAGACACAACAGTGGAAAATGTAATTCTAGCTATTAGAGCATTAATGAGACCTGTGCAAGAGCAGGAAGTGTTGATTTCCCTGTGCTCTCAAGATATCCGCTACAATCACCAATTGCAAACACATCTTGTACAGAAGGTACACGCATCCACTCATCAATTCCAATCCTATGAAGAAGAAACAGAATGATCCAAGATCAGAAACTGTTCCATCATCAATCTTTAGTAGACCAAAAAAAAAAGAAAAAAACAGAGCAACCTTGTAGTAATATTGGAGTTACTAACCTTCCACCTGGATCTTTTGGAAGATCAAGAGACCTCACAAATGAAGATGGACCAACGCCAGTTGACCAGACTAAGAGACCGTAAGGAACTTCGGTTCCATCATCAAGTATTAGCTTCTGAGGCTTCACTTCTTTCACAATCCCACGCACAAGTTTCACTCCAGACTGAGTAAAAGTAACTAAACTTTTACATCGGATTTCATTTCTTGGCATGAACGATGATTGAATCTGTCACCATAAATAGGATGAGCTTACCTTGTTTAACTGCTTAATTGCATAGTGTCTGAGGCGATCGTCGAAAGAAGAAAGGATATCCCTTGCCTGGAAAGAAACACTACTAGTCAAAATTACATTTTATGAAAAAGTGATCATATATAAGCTTTTGATCATATGAAGTTGTAAACAAAAAAAAAAATATGAGAAGAAAAAAAAAAACCTCGATCAAAGTAACACGAATGTCGTCTTTGACATGAGCATATCTCTGACGAACATCTTTCATGATGAAATCACTCAATTCACCGCTAAACTCGACACCAGTCGGACCACCTCCTACCACAACACAATGCAACAACCTCTTCTTCTCCTCGTCACCAATGCCTAAATATTGAATTCATGTCATTTGCGCGTAATAAGGAGTTTAAATTTTCTTTCAAGCGTAATCAAGTGGCTGAAGAATGTATGTGTTGTTGTTAATTACCTGGAACTTCAGAGAGCATGAGGTTGAGAAGAAGCTTCCTGCGGATTTCCTGAGCGTGGTGAACCTCACGGAGGAAGATGGCGTTTTCTAAGACGCCATTAATTCCAAATGTGGATGCTTCTGCACCGCAAGCTAGTACCAGTTTGTCATAAGCGATCTTGAACTTCCATGGCTTTAATGTGCTTAATCCATCAGTTACAGTCTCACAATGCACCTGTTTTATTACCAACATCGACCAGGATCCACACTTATCATATAACACACCACGTACTGGCTTTTCATAAACATAAATACAAGTTTTCACATTTCTTCAACTAAGGCCTCGATTGCTATTGTTTGCAATTATATTTCCTCGAGTAGCCATTTTAAGCAATTTTTTTTTGTTAATTTATAAACATAAATTGGAAAAAAAATTCTACCGCATATGTTTGCAAAAAAAAAAAAAAAATTTCTAAAAAACCAAATTGTGGGACTTATTCTGTATTTTTTTAAGAATGTGAATTTTTTTTTTTAATTAAGAATGTGAATTTGAATACTAAACCCAAATGCAAATTTTGCGTTCCAAAGAATGGATTATTAATTGAATCTTCTTCTACATTTCAAAAAATTCAAAAAAAATCCCAAAAATAATGAAAGCCACCGTTTTATCGGCGAACCTTTTCTCAAATTTCAGGGCAATAGCGACAAAAAACGATGAGGCAATTAAACAAACAAAAAAAGACCGAATGGAAATAATAACCTCATGATTATCGGAATCGAGACGGGAGCAATTAGCGAGGAAGTAATAAGAACCGGGTTCTCGTGAAATAGCCGGTTGAATACGAGAGATTGGCTCAGCGACGGACCTAAACTCGAGCGTACCGACGCAAGTGGAAGCCAAGAGAGGAGTGAAGACCATGTGGTTCCTCGGAGACACACAAACGACGTCGTATATGCTCGTATCTATCCCTTTCATTAGCCGACAACCCGCCCAACCCGACCCGAGAACCAGCACCCTCGGTTTCTCTCCTTCTTTTGTCGGAGCCAAACCCTCGTAGCGATGTTCCTCCAGCCCATCAACTACATCGGCAGCTTGAACCGTCTCGCTGATCTGTTGCTTTTGTTGTTGCAGAGCGGTGCAGAAACGAGACGAGAGAGTGTATGATTCCGGGTTTCTGAACACGTTTCCGACCGACGAAGTCGCCGGAGAGATTCTTACGAGGTTTTTGATCCAAAACATGGTTCTTTCCTTCTCCGATTCTCCGGAAAATCAGAGGGATTCTCTATATATATATAACGATTATTTCAAGCAGTAAAAGAATATGATTGTTCTAAGTTATTGGAGAGAATCTAATCGAACAACTCTACTTCAACGAGCCGCCCTTTGGTACTGTATCACTGTATGCGTATGAGAAAAACCTACGTGCCAAATTTGGAAATGACAGCTGGCACTATCCTTCTTTCTCTCCCAAAATTAAATGGAAATTTTCCGTGTATGTAACAATGGAAAAATAAACTCAGCTGGCTTTTATTTTGGTAACCACAGAAATATATAAAATGTTTAAACAAAACTATCAAGAATATTATCTTGTGTTTAACATAGGACTGCATCGATATATGAACGAAATTGTTACCACCGTACACGATGCCATGTGATGTAGCTACGGATTGGGCAGAAGAACAAACAAATAATGGATAGGAAAAACAAAATACTGAAAAGTAGTTAATGGTGTTGAAAATTCTGTTAAACAAAGAAATAGAAAAAAGAAAAGAAACGTCAGCAGAACTTGATGCGCAAGAAACGACAATCTCCAAAACATGTGATTCACTAACATTGCTGTGGAGCGCAAGAAAAGGACGTCATAATATTCGATGACTGTGATGGGCCGTATTGTCAGGAATGACGGACTCAAAGACAGCCGGCCCAAAACTCATTTCCCCCGACAATTTATTGTCCAATAATAACCCATTCATCGCAGATGATTTAATATCATGTTGGGTTTTATGAAAGTTGGGTTTTATGAAAGCCCAACCTATTTCCCACTTTCATTCATATTATCACAAGAATCAGTTGAAAAAACATAAACCTCTGACAAAAATGCTATTGAACATGTGGCTATGGTACTCAGGTATCGTTCTTCGTAATTTCTTGAGAAATATAAAAACAAAAGTTTCGATCCAGAATTTTGTTAGGCACACTGAAAGTTTGTGAAACGTGAGAGCTGTACGAGCACGACGATATAACTCTAACTAAGGAGAAACAAAACAATAGAAGCGCTGTTTGGTAACAACAACAGGGATTTGTCAAACAATTGATCACCTTTGTTATTGGAAAAAAATTATCATTGCATATTATATTATTCTTCGAGGGTTTTATTGTTCAGTATATAAAGAGATGACAGTGATGATAGAAATGGATATATAAATATACGTATATATAATATATATCTCAAAACATATTTGTTATTTTTTCTAAACAATAAGAAATTTTTTTTTGATTTTTTTCACCCTCTCCGACCTCCTCCATGCCTCACACCCGGTGGGTTGTGTCTGGCGTTAGCCGATGGCTCGTCGTAGTCATTGGTGCTCACCATCATTAATGATCTACCTCTCGCCACCATCTTTATATTTTCTGTTATGCATGCAATTCAAAATATATATTACGAAGCAAAAACTTATCACGAATACATACAATTAAATAATTACTAAACGCGCGATATGTTAAAACCACGGTTGAATAATATAGGACGAAAAGCTATAGCTATCTAGCTCGACACACATGTATCACGGATCAATCAGCTATCTGACTATATACGAGATATAAACCTGTGTTATTAAAATGATAATTGATCATTATAATCGAAGAGACTGGGGTACTAATACTATTTTGGATTTAAAAACTCTTATTTTTTCCTCTTTTATCGTATGTGGATCAGTAGATGAGATGATGATGAGCCTAATTACCTGAAAATGAAAAACCGAGTCGAGCCGAAGAGACGATCGAAAGTGCAAAGAAGATGCATAAACACAACCGAATCATAGAACAATACCCCATCCTCTCCAATTTCTCCTTCTCCCTTCTCTTTCTCTTTCTCTTTCTCTTCTCTCTCTCTCTGTCTTTCCTCTCGTCACCTCTCCTTTTATATACGCAAAATTAATGTTTTGATTTACTTTAGTTTGAAACTAATTAACTTTCCAAATAAAATATTATTTGGACAGTGCTAAACAACGGGGATATTCCTATTTATTTACAAGGTTGACTCTACAAATCTTATCTTGAAATGTATAACATTTTAAAGGAATTAGGGATCTGATGTTTTAGGGCACAATACTTTTTCAAAAACATTTTGATAAAAGGTTGGTATAGAGAGACCTGTAAAGGCATGTCGTTGGAATATTCATGATATTGATAGTCTATCTACTTGTACTACATTTTATGTACCTAAATATTGGATATATCTTGTGTTTGATTGAATCAACGCTTGTCCATAAATAAATCAGCGTAACTTTTCTTTTTCTAGCTAAATATGAAAATAACACTTTCTTAATGGCCACAGTATTGTTTATTCCGTCTAATCTTTCTTCTAACTTATCTCTTTGAGCCTTTGAGGAGATCAATTCGAATAAATAAAAGATATTAGTGAATTAATTTGGCTATAAAATTCAAAATCGAAACACAGAACCTGTTTCGGATGTCCCAACAGCAGCTTATATTTAACACGTGGCATCGTCTTATTGGATGTATGAGTTGACTATTGCAGACAAATTGTGGATTCCACACACTGCTAAGCTAACAGTTCACACAGAAGCGAAGCGAACATGTGTTGCATGGGCCGCTGACTTATAGGCACCGTCCGTTACAAAAAGTCAACGTCTGTATTTTTTTTTAACGTCTATTCATCTATTGTGTGTGTGTGTTTCTGGCTAAAAAAGGATTTGGGGGTTTCCTGATCACTTTAGAAACGAATAGTTATGACGATCATGTGGGGATTTTATGTCATGGCTGATGATATCCTTTTTTGGTCGACGTCAGACTAATAGTTTAGTAAAGTCATTGCGTATTTTCTTTAGTTGTAAGTTGACATTGACTAGAATTTAATACTTTATCTCACAGCAAAACAATTTTAATATCGGAACGAGGGTGGTAATCTATTTAATTTTCTTTCATATTTCGAACCAAAACTCATACCGAACCGTTTAATTTTTATAGATAAATCGGTTATTCTAATTATCATTTTTGGTTAGGAGATATTCGTATCATTCAAGAAATTAAAACTTTGAAATGGCAGTTGAGTGACTTCTGTTGATGCGGGGAAACTATATATGTTCGTGATGATACACATATGTAGGTACACATGAGTTTCTCTAGCTATCATACCTTACATAAAAGGAAAGATATATCCATCTTATCCAAGGCTGGCCCAAGGCGTAAAAAGTTACTGCGAAAGAATTATTCAAAGCCTTTCTCAAGAAAACTAATTTCTCTAATTGTATTTTTATGTTGTTTTCTATTTTAACGTGAGAATTTACAATTTTGAAAGTGCCTACTAAGTTCTCGATATATAAGTTGAGGGAAAGAATTATATTTACCATTCTAGAACGAAAAAAGAAGGGCTCTGAATCTTCGTTAGGTCAGAGAATCAAACTCTTCGGATAAGAGCTTGTAGTGAGGATGGCACAATGATGCAGAGGAACAATCACATTCTTCAAAACCACTTAAAGACATTAACCAACCATAAAAACAAGATAGCACGTCCGACTAAACAATAAGACACAAGAGCAACAAACAATAGTTTTTGAATCCATGCCTAAATTTCTCTTAACACAGACGAGTACAGACACTTGCCTAAGGATAATAACGAATAGCTGAGTAATCAACAATCATCGTTTTTTGAATCCATATTTCTTACGTTCATAGAAGAGATCAGTTTTGGCACTCCCAAGATTGACAATCTTCGGACAGCCATCTCTATCTTTCTCCTGTTGTGTACACTCTTTGCAGTAGTAAGCATCTGAGATTCCAACCCCTCCGCATATGACACACCTTCCCTGGAATGAACCATAGTTGCATTCATCACAAATCCTAACCAGCGTACAGGGGCGCACATAGGAATCGCATATTACGCATTTGCCATCACATTTCTCGCACAATCGCCCAATGGCAATGCCTGGTTGTTTCCGGCACATGATCAAATCAGGATGATGCTTGGCCATGGCTGCTAAAACAACTTTCTTGCTCCTCTAGTAAGATTTTTTGACCTGCTACAAGATTGGTTCACAAAGTAAAGAAAACAGTTGTCAATACTAGTAATAGCACGCACGCATCTCCTTCACCAGAATTAGAATGAAAAAAACTGAATATTCCCTTCATGTAAATCTCATGTAAATCTATATTTATCTTTCATATCTGCTTTAATGTAAATGATTAAGTATGGCATTTAAACGATGAGACAGAAAGGGTGGCAAAAGCAAAAAGGTTAATTACCAAAGAGAAAAGAAACAGATGAACAAAGCGTAAATTATTGATAAAGGAAAGCTTTTTGATTTTTCACTCTTTCATTTCTCAGAGGAATTTCAACGAACACTTAGCAAGCAGCAGTTCTATTTACAAGTTCCACTCGAATAGAAACGCTTTGAAAGCCAATTCTAGCTAGCCAATTCTAGCTAACTCAATGCAACGAAAGTAAATCCATTGTGAAGTGAACGAAGAAACAAAAAAAAAAAACTTCTTTTTATTTTTTTTATTTTTCCCACACCTGATTCGAAGCTTTACTTTATTCTTATTGGATTTTCTTACAAATAGAGTTTACATATAGAGTAGTGTAATAAGACTCAACCGAAACAATCAAACAAGTGGTTTGGGAGTGTGTAACAGAATAACAATAATAATGTTGGCCGGAGGCAAACAATATGGAAGAAGAATCATCATCATTCATCAAGCCTTGGATGTAAGGATCTCGTGTACGGCCGTCCAAGTCCCGGTCACTGCTATAGTAAGACCGATGAGGAAAACAAGAACGTCAACGACCACTCTTGCAATGCTCAATTCGTTTTTGAAAGCCTGCAAATGAAAAAGCGAAGGCAATACGAAACCCAGCACCACGCAGACGCTGCTCCCGACCAGAGACAAGAAGTCTGCGAAATTAGGGACGAGGAGGGCCACGAGGGTGACCACCAGCACAGTGGCCCAGCGCACCCAGACGGAGTAAGAGGAGTTGCAGAGACGGCGCTCTATGACCTCATAGACAGGATGCATCATGAGGGGAAATGTGAAAAAGAGGTTGATTGCTAAGCCGAGCTGCACCAGAGTGCTCACCACTCCTGTCCCAAGGTTTGTGGTGATGATGTCTCTAGTCTCGTCACCGTAAGCCATGTACCCTAAGAGCCCGAATGCTCCGTACATGATGGAGATTAAGCCCATGGCTAGCCCCAGGGCTCTACCGAACTTGTCTTTGTATTTGGCCTCGAGTTCAAGCGGCAGCACCATTCCGATCCCTTCGAAAGCGTACACAGCGACTCCCAGTCCGTAGAAGAAAACAGAGAAGCCTCCAAAGACTCTCAAGGGAGGTCTTTTTTTGAGGAAGATGAAAACATCCTGCACCATAACCACCAACGTAGCCGCCACGTCGACGATGTCGGCGAATATACTCAAAGGAGCGAGATGAGTGAGTGTAGGGATGGAGTTGAGACCAAGCTGAAAGGGGAAACATCCCCAAATGTAAATGGAGGCAGGATCGAGCCCTAGGATATGATCTGTGCCGCGGCTGAGGAGATTAGCCATTGTGGTGGCGACGAAGATGAGGTAACTGACGCAGAAGCCTGACTGTGAGAGGACAAGCATAACATCGACGACGAGACGGCCGGCGGGTCCGCTGACTGATTCCCCAAGATCTCCGAAGGAAGTGATGCTGGAGAAGCCGGATTGGGACTCGAGTTTGCGGCGAGTGTGGACGAGGAGCATCATACAGAAGAAAGTGAGGGAGGCAACGAAGAAAAGCGTGAGGAGCCCTAAAAGCCATCCGGTCTTCTTGAAGGTGTAGGGGAGCCCCAGCACGCCGGCTCCGACGATGGCGATGAAGACATTCGCGAAGGTCTTTGGCTGCGATGACAGTGTTCGAGGACCCAATAGAGGAGTATCTTCCCGAGGCAGAGATTGGGTGGACGATCCAGATTCCTGATGGTACCCCATGCCCAAACAAAAAAAAACTTCTTGTTCCCAAAAACAAAAAAAAAAAACAAAAATTCGCTGAGTCAACTACAGAACGATTTAAGTTCAAAACTCACTCTACATAAACGTACACATCAATAGACCAGAGATGATAAAAATTAAAGCTGTTTGAGCTCAAACGAAACGGAGCCGCTCGCTCAATAAGAAATATATATATACCACAACCATTAAGAATTCAGAGAATCGTAAACCGAAAACAGAGTCTAATTAACGCAAAATCAAAGTAAAAGAATAACAAAAGAGAGGAGGATCTAACCTGATCCCGAAGAAGAAGGAGAAGAAGACGAAGCAGGTGTCCCCCAACAAGTAAGGAACTAGCAATCCCAGATATGAAAAACGAGGCTGTCCTGTGACTCTGGAAATCAAAAAGAACCGGGTCGGGTTCTAGAATATTCATATCCATGTTAGTCCCACTATTATGGGCTATCTGACGATGGGCCTTCTTTCTAAAGGCTTACTTAATTAGGTTTTCTTCTATTTTCTTCAATTTATTGTCCAAAATAACCCATTACTCTCAGATGATTTATTGTCATGTTGGGTTTATGAAAGCCCAATTTACTTCCCGCTTTCATTCACATTATCGCAAGAATCAGTTGAAAAACATAAACCTCTGACAGAAATTCTATTGAAATACTCAAGTATCCTTCTTCGTAATTTCTTGAGAAATATAAAAAAAGGTTTCGATCCAGAATCTTATTAGGCACACTGAAAGTTTGTGAAACGTGAGAGCTGTACGAGCACGACGATATAATTCTAAGGGGAAACAAAACAATAGAAGCTGTTTGGTAAACAACAGGGATATGTCAAACAATTGATCACCTTTGTTATTGGAAAAAAAATATTATCCACCCCTAATCAAGTTTACACACACTCCATTCATTATCATTAAGATCAACAGATACAAATTGAAGTGTACATTATCTGTTTATTAATTTATCAGTACATATAAAAAACAAAAAGGTAATAGTGCATATTATTCTTCGATGGTTTTATTGTTCAGTATATAAAGAGATGACAGTGCTAAATTGCTAATAGAAAATGAGTATTAAAGTATACGTATATATTATATATCTCAAAACATTTTTGTTACTTTTTCTTAACAATAAGAAAACAATTTTTGATTTTCTTTTTTCACCCTCTCCGACCTCCTCCATGTCTCCCACCCGGTGGGTTGTGTCTAGCGTTGGCCGATGGCTCGTCGTAGTCATTGGTGCTCACCATCATTAATGATCTACCTCTCGCCACCATCATTTCATTTTCTGTACATGCATGCAATTTAAAATATATATATTACGAAGCTAAAACTTATAACGAATGCATAAACTTAAATAATTGCTAACGATATGTTAAAACCACGGTTGAAAAATATAGGACGAAATACTCTAGCTATCTCGCTCGACACACATGTAACGGGTTAATCGGCTATTTGACTAAATACGAGATCTTAAACTGTGTTATTAAAATGATGATTGATCATTATAATCGAATAGACTGAGGTACTATTGTGGATTCCAAACTCTTTAATTTTTCCTCTTTCATCGTATGTGGATAGGATGATGATGAGTCTAATTACCTGAAAATGAAAAACCGAGTCGAGCCGAAGAGACGATCGAAAGTGCAAAGAAGATGCATAAACACAGCCGAATTATAGAACTATAACCCATCCTCTCCAATTTCTCCCTTCTCTTTCTCTTTCTCTTTCTCTTTCTCTCTATCTGTCTTTCCTCTCGTCACCTCTCCTTTTATATACGCAAAATGTTTTGATTAACTATAGTGTGAAACTAACTTTCCAAATAAAATATTATTTGGACAGTGCTAAACAACGGGGATATTCCTATTTATTTACAAGGTTGACTCTACAAATCTTATCTTGAAATGTATAACATTTTAAAGGAATTAGGGATCTGATGTTTTAGGGCACAACAATCTTCAAAAACATTTTGATAAAAGGTTGGTATAGAGAGACCTGTAAAGGCATGTCGTTGGAATATTCATGATACTGAGGTCTATCTACTTGTACTACATTTTATGTACCTAAATATTGGATATATCATGTGTTTGATTTAATCAACGCTTGTCCATATATAAATTAGCATAGCTTTTTTTCTAGCTAATTAAATATGAAAATAACACTTTCTTAATGGCCACAGTATTATTTATTCCGTCTAATCTTTCTTCTGACTTATCTCCTTGAGCCTTTGAGGAGATCAATTCGATTAACTAAATGATATTAGTGAATTAATTTGGCTATAAAATTAAAAATCGAAACGCAGGACCTGTTTCGGATGTCCCAACAGCAGCTTATGTTTAACACATGGCATCGTCTTATTGGATGTATGAGTTGACTATTGCAGACAAATCGTGGATTCCACACTGTTAAGCTAAACAGTTAACACAGAAGCGAAGCGAACATGTGTTGCATGGGCCGTTGACTTATAGGCACCGTCCGTTACAAAAAGTCAACGTCTGTATATTTTGTTTTTTAACGTCTATTGTGTGTTTTTTTTGTTTTTCTTTTCCAAATAAGGGATTTGGGGGTTTCCTGATCAACTTTAGAAACGAATATTTCTGACGATCATGTGGGGATTTTATGTCATGGCTGATGATATCCTTTTTTTGGTCGACGTCAGACTAATAGTTTAGTAAAGTCATTGCGTATTTTCTTTAGTTGTAAGTTGACATTGACAAGAATTTAAAACTTATCTCACATTAAAACGATTTTAATATCGGAAATCAATTTGTTGGATGAAAATTTCACCGACCCATCAGTTCCGACTCAAAAACTCATAAGTGGTATTGTGGTGTAAAGGACTTTTTGGTGAACTTGTATGTTGAATTAAGAAAATGCATCAGCAAGCCTGATTTCTTTAGGTTTCTAGTTATTTGTTCTCTATTTTAACGTGAGAATTTACAATTTCAAAATTGCCTACTAAGTTCTCGATAAGTTGAGTGAAAGAATTATATTTACTACCATTTTAGAACGAAAAAACGTAGGGCTCTGAATCTTTGTTAGGTCAGAGAATTTAACTCTTCGGATGAGAGCTTGTCGTGAGTCGTGACTCGTGAGGATATGACGCAGAGGAACAATCACATTCCTCAAAACCACTTAAAGACAGTAACCAACCATAACAAGATAGCACGTCCGACTAAACAATAAGACACAAGATCAACAAACAATAGTCTTCGAATCCAGGCCTAAACTCCTCTTCATCGGATAAATTCTCTTAACACAGACGAGTACAGACACTTGCCTAGGATAATAACTGAGTAATCAACAATCATCGTTTTTTGAATCCATATTTCTTACGTTCATAGAAGAGATCAGTTTTGGCACTCCCAAGATTGACAATCTTCGGACAGCCATCTCTATCTTTCTCCTGTTGTGTACACTCTTTGCAGTAGTAAGCATCTGAGATTCCAACCCCTCCGCATATGACACACCTTCCCTGGAATGAACCATAGTTGCATTCATCACAAATCCTAACCAGCGTACAGGGGCGCACATAGGAATCGCATATTACGCATTTGCCATCACATTTCTCGCACAATCGCCCAATGGCAATGCCTGGTTGTTTCCGGCACATGATCAAATCAGGATGATGCTTGGCCATGGCTGCTAAAACAACTTTCTTGCTCCTCTAGTAAGATTCTTTGACCTGCTACAAGATTGGTTCACAAAGTAAAGAAAACACTTGTCAATACTAGTAATAGCACACACGCATCTCCTTCACCAGAATTAGAATGAAAAAAACTGAATATTCCCTTCATGTAAATCTCATGTACAAAACAACGATGACTATGTTAATATGTAAATGATTGAACTTGCAAATGAACAGACGACCAAGTGGCAGAGATATGGGGATTCCTCGGGTTACATTGTATAGCACATTGTTCCAACACAAATTCGTCTTAAAGCTATGTAATACAAAACTAAATCCACACAAGTATGGCATTTACACGATGAGACAGAAAGGGTGGCAAAAGAAAGAAGGTTAAATACCACGACAAAAGAAACGGATGAACATAGTGTAAATTATGGATGAAGGAAAGCTTAGTACCACGAGATTTCAAGATTTTGATTTTTCACACTTTTATTTCTCAGAGGAATATCAACGAACACTTACCAAGCAGCAGTTCTATTTACAGTTACACTCAAATGGAAACGCTTTGAAAGCCAATTCTAGCTAACTCAATGCAACGAAAGTAAATCTATTGTGAAGTGAACGAAGAAACAAAAAAAAAAAATACTTCTTGTTCAAAAAAACAAGGGAAACAAAATTTCGCTGAATCAATTACAAAACGATTTAAGTTCAAAACTCACGCTACAAAACGTACACATCAATCGACCAGAGATGATAAAAATTAAAGCTGTTTGAGCTCAAACAAAACGGAGCCGCTCGATAAGAAAACATATATACCACAAGCATTAAGAATTCAGAGAATCATAAACCGACAAAAAAATTATAATTAACGCAAAATCAAAGTATAAAAATATAACAAAAGACAAGAGGATCTAACCTGACCCCGAAGTAGGAGAAGAAGACGAAGAAGGTGTCAACAAGTAAGGAACTAGCAATCCCCGATATGAACAAAGAGGCTGCCTCTGGAAATTAAAAAGAACCGGGTCGGGTTCTAGAATATCCATATCCATGTCGGTCCGACTATTATGGGCTGTTTGACGACGGGCCTGCTTTTTAAAGGCTTGCTTATTTAGTTTTTCTTGTATTTTTTAAGCTTTTTCTCGCAACTTAATGAGATTCACGTAATCATCATATTCTTTTTTCATACATGGAAGGTTTTATTTATTTTGAATGGAAAATTTCCATATTTTTAAACGCTAAATAAAAGAAGAACAAAAAAAATACAAATCACTTTCCTTGACTTTTTTCCTTGAAATTTTCCAAAAAAGAAAAAAAAAAACTGGAAGAGTACCAAAAAGCGGAGTTGAGAAAAAAAGAAGAAGAAGAAGAAGAAGCGGAAAAATGGACTGTGGCGGTGGAATCGTGATTTGAAAAGTCAAAGATGAGGATAGTGGTAACGTTTGACCTTGAAGCAAAATGACCACCGATTGGCCACGGAGAAAGAAAAGGAGACTTGTCTTCTATTTATTCATCTTTTTCTCTCTCGTTGACACCAACAGAAATTCAAACGACCTCAATTACACATAACGAACAATCATCTACGAACACACAAAACAAAATCTATCAGCAGAAAATTTCAAAGTTTCTACGAAACGATGTCGTTGTCCGTTGCCGTTTGCAACTCGCCGGTGTTCGCCCCGTCCTCGTCTCTTTTCTGCAACAAAGCGTCGAACATCTTTCCGGCGCATGAAACCCTAACACTATCTCGTTCCCATATCAATCCTCCGTCTGCTTCCGCTGCGTCTCCCACATCGCCCTTCTGTCTCCGCCTACTGAAACCGCCGGCTAAATTAGGATCTGGATCGGACTCTGTTCCCGGAGCCTGTAACCGACATTCGCCGCCGGTAAGCGTTTTGAAGAGGAAACGACCGACGAGGATTGATATACCGGTGGCTTCGGCGGGTATTGTAGCTCCGGTCTCGGTGAATGAAGAGACGCCGGGTGAGGAAAGTGGAGAGATGGAGAGGGATGGTGATGGGTTTTCGGTTTATTGCAAGAGAGGAAGGAAAGAAGCTATGGAGGATCGCTTCTCTGCCATCACCAATCTTCGAAATGATCCCAATCAGGTAACTGATCAATTTTCCTATGTTATTTCGAATTTCACACTGATCATCGCCTAATTATTAGGAAATGCGATTCGAATATGTAACATATATATATCGATTTCTTTTGTGGTATGTGTCAGATAAGTGGAATTTTAGATTTTCGAATCAAATTAGAAGTTCTACAAAACAATTGTTTAATAAATATTAGTGAATCATATAAAAAGAAGTTGTACAAGTGTACGTAGCTATTGGATCTTAAACGTTGTTAGCTTTTTTTTTTTTATTCAAATTTCAGGCGATATTTGGAGTCTACGATGGTCACGGAGGATCAAGAGCGGCTGAGTTTGCGGCTAAGAACTTGTGTAATAACATTATAAAAGAGATAGTTAGCGAGAGGAACGAGTCAAAGATTGAAGAAGCTGTAAAACGCGGTTACCTAGCGACTGATTCTGAGTTTCTCAAAGAGAATGACGTCAAGGGCGGCTCGTGCTGCGTCACGGCTCTGATCAGCGACGGGAATCTCGTGGTGGCCAATGCCGGTGACTGCCGTGCTGTTTTGAGCGTTGGAGGTTTTGCAGAGGCCCTGACTTCTGACCACCGTCCTTCCAGAGACGATGAACGGAACAGAATAGAAAACTCGGTAAGAATTCTTGCCTTCATATAAAAAGAAATGATTTTTTCTAGATCCTTTTTCTGAAACTTATGATTGATAATGTTGCAGGGTGGATATGTGGATACATTTCACAGTGTTTGGAGAATCCAGGGATCTTTAGCGGTATCTAGAGGAATCGGAGATGCTCATCTCAAGCAATGGGTAATATCTGAACCAGAGACAAAGGTTCGCCGAATAAATCCCCACCACGAGTTCTTGATCTTAGCGTCAGACGGTCTATGGGACAAGGTTAGTAACCAGGAGGCAGTAGACATAGCTCGACCGTTCTGCATAGGAACCAATCATAAGCAGAAGCCATTGTTAGCCTGTAAGAAGCTCGTTGACCTCTCTGTTTCACGAGGCTCATTAGACGATATCAGTGTGATGATAATTCCTCTGTCTCGCTTCATCTGACCGTTAGATAAATTATAAATGTAGAGATAGGAAAGCAATTTTAGACGTGTTTTAACTTCATTCAGATATTTTATTTGTTAGGAAACTCTGTGATTGTGTATATACCGTATCGTAGCATGTTTATTGTACACAAACAAAAATCCAAAACTTGATGCCACAACAATTTTTGTAAACCATTGGGTTTTTTTTTTTTTGGATGTTTAATTGATTTAACATTTCATCTATCTGTCGTTGAAATCTCATGACTTTTTGTTTTGAACGTTTATCACAAAATCCGTAGAAACGCATGAGTACTTAACATAACACAGGACACCACTAATGTACACCAATATATTAGCTATTAAATTGATCATAGAAAAAAAAAAAAAAAAAAACAGAAAGTCAAGTTTAGTACGGTATTAAGTACAGTGTCATTGTCTTTAGGTTGTTTTCCAAGTGGATTCTCGTATACATGTAGTTTAGAAAATATGGTATGGGGCCCAAAAATCTCCAAATAATATCTTATCGTTTGGACATTTATAGTAATTTATTCACACAAAAGAATATAAGAAAAATTGAAAATATGTTGCCCTAAGACGATACTGAACAAGTGGTGAACCGTTAAAATAGCACTTCACGTTCGTGGAAGGTTAAAGATTTGCCAGACAAACAACAAACAAATGGATTAGCTCGCTGCGGGCCTGCGGCGGATTTTTTTGTTTATATAATTTCGAATAATTCAAAGATCGGGAAAATACTATAATATACTAATCAGCAGTTCGTTTCTGTCTTCTTCTACCTTCTTTATCCAACTCGTCTCCGTGATATCTTTGGATAACGTTTTCGAGTAAATTCTTATGCTTCATGATCCAAACGACACATAATTTAGTTTTTTGTTTTTTTATTTATTTTCCAACTATGCGTGGAGGATGATCAAGCACGTCAATTCCCAATATCTGTGTTCAGACAACTGGAGAACATCAACCAACGGTTTCATGCCACGTAAGCTTCCAAATGGACCACCGTTTTTAAAATCTACCCCTTTCGGCAACCTCTTCCCTCATCTCTACCCGCTTTTGACCATTCCGGATATTTATTCGGATATCCTCTACTACTACTATATATGCGTGCATATCATGTTACTGTGCACCCTTACCTTCTTACGTATATTTGTAGTAATTAATTACGAAAAAATAAATTAATTTGATTTGATGTAGCTGTACGTATGATTGGCCAGACATGGTTTGGATTCATGAATCCAATTGACAATGATTTGTACGTCACTACCATATATTCCTGTCTGATCATGTAAGAGTGAGTCAACCGAATAGCACATCAACAAAAAAAGTCAATAGATCAAGGGTTCCAAATCTGTTGGCACGTTTTGTTCATTTGCTTAACTTTAACCCCAAAAAATTATGTTGAGGTTATACAAACGAAAACGAATGCGTGAAGCGAGAGGCAGTGATTTATCCTTTGGGGAGTAAAAAAGTGGACAAAATCAAACAGCAACTTGATTCTTGTTGGATAAGGGTTAAGGAGGAAGGGCAAGTGCGTTGTTACTGACAAACGTCCCGAGAACGTATCCAAGTGTCATGAGTGGCATCATGAGACATTTTCTTCTAATTACTAAATTAATTTCTCTGATTTATTGCATCTAAGTCATTCGATCAACGTAAAATTATGCATGGACTCCAAAATTTAGAAATAAATCTTTATACATGGTAACATGTAGATAGATTCGAACAAGATAGAGAATTTGTGCCAAAAAATCTAATGATAGACTTGAGAGTTTGTGTTGTACATGACATGTCCACGTGGGATTTTTTTTTTTTTTTTTTTAAAAGACGAGACTTTACAAATCACAAAGACAAGTGTACAAGAATTGTCCATGTCAGAAACAAAAAAACAATTGCAACTTTATTTCACGTTCACATTTTCTGTTTTACAGCTTCAAAAAAAAACACATATAAATAGCTTCGTGTTCCACAAGGATGACATGAAAGTTAGCACACATGGAGAAACAGAGCATTAAAAACACTTCTTCTTCTTCTTCTTCTTCTTCTTCGATGTCATCTTCTTGGGTTAGAGGTACTTGCGTCGGAAGAGGTTGTTTCGGAGCAGTTAGCACGGCGATCAGCAAAAGCGACGGTGGAGTTTTCGCCGTGAAGTCCGTGGATCTCGCCACGTGTCTACCCACTCAGTTAGAGTCTCTCGAGAACGAAATCTCCTTCCTCCGCTCACTCAAGCCTCACCCTTGTATCGTGCGGTTCCTTGGCGACGGAGTCTCGAGAGAAGGAACGACGTCGTTCCGGAATCTCCACTTAGAGTTTCTTCCAAAAGGCGACGTGGCTAGTTACGCCGCCGGAGGAATCGACGAGACTCTTCTCCGTCGTTACACAACGTGTCTAGTCTCTGCTCTCCGCCACGTCCACTCGCAGGGATTCGTTCACTGCGACGTCAAGGCGAGGAACGTCCTCGTTAGCCGGATGAGCTCCGTGATTAAGCTAGCGGATTTCGGTTCAGCGATCAGATTCGGAAACCCGACGGCGACGGCTGAGATCACGCCACGTGGAAGTCCTCTTTGGATGGCTCCGGAGGTGATCAGACGAGAGTACCAAGGGCCGGAGAGCGATGTCTGGTCGCTTGGCTGCACAGTCATCGAGATGTTCACTGGTCAAACTCCTTGGGAAGATCTCGGGATTGACTCGCTGAGTCGAATTGGTTTCTCTGTCGAGTTACCTCTTTTCCCTGCGACGCTGTCGGAAAACGGACGCGATTTCTTGGGAAAGTGTCTGAAGCGAGACCCGAAACAGCGGTGGAGTTGCGATCAGCTTTTGCAGCATCCATTTCTGTCTCAGTGTCAAGACTCGTTTCTCACTGAGTCATCTCCGCGTTGCGTACTCGACTGGGTTAACTCGGGGTTCGAAATAGAAGAGGAAGAGGATGAAGCAGAGAGAAGCGAGTGGAGATCCGATTTGGAAATCGCGGGGAGGGCAAGGATTTGTAAATTGGCGACGACCGGAGGGGTAAATTGGGAATCGGATGGTTGGGTGGAGGTTAGAAGCCACGCTTCGGAAGAGGAAAGGGCAACGACGGAATATTCGGAATCTATAATGACAGAACCTGAATATAACACATCGTACGATGACGTGGCTTATGACTCGGCGAGAAGTGACGTCACTATGTATCCGAATAGACCGCCGGGAAACCGGGTATCGGCGGCGGCGCCGCCACATGAACTAGTGATGATTTTACATTTATTAATGGAAATCATGGTTTATTCTACAAGTGTGTCTGCGGATATAACTATTCTCATTATTTATTGTTGTTATCAATATCATCGTGATAATAATAACAAGGAACTGGAAATGTTGTCTTTTAATCTCAGCATCGATTTTTGTTTGTTTGTTTCTCTACATGTGATTCGGATCGGACGAAACTATCATTTACGCGGTGAGATTGAGTGTCCTTATTCGGGACTGTTGCTCCAAATATTTGCTCCTTTTTTTAACCACGAATTTATTTTGGCCTAAAGCCATAATTTTTTACTTGGGATGATGGAAACCTAAACAAGTTTAATTTAGACTTCTATTCATCTCTGATGCTCAAGGGGTTGCAGAGACTTCGGTTTTGTTTTTTTTTAACGGAAGATAATTCATTATTTAAAAAAGAAAAAAAAGATAATTCTGATATAATGTAAAAAAATAGAAATTAAGTACTGTACAGAGCCGTGCCCAAGATTTTAGAACACGTAAGTAGTATTAAAAAAAAGACTCTATTTAACTATCAACGTCTAAAATTCATATAACATCAATATGATTCATATAAAATAAATAATAACCAAAATCGTTCTAAATTATATAAAATCAATCATATATAAATAATTCTCATAATTGTTTTTAAATTCACAAAACTATAATAAATATCTATGATATAAAATTTGGTTTAATCTAAACTTTCGAATCATACTTCTTTGAAGTTGATAAATGAACCAATTATTTAAGTTTTTGTTTGTAATTTAATCTAAATTACAAATCAACCAAATCTAATATTAGATAAAAAAATTATATTAAAAAAAATTCAAACTAAATCTAATATTAGATAAAAAAATATATTGAAAAAATTCTTAACTTTTAATTTATACTACATGAACAAATGTTATCTTACTAATATATGAAAACTAATAATTTTAATTAAAAAATTAGACCCTTTAATTATTTTTTTTAAAAATGACCCGTAGGCAAATGTTTATTATTGTTGTACATAAAATGCTACTATATATATATATATATATATTAAGATATATACTAAAATGGTAAACAATTGCCACCAATTCGGTTACTGGGGAAATACAATCATACAAATACTAATATTTCCAATAATGGTTTTAAAAATGACGTGATGCTTGTGTTGTTATAACCCTAAACAAACTTGTAAATAAAATTTCGACGCAATGGCAAAATTAAACTTCTTTACGTGAAGTTCCAACACTTAAAAATAAACCATTCAAAGTTCATATAGATTTTTCTTGGAAGCAATTATAAATGATAACATTTGTATATAACGAACAGATAGTGAATTTAGATAAAATGATGAAATATTTTTAAATCAAAATACTTTAGTTTTGAAATACGTCCATTATTTTGAAAACATATTGACCACAACAATAACTCAATGGAGCAAATCAGAATATTCAAATTGATAAAAACCAAATCCCAAATATCAAAACATTAAAACAACACCAGAACCATTATCAAGAGACTACTACATAGAAGGATAATTTTTCATTCATGTGACCAACGGCTAGATTCCAACCAAATTCCTTCAGTAGAATTCAATACTTAGCTCCTCGTTACCTTTTGGAAGTTCCATTAGTTTGTCCATTGCCACTTTTATCTCCAACTTGTTGTTTGCATAAATCGAAGACGTCTTGATCATCAACTTCTTCAACATCGTTCCTTGCATCACAAAACGTGAAGCTAACCAAAGTTCGCCCTTATTCAAGCCATTGAAGTTATACATCCACACTTCTTTTACGCGGATATCAGCTTTGAGGTTGAAATATTCCCCTTTCTTCTTTGGTGCTCCGTCATTAGAAGATTCACCTTCTTCCTTACAAACATTGTTATGCTATATATACAAGAGCATACATATAATAATCATGTTACATATCAGGTTTTATGAGGAATAGTGATAAAGAAGAGAAAATTGATCAACTACTCTATATCTAGCTAAAGCTGAAGCATAAAATGAATGTACCTTGAAGAAGATCTCGAGCTTTCTCACATCTCCACCCCACGCATCTAAAACTTCCTTTAGCATATAAACTTCTTTCTGATTCATCAAATCGACATTCACCGCAAAAGATGTAAAACATCTCAGATAGTAAGCATAACTCCTCACTGTGTATTCATGCCCACTGCTTTGGTTCCCCTTCGAGACATATAAGCAAATTAAACTTGTCAAACAATATGTTAATACCATTTTTGTTCTCTCTCTCTATAAATATATATATATATATGTAAATGCTGTTGGATGTGGTTGTACCTGAGCATAGCATGAAATGTTGTAGCTTATGTGAGGCATATATTCTGCTGCAACCCAAGAGTTTTTACTAAACTCAAGTATTCTAGGGGCTGCAAGCAGGAAATTATCCCTCGTAACAAAAGTACAGTTTATAGAGAAGATTTCCAGAAGAGGTGCAGACACATCAATGCAATCAATATAAGTGCAAGCCAGATGCAAGAGCTTTAGATTGTTGTTATGAATCTTCAAACAACCACGTTCGCTGAACCACGTGATATCTAGTACCAGCCACTTGAGGGAGGGGCACGATGCAAGGATTGTGTTGAACACACCAACCTCAGCGCAAATTTTCTCAAGTCTGAGAGTGATGAGATTATGGCAATTGTTGAAGGCATGTGCAAATTCTAAATCATATCGAAATAGGAAGAGTGATATTAGGGCTGGATGGGAGAATGTGTTTGGGGACAAGTAGAGCACATGACCTGGTCTCCAACGACGACTACGAATGTTGAAAAGTGCGAGATATTTGGTGTGTTTCACATGAGTCAGTGTTCGGATCCAAGTTTCGACCGTACCGTCTTTAGATTGGATTGAGAAATGTTTGATTTTGCAGCAATCCAGATAGCCATCGTGATTGTTTATAACCTTCAAAAGAAATACAAGACCTGCGATTAAAAAAACAACTACACACACACAAATATACGGTATAAATTGTCAATAAAAGCCAATTCTTATATATATATATATATATTATATCATACAACCATTTAAGAGATTATGTGTTTATAGATTCTCACTAACTATAATATTTATACATGTACAATCTATACTCACATTCAAATCTATTGATCATAAATTTTTAAGTTATTAATTAACTTTTTTTTTGTTTGTGCTTAATATCGTTATTTATTACTTTTGCGCGCAAAATACCATTATGATATTTTCACACGAGATATTGTTATCTGTTTTAGCTTGAAATAATTAGTTAAAAACATAAAATTTAAACACTGAAGAAAATAACCTTAGTTATCAGTTGAGCAATATGATCATGAGAACGATCGGCTAGATCAGATTTTTCAAACTCAATAGTTTTTCTCATATCAAAGTTGAGAAAAGGCATTTGCTTCCAAACACCTTCCCATCGTTTAGACAAAATACTTGTCTGGACTGCTTCTTCTGTGCACAATTCCCCAAGGATCTTGAGCAACACATGGTCCGGAAGTTTGCTGATCCGGTCAACTTGATCAACGCGCATCCTTTTTTCTCTTTTATCAGACGATAGTGATGATGGTGATGTGTCCACAGATGGGACTGATAATGATGCGAAAATGTTTGCTGGGAGAGACATGGAGAGAAGATATGATTTTGAGGAAAATAATACAGACAACAAAACTATTTGGAATTGTTGTTTTTATAAAAGTTTCAAACCCTTTAAATTAGTTGCCTTAATTTTTTTTTTCAAAATTGACATTTGATATAAAAGGAAAACAGTTTATTATTCAAATTGCATTCCTTCTTCACACATAATGTACAAAATAAAACATTATTTCTGGTCAAACAAAAACATTTGCAAATTAAACCAACTTTTTAATTACAAAATATAATTGTATGCAACTAGAAAAAAAAATTATATGGTTTTGATTAGGCTGTAGTCGCTGTACTTTGTATCAAAACAGTTGCTGTTTTTGGAAAATGAGTCTAAGAAGTCAAAACAGTTTTTTTTAGAATAATTTTTTTGTAGTCAAAATCCAAAAACAAATTTCCAAAAATAACATAAAATATTATATAAAGGTAATTTATTGATAAAACATTTAATTTTTCTTTGAAATTAAAATTGTAACAATAATTTTTCTAACAAATTTATAAAAGTTCAAATGCTTTTCATTTCAAATAAACATTTGTATCCTCATAATATTTTTAAACTAATATAATTGATATTTAAATATTTATATAATTTATGAAGAATTGAAAATTAGGATAAATACTATAATCATGTTAGGGTTGGGGCTTAAATGCATTCTGCCAACATTAAATATTGTATTTTCTCCATTTCTGTATATTTTAGAAAAACGGGATAACAGGGTCTTATCTGGGCCAAATATAAGAAATCGGCCCATTGGTAGCTTCAATTCGACGCGGTATAACTTTCAATTATAAAATGTCGCTCCTTTTTTCTATGTTGCAAAACCCCCAAATTCTCTCTCCCTCCCTCATACGCCGCATTGTAGCAAACAAGTGAATCTATGGCGACCAACGAACCCGAGCACGAGCACAGAGACGAGGAAGAGGCCGCAGCTAACGAGGATGAGGATACCGGAGCTCAGGTCGCTCCGATCGTTAGGCTTGAAGAGGTTGCCGTCACTACCGGCGAGGAAGATGAAGACGCCGTCCTCGATCTGTAAGTGTATTCTTAAATTGGTCTCTGCGTTTTTTGCGATCTATGTCAACTGGATCTGATCGAATGCTCTTGGATTATGCTTCGGTTGCTGCGCGATGTCTTGAGATTTTTGATTGAAATTTGTTTGTGAATCGAAGGAAATCGAAGCTATATCGGTTCGACAAGGATGCGAATCAGTGGAAGGAGAGAGGAGCGGGTACTGTGAAGCTCTTAAAACATAAAAATACTGGGAAGATTCGTCTCGTTATGAGGCAATCGAAAACTCTGAAGATCTGTGCTAATCACTTCGGTAAAATTTCTGTTTAGGGTACTTAATGTGACTTGAATTGCCTCTAGATCCGTATTTACGCCACTGTTTACTTATTTGATCTTCCCTCGTCGGAATTTCTGCAGTGAAACCGGGCATGACTGTTCAGGAACACGTTGGAAATGAAAAGTCTTGTGTATGGCACGCTCGTGACTTTGCCGATGGGGAACTTAAGGATGAGCTTTTCTGCATCCGATTTGCTTCAATTGAGAGTGAGTACGATTCTGGGCTGTACCTTTATTTTTTCATGTAGATTGGATCTTGTTACCACTTGTGTTGCCATTCCACATTTTTTTTTCTATGAATATGGCGACTGACTGACATATGCCATATCTTATACTAAGCTCCACATTTTGATTACCTACTTGTTTCATTTTCATTTATGCAAGTTGCGTTTGCTTTGCCTTATTTATTCCCAGTACATAGACTTACGTGCTTTAGATTACTAAGGATCTTGAACTTAGCTTTGGTATATGGCTACTTGTTTCGGAGGTTCTCAACTCAAAGCTGTCAATTGCTTGGGTTTTTTCCTTTCCACTGAGTATGTCACTCTCATCACTGTGTCTTTAAACTCGGTAGTAACACGGCATGCCTTATTGTCTTCAGGGGTTACCAAAAGAAGTATTGTTACTGTTAGATTATGCTAACATTGCATCGATCTTGAGGGAGTTAAGCATGTTGTTTAGGCTGCAACTAATATGATAAGCTAATTTGACATGATTTCCTGTTTGTTTTTCCGAGGGTGTATATTTGCAATGGTTACTGAGCTGTAAATCCCAAGTGTTTGTTGAGATGCATGGTAATAAAGTCTTATTTTCCATGTCAGATTGCAAAGCATTTATGCAAAAGTTCAACGAAGTTGCTGAATCTGAAGAAAAGAAAGAAGAGAGCAAAGATGCCTCCGATACCGCTGGTCTTCTTGAGAAGTTGACCGTAGAAGAGACAAAAACAGAGGAGAAACCCGTGGAGAAAGCTGTGGAGAAGGTGAAGACTGAAGTGGAAGCAGATGAAAAGAAAAACAGCGAGCCAGAGAAAGCTGATGATAAAAAGAAACCTGAAGAGGCTGGTCCCTCAACTTAAAGATGCATCATAATTTACGCTAGCAAATCCTGGCGAGGTAATGTAGCCTCCAAAGTGTTTTGATGCATTCATATGGAGTCTGCTTTTGTCTTGGCACTATCTGTCTATCTACACATGTGTTGTCGAGTCATATAAAGTGGTTGGGGAGGATCGCTTGAGGTCGCCTCGGGTTTTGCTGAGTCGTTTTGGGTCTATATTTTTGAGTCGTAAGTGCCGTCGATACGAGATATTCAGGAACAAAAGATCTTTAAAGTTGGTTATCTGAATGAGTTACATTGGATTCATTGTTTCAAGTTTTCTTATGGATCCTTTTTGGATAGTCTTTTTTTGAGAATAGAGATGGTGTTTGTCCATGGACAAGAGTCGTAAGTCCTACTTTTTTTTGTTATTTACAAAATTTAATGCATGTGATTTTCTTAAAATCTTCCGTTTTCCTTTTCACATATCACCTTGCACCTTGCAGTTCGATACTGTCTTAGCTCGAAGTTATAAAGTGTTACAATTTAATCCAAAATATATTAATATCAGTGTTACAATGAATACATATTAACTATCCGGCGAAATTTCCATTATACAGTTTGTAAGATCTGATATAATGTATACAGATTCGTAATTGTATTTATTTAACTATCCTTCAAAACATTAGGAAAAAAAGAAATTAAACAGCTACTGATTTGCAGAAAATACATGATATGAAGTTACTGATTTGGGGAAGATATATACTGCTTCTATATAGAAAAAAACAACAGATTTACAGAACAGTACTGCGAGTGCGATAAATCAAAGCCACTTGTCTATGCTCTATACCCAAAGGGGTAAGTCAAACTGTTCACGCGTCCAAGCTTTTAAATTTCCTCCTTTTTTTTTCCCAGCCCAAAAACTAAATATTGTCCCCACAAATTTACAAATATGGCAAAAACGAATTTGATCCGTTCATTCGTTCAATTCTCTTAAGATTTTTCTGAGCAGCTTCGTGACGAAACTACGTCAAAACAAGCAACCACTTGTGCCGCGTCTTATTTCTTCCTCAGGCCACTTTTATTGTTTCTGCAAGTTAAGAATTCAAACAAGGCCCTTAATATAAATAGATAGGTAGAGGGAAAAAGTGAAGAGACACAGATATAAAACAAAAAGAAACCGAGAGAAATGGGATTGGGAAGAACATCGTTGGTTTTATACATTCTCTTCATCCTTCATCTTCAGGACAATTTTCCTTCAGTTAGCTCACGAGCTTCATCAGTTGATAGGAAACACGAGACTCTTCCTTTCAATGCATCAAAGCCAGACGTTATTGGGTTTGCAGGAAAGACTCGGGAGCTAGCTGTCGTTATCAAAAGAAGAGGCGGTGGCGGTGGCGGTCGAACCCGATCAAGCGGTGGAGGACGTGTAGTTCCCGTTCATGCTGGTGGTGGTGGTACCGGTGGATCGCATCGTTCAAGCGGCAGCCGGAATCTTCGAGTGGCAGGGTGTGCGGTCGGTTGGTTGGTATTATCGGTTTTAGCCGGTTTATTCTTGGTATAGAAAGGTTAAGTATTTGTTGGCCGTATATTAATGTTTATTCTTGGTATATAAAAAGGTTAAGTATTTGTTGCACCACACACACTCATAACTACGGTAATAGAATACATTTTCAAAGTTATTCAAGACACGCAGTAGCGTTGGAGGATAAGAGTTGTGGAGCGGGGTTTTGGATGTCCGTCAAAAGCTATATCATGATCTTAGAAATCATGCCAGAGACTTCACTGTCCGAATCTAGACACCGCTGATATTCGAATTTCCGAGCATATCATAATAAATCTCATATCGGATTATGGATTATAATTTCAACACATCTGTATCCCATGCTTCCAAAGTTTTCAAAATATATGTGTGAAAATTGAAATACGTTTTAAGATTATGAACATTTTAAGGTTTTCTATTTTAATATAAAGAGCAAAATACGAGTAAGTGATTTATAGAGGTAACCTATATTATTATGAATTAATCCTTTAATATTTCGTAAACTATGAAATACCATCGTACGTGCAAAGGGGCAAACTTTGTTTTCTTTCTCATTTTTCTGGTTGCTTTTGAAGTAATTTCTCAGTGGACAAACAAAATATTATTATAGCCATAAAATTTTCAAGATAACTAAAAAAAGAATTTAGATGGTTTCGTTTTATTTATCCACGAATCATCTCCAAACACTTTTACCTTTAATATATTTCACATCGCTTTTACTCGTATTTTATGCCATGGTGGAGTCCTTCATAAAGTCTTTATTGTTTGAATATTAAAGGGTTTTAATAAATTTAAAATATTTAGTAAAGTTTTCTGAGCAGCTTCTAAATGAGACACTGAGACTACGTCGAAAGTGGTAACCACTTCTGCCGCGTCCTATTTCTCCCGCGTCCCTTTTTGTTTTCTGTAAGTAAAGTTAAGAATTGAAACCCAATGAATATATAAATATAGAAAGCAAAAGGAAAAGGAGAGAGGACACAGAACATAACAAAAATATAAAAATGGGATTGAGAAGAACATCGTTGGTTTTGTACATTCTCTTCGTCTTTCATCTTCAGCACAATTTTCTTTCCGTGAGCTCACGAACTTCCTCGGTTGCGACGAACCATGACACTCTTCCTTTCAATGCCTCCAAGCCAGGCGTTGCTGGGCTTCAAGGAAAGACTCGTGAGTTAGCTGTCGTAGGTGGCGGCGGCGGCAGCGGAGGACGTGGTGGCGGCGGTAGCAGCATGGGAGGAGGAGGCGGCGCTCGATCACGCGGCGGCGCAGGTATGATTTATCCGGGCGGATCGCATTCTCATCATTCAAGCGGCAGCATGAGTCTTCCAGGGGCAGCGTGTGCGGTTGCCTGGTTGGGTTTATCGATTTTAGCTGGTTTATTATTGGTTTAGTATTTGTTGAGGTCCGTTTTGGTTTGGTATGAACTTGATTTGTGCTGAGGGTAAGTTGTAGGTCTAGATAATCTAGAGACTAGATATATGATTGATTTATGTATGAGGTACAGAATCTTGATGTATTTCGTATTAGGCTGGTTTTCTCTTTTTATGTATTAGTCGCTTTAGTATCGTGTTTGTCAAGTGTCAAGCGTATTCAATTACAAGGACGTATTTCGTATTCAGACTCCAGTTGGTGATATAACAGGAACAATATATACCTTTTTATGAGATTTGTGAAATCAAAAATTAATTCCTCTGTTATCCTCGTCCATTCACGTAAAAGTTAGTACTAACTTCTATTTTCCATATTTTATCAAGTTTTTACTCGTCGTTTGGATTTGCTTTGAATGGATCTCCCTTTTCGCTCATCACAATCTTTATAAAAACAGAACAGATTAAAATGGTTTCCATTGATTTTTTTTATTATGTTTTATACCATATACTTAAATATTGTTTGTTGGTATTCCGTTTGGTTTATCACTAATGAAACAGATGCCAAAACTAAATTTTACATAGGGAGTTATCAATTCGTGTTTCAAATTTTCAATACAGATGAAGAAACTAAATATCAGAGATGATGGATGATAGGTCTTTGAAAAAGGAACTTGCAACGAGTTTGGACCATGAGCTACAGTTGAAATGATCTCTCTTGAATCTTGATTGAATATATTAACTTTGAATACGATAACAGCTTCGACTGAGCCTTACACACTCCAACCAGTGCAAGATCTCAGCGTTCGGGTCTCTCTCGACCACCACAACAGTCGCCGTAATCTGCATCGCTCCTCTGTACGAGCCGACGCGGCCGCGAACGCGAGCCACCGCTCCGATCCTGACCTCTGCGGCCTGTTTACGCGCGGCGCTTGCGAGCAGCAGAATCGTGGACGAGTCGCACCGAGAGAAGTAAGAAGACGAGAGTTGGTTGAGCCATATGACGCACGTGACGCAGCCCGTGCCATCGTCGACGTCGAACTTGAGGAACTTATGGGTCATCTCGCGAGAGACGATCGTGCCTACTGTCTCTACGCGTGAGACACAAACGTTACCTCCGAGGGAGAAAGAGTTGGCTTCTATCGTCGATGGTACAAGGCGGTGGATGTCACGCGCCACCAGCTTCGCGTGTGTGTTCTGGAGGGATTGATCCATGGCTAGACTGGAGAGGAAAAAAGGTGAACAGAGACCATAACAATGAAGATTGGTGGAATAAGGCGACATTCTAACAAAGCAAATTTGCCGCCAAACGATATTCATTGAATAATGAGATAGTGGCAAGTGAAAATAATTGCTACAAATAATAATTGTGTGTAAATATGTGCTAGTTTTGAGAAGTAGTGTATTCAAATGAGAATCTTTTCTTTCTTCTTTTTTAAACGCGACTATAAAATGTTTTTTCTGTCTTTTAATTGTTGTGCTTGCCCAGATAACTACAGTTTAATTTTTATTATTATTGGGATTTCTGAAACAAATTTATCATAGCAGCTATTGAAGTTCAAGTGTTCTCTTTTTAGGTTGGACCTCAACGTTATAGGGTATACTTTACCTTCTCAAGAAATAAAAAGGTAATAAGTAATGTTGGGAAGAAACTATCTCACGATAGATGACGATTTTGAAATCTTACTACATGATGCAGAGTGCAGACCAGCACCCAGCAAGATTTCCAATGAATCTAAAACCCAAAATAAAAAGATTTCAAATGAATCAGACACGGTAACCATTGTACACTAAACGAAAAGGTCTAAAAAGACAATGCATAACTCATCTTTTTATTTGACAACTTCTAGAACGCGTGAACAATTAAAGCTAAAACTCCATTAACTTTTTTGATAAACAAATGATTTTGACATTAACCCACAAAAGCTAGTTTTCCTCTAATATCTACGTGATCACTTTGGGTTGGAAATTGTCATTTTATTCTACATAAACTTTGTTATTCCACCATCATTTTATGTTACCAATCGAAATCATGATAACCAATATTATAAGCAGTGGCAGAGTCACCAATCTAAAAAAAAAAAATCCACTGACCAATTATTATTTGGTACGCCCTTCCCAGACATTTCCTAAAGACAGAAAAGGCCTAGTAGATTTGAACAAGCAAGGGAATATACATTTTATTTGATTCCATTACTATGAATAGAGTGGAGATGAATAATTGATGAAAGCAAGAAAACAAAAGCAGCAGAAACTACTGTTTGGTAGTTTGGTACGATGTCATTTTCAAGTTTACCTTTGCTTCAGATGCAGAGAATGGTAAAGTCACACATGTCAGAATAAATGCCTTGAGGATAGTTGTTTAGTATGTACAAGAGACAGTCATATGTGCAAAAAAGGAGAAAGATATATGTAAATTTTGTTTTAGTTTAATAAATATTGTGACCTGGACTGACTCATGTTAATAGTTCAGTACACCATGTTGTGACTTCAATTTCTAATCTTCTTATGAAAATGTGACAAAAAAGAAGAAGTGAAGTTTTGTATAAACGAGTGAAATCAATTTTTTAAGTTAGATAAAATATATTTTTTTTTTCAAAAAAAAGGCTGTTAGAGAGAGTATAGAGCGAATGCTTGGTCTTACGAAAGATAAATATAAAAAGGGATTCCAAACACTCATACGTGGACGTAAGGAGGTTGATTAAAAGTGGGTGAGAGACTGAGACACGAAACTTCTTGAACATATAACTATTACTTGGGAGGCAAGCCATACTCGTACCTAATGGTTCGTTTCCTTACGAACTTAAAGCTACTGAAGCTTCGACACAATGATTTATCTTTACTACTAATGTGATTAGGAAGGCTAAATAAAGTATTTGCTTACCTGTGACTGATTTGCGGACCCAGAGGATCTCTACACTTAATCTGCAATTTACAAAAGGAGCAAAATTAATGAAAAGAAATCAGACAAACCATGATCAAAGCATACATAGTTATTCCTGACATAATCATTCAAGATCAAAGCATACATAGTTATTCCTGACATAATCATTCAAGATTTTGACCTTAATTTCCAACACAGAAGAGCTTATATCGTATACTCGCACCATTCCAGGTTCAATTCCAGCTCAGTCTAACTTGATGGATAACGGAGACAAAAAGAAAAAAAACAGACGAATTCGCTACTACGTGACTTAATCTGGCTCATTAGAAAAGAAAGAGTCACACAAGAGGATACTCTTGTTCTGTGGTATCACTTGTAATTTGGAATTAATCATACGCAAAAATGAACATCAAAGGTTTAGGTGAGTATATATAGCTTCCTTGAGAAGTAATTAAAAAGCATGTGATATAAAGGAGAAAAATTGCCCCCGAAGAAAAACTACCTCAATCCCACATCTACTAGGACAAGGGGGTAGTTATGTTACCAAATGGAGAAGATGATTCGGATCTCATGCGTCTGGTTAAGGAGCTTCAAGCTTCTCTAATGAGGAATGATAAGCTGGAGAAGGAAAATAATGAGCTGCGTCAAGAAGTCGTCCGCCTAAGAACACAAGTAAGCAATCTTAAAGCACATGACAACGAGAGGAAAGCAATGTTGTGGAAGAAGTTGCAGAGCTCATATGATGGCGGCAACACAGACGGATCAAACCTGAAAGCGCCAGAGGCAAAGAATCCAAACCCAAAGCCAATGGTCAAAGAACAGTCTACAGGTATAAACAGACCGCCGCCACCTCCACCACTACCATCAAAAACAACACTTGGAAAAAGGTCTGTGCGGCGTGCGCCAGAAGTTGTAGAGTTGTATCGTGCCCTCACCAGGAGAGAGTCTCATACGGACAACAAGATCAATCAGAATGGAGTTTTGTCTCCTGCATTCAGCAGAAACATGATTGGTGAAATCGAGAACCGCTCCAAATATCTTTCCGATGTAAGTACAGGACAAACTTTTTCCATCATAATTTGGAAGAGGTGGTTAGATGAGAATCTATATATGGATTTCATGTCTATCATAACCTAGGTGCAGAGTTTTTACTAAATCATCAGAAGCAATGTCTTAACAGATTTAGCATGGCGGGAAAAGATCTTCTAATAGTGTTTGTTCACTTGCAGATCAAAACTGATACTGACAGACACAGAGAACATATCCATTTGTTAATCAGTAAGGTGGAGGCTGCAACATTTACAGACATATCAGAAGTGGAAACGTTTGTGAAATGGATAGACGACGAACTATCTTCCTTGGTTGATGAAAGGGCAGTCCTAAAGCATTTCCAAAACTGGCCCGAACGCAAAGCAGATTCCCTAAGAGAAGCTGCTTGCAATTACAGAGGGCTAAAGAACCTTGAAACCGAAATTTTGTCATTCAAGGAAAATCGAAAGGAATCTCTTAAGCAGGTCTTGCAAAAGATTCAATCGTTACAAGACAGGCGAGCATGTATAAAGAATATAATAACTAGCACCTTCCTGATCTTATCCAGTAGCCCTAGCTAACCGCATTGAATCTTCAAATTTGCAGGTTAGAAGAAACTGTTAACAACACAGAGAAGATAAGGGACAGTGCAGGGAAGAGATACAAGGATTTTCAGATACCGTGGGAGTGGATGCTCGACGCAGGATTGATTGGACAGGTAGGTGACTGATAGCTGCAATATACCAAGAAAATCTGATTATGATGTAAACTATCACGTCGACAGAAAAATAACAGTACAAAGAAAAGATGGACTATCATAAAAGATGCAAAGATACGTATATTATTATCTTAAGCAGACAACATTGACTGCACAAACAAACAATGAAAACTATAGATTCCATCCCTCGTAAAGGCATAAGCCACTTTACCAACTTCAAGAAAGGTTACCCAATATTAAACTTTGAAGAAAAAGTGCTTAGATTCATATCCACCACTAGTTTGACAAAAGATTGGAGGAAATTTTACCTTGTTGCAGCTTAAATACAGCTCGATGAGGCTAGCTCAGGAGTACATGAAGCGAGTAATCAACGAACTGGAATCAAATGGAGGCGCTAAAGAAGGAAATATTATGCTTCAAGGGGTCAGATTTGCCTACACAGTACACCAGGTACATAAAGTCATAAACTAATCTGCTTAATAAGCCATGTTCATATATCTATGTACTTATTTCCTAACATCAATTCAAAACAGTTTGCTGGCGGTTTTGACGGAGAAACATTACACATATTTAATGAGTTAAAGAAGATCACTACAAGTGAACCGAGAAGATAAACTGTTGACAACTTAGAAAAATCGGAGTTGATTTTGGGTATAAAAGACTTGTGTGGTCTAGTGCAACAACTAAGAGAGTGAACCATGTTGTAATTTAGCTTTTAAGATTACGCATTAGACATAAGAAACTAGAGCTAAATTATTGTACTATTCAAGTCTTAGTTGCTCTTTGTATTAATGTCTAGAAACTAAATTGCAGATATCAATACACAACACCACTAGGGTTATAAATAAAGGTAACAGGGGAAAAACAGCCTTCACTGATCGATCTGCGTCCTTTCAACATTTTTCTGAACATTTTGAAGCACATGCATCAGAATAAAAACTATCAAACACATTATCCAATAACACAATCCATCTTAAGACCGATTAAATTTTCGAAGGCGAGAAGTCGACTAAACAGACACCAAGTCTCAACCCGTCGGAAAGATTCCGGCGAAAACGGAAAGGAGAGGAGGAAGAAGAAGCGCAACGAGCAAACCTCGATAAATTCTTCAAGGAATCGAGTGATATAAGGCTCTGATTCCAGATTTCCTCGGCAGTTTCGAAGTTCTGATCATCAGTCATCACCATGGATTCTCGGCGCTCAAAAGAGCAGATTTCGGCGGGTTTTTGAGAATCTGAAGGGATGAGCTCTCTGTTTCAATTTTCAAGATCAATATACTGTAATCATCAGAGCTTCTCACCAATCGGGGCAACATAGGCCCACTAAGCAACTAAGACCATCTCCATCAGTAAACTTTTGAAAAAAGGGTTCATCCGAATATAATAAGAAAAAAACCTTTTAAAAACCCGACGTTTATAACATTTGCTATAAAAATATCTGAATTATTTTCGTTGTCTGAAAAATACCTAACGTTATTTAAACTACTATTTTAATACCCAAACATTCAAAAATCGAAAGTTTCATCCCTCGATTTAAACTCATTTAAATCGTTAAACAAAATCTGTTAAGCACCGTTTAGTCCTTAATCCCTCACGTGTTTTTTTCCATTCGAAAAGACCACTATTGCCCTTTCTCGTAATCCAATTTCCCCCAAATTATCGAAGAACCCTAAATCATTTTCCCTAAATTAAACTCCAATCGATTTTCCCCCAAATGTAAACCCTAATCCGCAAACGTTGTCTCTCCCAAAATTGATCTTCTATATCGACTCTCCTATCGAGTATCGACATTTATTCACCCAATTGTTCTCATTCTTCACCTCACTGTAGAAGACTCGAGACTCGAAGGAAAGATGAAGTATGTGTTTCAAATTTTGATGTCGGGATGTTTATTGTAAATTGTGTCGATTAGGTTCGATTTAGTCTGTTGTATGTCCCGATTAGCTTGTTTAGAGATGTGGGGTTTACAATTTAGGGTTCTTTGTCAGTCCAGATGAAGAAACCATGTGTATTACATTTGAAAAATCTTCTACCAGGATTATCATCTGTCCATGATTTCACCATGACCGTCGGTTGTTTGCAGTGACAAAGGGGACCTTCCATCTGGGCGTAGGTCGGGTTGAAAGAGCTTGCAGACGAGATTGAGTTTTCCATTCTGGTGTGAAGTAATCAAAAGAAGCGATAGATGTTAGAAGAGAATTAGGGTTCTTCAAATTGGGGAAGAACTTAAAAAGGAAAAAATCGATTTTAAGGGCAACAGTGGTCTTTTCGAATGGAAAAAAACACATGGGGAATTAAGGATTAAACGGTGCTTAACAGATTCCGTTTAACGATTTAAATGAGTTTAAGTCGAGGGATGAAACTTTCGATTTTTGAATGTTTGGGTATTAAAATGGTAGTCAAAATAACGTTAAGTATTTTTCAAGCAACGAAAATTGTTCAGGTATTTTTATAGCAAATGTTATAAATGTCGGATTTTTAAAAGGTTTTTTCCCAATATAATAATATTTCTTTTTTGGATTTTGTTTTTTTTTATTTTTTTAATTCGAAAATTATTTTTTTGGACCAATCAGAATATTCCACGTGTGATGAACCTAGATGAACCTGGATTCTTCAGGTTCGTCGGGAAGAATCTGGGCCATGAACTTCTAGCTTTAAAATTATTATTTTATTGAATTCAAACCTGTGTTATGAACACTTGAATAACTCCTAATAAACATGCTCTAACAAACAATCAGAGAAATATAACCCGACCCGAGCCGACCTAGCAGACCCGACCCGAGACGATACAAACCAAGTAACCAACTACCACGTATTTGCTCTTATCCGGTTATCCCAATGTAACACTGAGAACAACCGAATTTTTTTTTTTCCGGAAAAGGGTAGAAGGAATAAAAAAGCTGCGGAGCGGCTTCGTTTCTTCTCTTTCTCTCAAATCTCTTATCCGTTTGATTCTTCTGTTAACGCATCTCTTCTTCTTCTTCTTCATTAATTTAAATAAAAAAACGGGGAAAAAGAAGAAGAGCCACGTTGGTTTCGATGGGGTCGGGTGCATCGAAGAATACTGAAGAAGAGGAGGATGGTTCCAATGGCGGAGGAGGTCAGCTCTACGTTTCACTGAAAATGGAGAACTCTAAGGTTGAAGGCGAGCTTACCCCTCATGTCTACGGCTCTGTTCCTCTCATCGGCTCTTGGGATCCTTCGAAAGCTGTGAGCATCGGTTGATTTTTTTATTTTTTTTAATGTTCTTCGTCTTTGTGCGTTTCCTTCCGATTCATCCATCTGGAAATTGATACCATTTCTGCGTCGTCTTTTGTCGATATTTCGTGATAGCTTCCGTTGCAACGTGAATCTGCGTCAATGTCGGAGCTGAGCTTCGTTGTTCCTCCTGATCACGGTATTTTTTTTTTTTTTTGTGAGTTAACTCAATTTGGATGACTCGTTTAGTCGATATTTTAGCTACAGCTACAATCATAGCGTCTGCATCATTTTTTCTTTTGGTTTGGTTTCGTGTGTAGAGACTTTGGATTTCAAGTTTTTGCTGAAACCAAAGTATAGAAATACGCCTTGCATAGTGGAGGAGGGTCAAAATAGGCTTCTTACTGGTGGGACGTTGCAAGGAGATGCTAGGGTAGCTCTGTTTAAGCTGGAAGGTGATGTGATTGTTGAATTCCGAGTGTTCATCAAAGCTGACAGAGTTTCACCATTTGATCTTGCTGCTAGTTGGCGAGCTTATAGGGAGAACCTCCAGCCTTCTTCAGTTCGTGGAATTCCAGATGTCAGCATAAATCCTGATCCAATAGCTGTCGAGGTACTTTGTTCCTTCACTTTTTTGTTTACCGCATCTGCAATGTTTTGGTTATGTCTATTAAAACATCAGAAAAATACGTTTTCGGGGCTTCCCATTTACTGCCTATTAATACCAATCTAGACGTCCCATGTGGAGATATAAAGGTGTTGGCCAAACACCGGAAATAAACGTTTCTTTTATGTCTTACAGCAGTGTCCTTCAGAAAGTTTGGAGCTCGATCTTGAGCATTATGAAGTTCCTGCTCCTGCACCTTCTGCACACTCGTCCCTTGTTTATGCGGCTGACAATGCAGAGAATCCACGATCTCTTTCAGCTTCTGGTTCATTTGTTAATGACAATACTCCAGAGGCAGCATCGAACACTCCCAAAGATTCTAGTGTTGGCGTTGATGGATCTCCATCTGCAAAGGTTCTACTTTGATTACTTGTATGGTAGATGCCGATCCTGCATTAATTAACGGTCATGTTTCTTATTTAATCATTGGCATACATCTTAACCATAGGAAATGAAGGTCATTGTTCCCGATCTCTCGGATACCTACTCAGCTTCAGGAGTGGGTGAGTCAAAGTCAGTGGGGATACTCTCACCTTTTCAGCAGAAAGATGGTCAGAGGGGTCTCTTTGTTGATCGTGGTGTTGGCTCCCCTAGGCTAGTCAAGTCTGTTAGCGCAAGCTCTTTTTTGGTTGATCTCAAACCTGATGGGCAAACTAAGGTTTTACATGAGCAAGTTTCTACTTTTCAGTGCGATTATCTGAAATTTAAGAGTTTTTGACGTCGTTTCACCCTTTTCGTTTAAATTGTTAGAATTCAATGCCAGCCGCTGCAGGAGCTGTTGCTGCAGCAGCGGTAGCTGATCAAATGCTTGGACCAAAAGAAGATAGACATCTAGCAATTGTCCTGGTAATTTTGCCATATAGGCTCTGTTCATTGTTTCTGCAGCCCTTTCAGCTCATTTTTCCTCGTTTTGTTTGGAGCTGGATGGCTAGCTATTTTGTTTAACATATTAACTTAATTGAAAAATATCAAAAAAGAGACTGAATGTTTTCATTCACACCACTCCCATCAAATTGTATTAGGTAGGCTTGCCAGCTCGAGGAAAGACTTTTACTGCAGCAAAGCTGACAAGATATCTACGCTGGTTGGGGCACGATACTAAACATTTTAATGTTGGAAAGGTTTGCTGACTTTTTGCAATGAATCCCTGATTTTTTTTCCTGCGCATTCTGTCATTGTGGAAAAGACTGACTCAATCATTATTGCTCCATTTCTTAACAGTACCGACGGCTTAAACATGGAGTTAACCAGGTAAAACTTGATTTTCAAACTGCGTTTTTATAAGTTTCTGCCTTCCCTTTTGGATGATTTGTGATGGACAACGAATGACCTTTTTGTAGTGTGCTGATTTCTTTCGAGCTGACAATCCAGAAGGTGTAGAGGCCCGAACCGAGGTAAGTGGTAAATTAAATTGCTGAGCTTAACCATTTTTAGACGCTCTTCTTATGTGCGCGTCTATATTTATCCTTGTGGTACTTTCAACTTAATTCGTTATATTGGGAGAAGTTTGATTCAGTGATCATTGTTAACACTATTTATCTTCTTCTTTGCACATAGTTTTAATATATCACATGCCACTAGGTAGCAGCACTTGCAATGGAGGACATGATAGCTTGGATGCAAGACGGTGGTCAAGTAAGTATCTTTCAGTTAGATGTTTTTCTTGGTTTTTGTATCTTGCATTCTAATTAGTTTTTATCGTAGGTTGGAATCTTTGATGCAACTAATAGCACACGAGTTCGACGGAATATGCTGATGAAAATGGCTGAAGGAAAGTGTAAGGTACTGAAGCTTCGATTTCCTTTGATGCAGCGGTTGTAATACTGTCATGACCATCTTCGGCTAATATTGAATTTGTAACTAGCCTCAGTAACTGATTTACCTTTTATCTCTTGTGTAGATAATTTTTCTGGAAACGCTATGCAATGATGAACGCATTATTGAAAGAAACATACGTCTTAAAATCCAGCAAAGTCCTGACTATGCAGAAGAGTACGGTGCTCTATCAGCAACTTAGTTTTCTCGTCCTAGTAGACCTCTTTCACCTGTCAACTAAATGCTTATGGTATTCTGCAGGACGGATTTTGAAGCTGGAGTACGAGACTTTAGAGACCGTTTGGCCAATTATGAGAGGGTCGCTATACAAACTTGCACCTTCTAAACCTGTCTTAGTTACTTAGATAAATCATAGTTGACTCAGTTTTGA